CCGGTCAAGGGCATATATCTTGGTTGTGGGCACATCCCCAGTGGGAGGCCTACAAGGGGCAGCTGATTGATGTTTCTCTCTCATTGATGTTTCTAACACTCTATTCCTCTCCCTTCTTCTCTGTAAAAAATCAGTAAAAAATATTTTTTAAATGTACATTTTATTAGCTCTAAGGAATTTAAATAAACAGAACCTAACAGGTTTATGCCACATCTTATCACACTTCCAAGAACAAAGATGTCACAGTGCTCCAAAATGATAGACCGCCTATAGATTTAGGGCCTCAGTGGCTAGCAAGATGGTGTCATCAGAAGACATGGGCTACATAAACTTACCCATAATCTTTAAAAGTTTTAGCACAGTAATTTATTTTCACAGGACTTTCTACTTTGTAATATCATTCCTCTTGGTCTTAAATTTTTTAAAAATGGGGTCAAGAGAATTGTTTCATAATGGAGGTGATTTGGCCATAATTTTTGAAATAGCTTTGAGAAACTCACTAAAAAAATGAACTTGTGCAGAAAGCTTACTAGTTGGAATTCAGAATGACTGACTGGACAGAAGAAACTGGGTAAAACTCATGACCCTTTGCTGACAAAGCAACCTACATTAAGGATACAGAGCCCTCATGCCTTGACTGCTACAAATTCCTAAGCAGGAAGTATAGCTGGGGAACAGGTCCGCCCCACCCAGGAAGAAAAAGATTTTATACGTCTCAGCCTTATATTAAAAATATTTTAAAATCACTGACAAGATTAAATGTTAAGAGTATATAAGGAGAGTATGTAATTAAGAGAGAAGAGCGAGCATTCTTATAGTTTAGTGAATATATTGTTATAGGACAGATTGATTAATTGAATGTTTGGCAAAGGCATAGAATGCCTTAAGTCAATGTTTTAAAAATACAATATTTTGTGCACATCTTCTCACTGACTAGATTCTCCTATCCAAAAGAGAAACCATTTTTGGCATCAAAATATCATTTGCACACTTTACCAAAACATAATAACCATAAAAGAAATCTAATTAACATCATCTTAGTGCCATGCCTATTGTTTGCATCATAACATACTAGTACTCCTAATCAGTAACTGAATACAGAAGTATTCTTCTGTTTCTCTCTCCAGATCCTCTCTCTGTGTGCCTTCTGAGTTAATGAATATTTTCCAACATCAAGAGTCTTGCAGCTTTATGATTTGCAGTAACCTTTTCAATCAAGGTCAAGATGAGCCTTTTGAGAGATTTTTAAATCTAAAAATTCTTTAATAAAAATTGTCTAGCCCTAACTGGTTTAGCTCAGTGGATAGAGCATCAGCTTGTAGACTGAAGAGTCCCAGGTTCGGTTCTAATCAGGGGCACATGCCTGGATTGCAGGCTTGGTCCCCAGTAGGGGACATGCAGGAGGCAGCCAATCAATTATTCTCTTTCATCATTGATGTTTCTATCTCTCTTTCCCTCTCCCTTCCTCTCTTAAATATATATTTTTTCACCATTCTCTGGAAAGATTCAGTATGTAACTATTTTTTACTGACTGAGGGGAAAAAGCTATGAAGTTTTGTGAAGCGGAAAAAGCATCTGTATATAAAACTGATACAACAAACATGAAAGTTTAAACACAAATTTGCAAAAGGTTCAGTCAATAAATTCAGGTACATATTTTGCCCTTTAGAGAATCTGGGTGGTGGGGGGGAGGGAAGTTATTTTAAGAAGTTTAGAAAAACTAATGATAAAAAGAGACTATACTCAGATAATGAAAGACAAATATAAATTAGTAAGATACTACAAAATAGAAATTAAGCCACACAGAGAAGGAAACAAATAATGAATAATAATAATAAAAAAAACTTTAAATGATGAAGGAATAAACAGAAGAGTTCAAAGGGGTTCCTTTTCCAAGCAGAGGAAGAAAAAAAGAAAAATAGAAGTGGAAGGCAAGACTGTGAATCCAGAAACAATCTCAATTTCAAAGATGCCCATGAGATGTATGACAATGTCATCTCTCTGAATTCTAATTACACATATTTGTTAAATATTTGTTCTTCTCATATTTCAACTTTCTTTAAAAAGAACAATGCCAATGAATTGTGAAAATTACAGTATTTAACTTTCAGTACTTGTTGAAAATAAGTTTACACATACTCCGTTATATAACCCGAGAACAGTTGCAAAAAGAAAGACTTCAAAGAAAATAAAGCATCAGAAAAATGAAAAATGTCAGGTACTTCTTTACCAATTTAAAAAAAGTTCAGAAGGTAATAGGACAATATATTTAAAACAGAAAGGAAATGAGCGCCAACCTCAAAGTATTAAAAGCATAGTTTTCTCTTACATAGTTAATAAAAAGAGAATAAAAATTGTTCAAAAAAGTAACTGCAATGTACTAAAAAAAATTCTAGTGAAGCATATTTTATCATTAAAATAGCAATTTTCCACTGAAAATACAGGTAAGGACACAACTACCATTTACCTTTATTTCTTACATTAATCAATCTTGAAAATAGATAGAAGTTTCATTGAAATAGCACTTTACCGTGATCTTGCATCATATCAGATAATGCTAATATAACTTATCTTGGATTAGCTCTGAATTTTCACAAGTTAAAGTTGGTCAAAATGTGCTACAGGTTCAGTTCGGAACAAATCAAGTTATTACTGTAGAAAAGAGAATCCTGAATGAAAAGCAACTCTCAGAGAAAAAAATCTCTAATAAAGAAATGAAAAGTTAATAAAACTTAGATCTATAAAAATATGAAGAGTGTGGGGTGGTAGAGGTAGGAAGTAATGTCATAAAGCAAAAAAGCAGTGAATACAGGAATTGGAGGTATACCAATTTTAGCTTATCTAAGAACAGTGAAGAATAGTACCCGTAAAAATGGACTCAGATGTCACACATCTATTCCCACTTCCCAGTCACAGAATCTCCTCTCTACTTTTACAATAACACAAAATAGACACCAAATGAAAATTTCTTATTTTAATAAGAATATATTAAATACTGAGTAAACACTTGGCTCAATGAAGATAGTTATTGCTAAAATTACATTAATCTAACTCTCCTGTCATATCCACCAGATGTGACAATGAAAAAAAAAAAAAAAAAAAAAAAAAAAAGACCCAAGAGGACAGCACTCCCTACAGAATAAGAATCCAGGTCATACTTTAAAGTACTTATTTTACTCATATTTTAGAAATTATATAAAAGTAAGCTTAGCCAATTAAAAATAATAATGTACATGTCATAATTTGTTTGCTAGTTGTCTATAAGATTAAAAAAATAACTTAATATTAATAGTTTTAAGAGATTAAAAACAAGATACATTGTTCTAACTAGATCAATTCACAAAGTAAATTAAATAATGCATATACCTTAGTATAACCCAAATATATACAGTTTTTGCTAATTAGAACTTGATTCCTTAAAATATGATCCATTACAATCAATTCATTGTTAATGAAGGAAGTGGGGGGAGAAGGAAAAAGGGAAAGAGGGAGAAAGGAAGAGAGGAAAAAGGAAATAAAATTTAAATTATTTCTCATTAAGTATGACTTTCAATCATGTGTAAGCAATTCTTGTAACTTCTTTTAAAGTTGGGAACTCTTAAGAGGTTCAGCCCACTGGGTTAGAAACCTGAAAATCACCCTGCTAGCACAGTTCTCTTTCCTTCTTCCCAGTCCTCTTTTCTCTCTGGAGAACAATAAGTGATAGAAAGGACATAGTTAAAACACACTACGAGTTAAATAAGTGAAGCAGCTCTGTCCTTTATTGGCTACATTACTAAAGCCATTTTGTCCCAGATAAGCCAATTGTGTCATATAGGACAGGTGTGGCTCCAAAAATCTCAGAGACAGTTGACTTCTCTGAATGACGTTCTGGGGAAGAGTGGGAGAAGGGAATAATCCCAGTCTTAAATCCTAGTGTACATAGGGATGTTCAATAGGGCGGTTTCCTAAATGAGGTGTTTCAAAGGTTTTGTATATCATTATCCATCTCCACAGATGTTGGTTGGGTAAAGCATCACACTGTTTCCTCGGTGCACCTTCCAAATCGACAGGTAGAAGGATTAATCATCTTGCATAGGCAGGTTCGCTTTAACCTTCACCCCCAAACTTCAGTTTCCGATCGTAGCAACTCACACAACTGGTCAGCATTTAGATTTAAGATGGCCCAATATAATAGAGTTCAAGGGTGTTCATATAAATTTTGGTTCAAAACCCTTGAGAAAACTTTGTAGTTGATCTGACCTTCCATACCATGTCAACAAACAAACAAACATATATATATGGTTTCACTACGATCCTTAGCAGCAAAGATAATGTGCAGCAAAGCTACGCTGAAATGAATCTCCCAAGGACTAAGCTATAATAAACTATACTTTAGGAACCCACTGATTTTGATCAATTTAAGGGAGGGATAAGAGGTGGGGATTCTGGTGTTTGATTCATTTGGGGAACTTGCCAATCATGTTATTGGATAAGGCATACATCTCAAAAAGCACAACAGTTACCAAACTTGTACTTTAGCACCAAAGTGATGATTCACACTAACGTAAACCCAAATATGAAATGTATTTTTAATCAAAAGATAAATAATAAATCCATCATTTTGTTCAGTGCAAACAACTTTGCTGTTTTTTTTTACAATATGTAATTCACTTGATAAATATTAAATCTATGAGAAAGAACTCGATTGTACACGTTTCTTTTTTAAAAGATTGTTTAAAACTGACCTTTTAAAAATGCTACAGTAGATCCCAAATCTATGCCGATTATGGTGATTTAGACCACCTGATTTATGAAATCCTCCATGTCTGCAATTAAATACGATCGTCCTACTTCATTTCACTTTAGCAAAACAACATTACTGAATGATGTGCCACAGAAAAGATGTTATTGTAATCAATATTTGCCCAAGCCAAATTTTACTTTTAAAAGGAATACAATTTAAATGACAACTACCAGACCCAAGCAATATATATCACATAGGAAGCTTCATAGCCCACCTTTCTTCTTGACTGGCATTCTTGGTCTTTCCACTGCCACAGGGTTCAAGATCCCTTTTCAGGTCTCAACTTTATCCAACTGGATTGAGGCCAAGAGTCAGGTAACTGTTGCAAACCACTTCACCTATTTGGTTTTGAAGTCCAGGCTGTCTTCTCTTTCAGATAAAGAAAAAATAATGTATTTTTTCCACAATTAAACTTTTGAAACTGCCCACAGAGTTTAGAGAAATAGAACTTCGGTTTTTATAAAATAGCATTGTTGTTTCTTTTTAAGCCGAGAAAATTATTGTAAGCATTAAAAACACGTTATTAAAACTCCTCTTCAGGCAGCAACATTTTTGGAGTTCAGTGACTAACTCAATTAAGGCACAAACCAGATTCACAAAGCTGTTTCATTCCTCAACACATGATCGAATGCAAAGATGATCTGGTGAATGATCCTCCGTTCTTTAGAGAAAAATTTAAATGCTCTCCACCCTCCCACCCACCCCCCAAAAAAATACTTTTGAAAACCTCTTTGACTCTGATCTCTAAAAAAGGGTGGGTGGGTTTGAACAGTTTTCCGGAGCAGAACACACACTGAAAGGCCCCTTTTCTGCTTCCTGGACCAGAAGTTCCAGGTCTCACCCCTCAGTAAGGCAGGATCCAGCTTGCTGTCACTTGCATTTTTTTTTCTTCTGTGCTCTCCGAGCCCCTCAAGGCTTGATCCTTAATGCCCCCCTCTGATTCTGATCCTCCCATGTATTAACCGAGAGGATTGAAAAAGGAGGAAAGCAATCCCTTTGGCATGGAGACATTAAAGTGACAGCGCTACTCAATGGGCACTTGATGCAGGATGAGTTGGCGAAGCAGATCCCTCCACACTGGAGTCATTCACATCGTGCCATGTCTTCGCATCCCAAGCAGCTGCCTGCCCAGCGAGGAAAAAAACACCGAGAAAAACTGCTCCAGGGCAGTCAAACCTCCCCGCAAAGGTGTTTTTTTCCGGAGACGCTGTAGCTGTAGTAGCATTAGGCATGTGAGCAACCAGCTGTGGGGGAAAAAAAAAAAAAAAAGGTGGGCGATTTCCTAAATGAGAGTTTCGGCCGCTGGGCTCCCACCTCCACCCTTTCTCTCAGTCTCTCTCCAAAAAGACCCACATTCCTTTTTGCAGATTAAAAAAAAAAAAAGGGCAGGCGATCTCGGCCCCCGCTGGCCACCCCTGCCCACACCCCGCTCTGACAGAGAAGAGCACAGACACGTCCTGCACCCTCCACGCGAGGGAGTGTCTCCTCGGGCCGGAGGAACAGCAGCGCTGGGAATTATATAACTCTCGCATTTGGCTCCTCTAAGACATGGAGGCTGGAGGGTCGGGGGGTGCCGGCCTGGGAGACACTGCCGGGCACGGAACGTGCAGCCCAAGGGCGCCAGGCCTCCTCGCTGCGCCCCCCGCCCCGAAACACTGGCTGGCAAGGGGTGTGGGGGGGTCTTCTCGGGAAATGGGGTGCAACTGTCCCCCTCGGGTCCCTTTCTGAGCGGAGTGAAAGGATGGAATGTGAGCTAAGAGGGTACCAGACACTAGGGAGAGGAGTCAGACCGCTGCGAGGGGAGGAGGGGGCCAGTCGGAGAGACCCCGGCGGCCGGTTGGGGGCTGGAGGGGGAGGAAGCGAATCCGAGGAACGGGAGCCATAATACACGGTCCAGGCCGGAGGGGCGAGCTCCTTCCAGGAAGGAAGGCCCGGGGCGGGCAGCTCGCCCCGGCGAAGGTGCCCACGAGAGAGGGAAACGCGCAGCTTCCATTCCCCGGTGTTCGCAGCGCCCCACGTTCCCCTCCAGGTGGGAGAGGGAGCCGGGCTGACCAATAGCCGCGCTCGGGAACGCGGCGCTGGCAGGAGGGGCGGGCCTAACGGGCGTCCGGGCCTCCTGGAAGCCAATGGGCAGCCGTCGTTTCGGACCCCGCGCCCAATCACAGCCAGGATGGAGGGCGCGGCTTTTGACTGGGTCGGGGCGGGCCGGGACCGAGCGGGGCGAGATAGAGGCGTGAGCCAGCGGCCCCGCCCACCCTGGCGCCGGGGCCCCGCCCACCTGCCAGTCACGTGAGCGCCAAGATGGCGGCGCTCGGGCGCTCGGCGGGGGCTGACCCGAGTGAGAAAGGTGTGCTGCCGGTGGGAGCTGGGGAAATGCCCAAGGTAGGCTGGAACCCGGGGGAGAGGCTGGGACCGTGATTTCTGCAGCCTCAAGGGGTTGGCGGGCTCTTCTGAGATGATGCAAGTCAGAAGGTTTGAAAATCTAAAGAGAACAGCTCCCAAGTACAAGGGTCTTCCAAAGACGTCCCAGTGGCCATAGAAAGAGGCAAGAGAAAGTAGGAGATCTCAAGTTCAGTCTTTTTTTTTTTTTTTAAATATATTTTATTGATTTTTCACGGAGAGGAAGGGAGAAGGATAGAGAGTTGGAAACATCGAAGAGAGAGACGTCGATCAGCTGCCTCTTGCACAGCCCCTACTGGGGATGTGCCCGCAACCAAGGTACATGCCCTTGACCGGAATCGAACCTGGGACCTTACAGTCCACAGGCCGACGCTCTACCCCCTGAGCCAAACCGGTTTCGGCTCAAGTCCAGTCTTGATGGCTTGTCGCTTGTCTTGTCGTGCCCCCGAGCCTTTGCACTGGCCTCACCTTCCACTTGAAATACCTCCCAGCACCTCTCTCCCCCCCCCACCCCCATGCCCGCCCCTGCCAAATGCTTTCCAGGTGTGTCCTCTCAGGGTTGTGGACTCCACTGATTGATTGGCGGGCACCAGGATAGGGGGTCATTATTCAATGTAGCTGGTCCCAGTTTCAGCCTGGGCTGGTTTTGTATTAATAGTTGATCTGGGCCTGGAACTGAAATACAAGAATCAGTGTTATCTATAGGGAGGAAAGGTCAGGGGGTCTGAGCTATATGACTGACATGCTAGGGGAAGAAAAGTCACCCTGGGGCAGGGTTCCACCCTAAATTTGATTGTCCCTTGCTACCCCTTAGGGCCTTCTGTACCTGGCCCATCATCCTTGCTCTGCTCACGTCTGTCTAACCACGTACAATTTTAGAGAGAGAATGGAGAAACATGGATTTGTTCCACTTACTTATGCATTCATTGGTTGATTTTTGTATGTTCCTGACCAGGATTGACCGGTGGTAACCTTGGCTATGGGACCACACTAACCAACGGAGCTACCCTCCTAGGGCTCAGTATTTGCTTAAATGTCACTTACTACAGAAAACCTTTCCCGCACTTTCCTAGCTAGGTTAAATATATTCTTTCTTATGTTTTTTTCTTTTTTTTTCTTTATGACACACTAAAGGCCTGGTGCACGAAATTTGTGCAGGGGGTGAGGGGGGGGGAAGAGGTGGGGGGGGCTCATCCTGGTCTGCACTCTCTTGCAGTCTGGGAGCCCTCAAGGGATCCCTGACTGACAAGGGCTGGTCTAACCCAGCAGTTGACATTCCTTAGCATGATCCTGGCTTCTGGTTGAGCAGCGCACTCCTTGTGGGAGTGCACTGACCAGCAGGGGAAGCTCCTGCATTGAGCTTCTGCCCCCTGATGGTCAGTGTGAGTCAATTTGCATATTAGCCTTTTATGATATAGGATTCATTATGTTTAAATTATGTGTGTGTTTGTCCTGACCTCCCTCTGGGTTGTGGATTCCTGAGGACTGACCACATCTCGATTATCTCAGGGGCTATTAAATGAGGAATGAATATGGTATAAAACTTAAAGTCAGGTGACATAGTACGATAAAAGCACTACATAACCATAAAATATTTTGCAAACTATAAACCTTCATAAATTCACTTTCTAGTATATTGAATGGCCTTGGACTAATTTTGATATAAAATGTTGGTTATAGCAAAATCGTTACATTTCAATACTTATTAAAAGTCTATCAGAAAGTTACCCAACAATTTTTGCTTTAATAACAGTGCCTTCCAAAGACTAGGCAGGAATTCAAATATTTCCTGAACTGTTTGAGTATTTTAGGATTATAATCCTGGGTGTCTGTGTTCCCTATATACGAAGATGCAGACAAGGTACAAGGTTGATACAAGTCATTACCTGAAAGTTTTGTGAGGAGTAAGGAATTTCAGTGACTTAGATAAATAGCAAAACATAAATTTATCCAAGGTTTCTGATTATCATGTTACTGACTTCCGCCTTCCTAGAACATTATAGAGCCTCTCTCAGATATTACTCTCTCTTCTCTTCCATTTCCCATTTAGATGTCAGAGAGAGGCAAGCAGTTTAAGTCTAGTCCCTGAGAAATTGTAATTTGTAATTGTTTCCCTGTTCTCCCCAGATATTTTTAAAAAGAAAATAGAACTACCCGAGTACAGTCCGTAATGATGCAGGGAAGGAAAGTGGCCCATTATTATTGTGTAATACCATTCACCAAGGTTCAAAGGAGCGCATATCTTTAGGATACTGATACCAGAGATGAATTGGCCTGGTCTTTCATTAGTTAGGCTTAGTACTGCTTCGTGAATATTATAGTGATGTTCAACAAGTGTCCATTGACTACCAGCGTAAAAAGAATCACTGTGTCCTTGTGGTTTTGCCCACAGACTGAAAGTTCCCAGGTTCGATTCTGGTCAAGGGCATGTACCTCAGTTTTAGATTCCATCCCCAACCCTGGTTGGGGCGTGTGTGGGAGGCAACCAATCGATGTGTCTCTCTCACATCAGTTTTTATCTCTGTCTCTCCCCCTCCCTTCCACTCTCTCTAAAAAGATCCTCAGGTAAGGATTAACAACAACAAAAAAGAATCACTGGTGCTACTAAAATAAAGATTTCTAGGCTTCACTCTACTCCTACTGAATCCAGATATCTCAGGAGGAAGTTCAAGAGACTGCATTTTAAATAATTTTCCAATGTGATTCTTGTGCACACTAAATGTTGAGAATCACTGACTTATTAAGTATCTTCTGTGTTATTGTACTTAATCCACTCTAATTCTCTTGCCCTGTACTTCTGAAATATGAGATTTAGTCTGCCTTTGACTAAATTTAATGTTACTAATGTGGAGGTTGGTATAAATTGTGAAGGGCCATAGATTTTTTTAATATCTATTCATTGGCTAACCTGGAGTCTCATAATGCTTTTGTGGCAAAAGATTTAATAAATGTTTTTATTAAAAATTTTCATGGAGATCTGAGAATCTTACCCAGAACACAACATTCAGAAAGGAACCTTTCTGAGAATCTAGTTTTTTGTTCTGTTCTGTTTTCCCACTGGTGTCTGTTAAGATGCTATTGGCCAAACACTCATGATCCCTTGACATTGACAGCCATCTCTTCATACATCACAGTTGGGACACAGGAACCTTCCAACCCTAGTGCCCAGTGCCATGGGTACTGGCTCACTGGCATGCCACACAGCAGTTTCCAGTAAAGTCCCTGCTTCACCCTGGGCACTACTAAGAAGCTGGGCATGTAACTTACATAATCGGGAGCCATGATCCACTGTGTCTTCCTAGCCTGGAACACTGTCCTTCTTTCTGAAGTTCTCTCTCACTGTTCTCCAAGACAATCCTGCTCTCTCCCATCTCTCGAGGAAACTCAATCTCCAAAATGAGTGCAGGCTTTCAATCTCTTTCATAGGATAGAGGTTGTTGTCAAGAAATAGCTACTGTTTTCTTCCAGCTCTGATAAAGCTAGAGCAAGGAGAACTGCAAAGGGCCTGGCTACCTTGGGGAAAACTATAAGGAAAACAAAAATATTTCAGTAAATTATCCTTCTACACTATGTCCTGAAGCAAGTCAACCTTTCTGAACCTTATTTTTCTCATCTGAAAAACTGGAGATGATTATTGTCCTACCAACTTTTCAAAATTATTGTGTAAATCAAAAAAGACGTGGTCTAGCAGATAATAAGAACTCACTAAATGTTGATTGAATCATTAACGAAGTAGGTAAAAGCAGATGACAATATGTGACACATTACTGTAGTCTAAATGTTTTTTAATTGGAATCTGTAGAATTTATAAGGTCTAATATTAATATCATTAGCTATTATGGTTCTCCAATTTTGTGTTTTCCAGGACATCAAGATGGCAACATACACAAGTGGTCAACCCAACCCCTCTCTAGGAGATAACAAACTTGGATCATTGGTCATTGAAATCATAGAAAAAAAATTTGAATATCTTAAAAAAGAAAAGTAAGAGACACACAGAGACCGAAAATCAATTACTTTTTTCTGCAGATCTGAATTTCTGTTGTCTCTGAATATCTAAGATTCTCTTAACTTTATTGAGTTGGTTATGAAGAAAGCTTATTTTAAAAAAATGGAGAAAAACATGGGTAGATGAAAATAGTGGTCTGTTAGAATATTGGAATTGTGGATAATTACTTTTGCTTCTTAAAAAATGGCCAAAATTGTTATTGAAATGTTATTTGTGCAATAAACATTTTAAAATTAAAAGTAATTAGGAAAGCCTGACCAGTGTGGCTCAGTTGGTTGGAGAATTGTCCTGTATACCAAAAGATTGTGGGTTCGATTTCCGATCAGAGCACATATACCGAGGTTGTAAGTTCGAGCTCTGGTTGGGTGCATACAGGAGGCAATTGATCTATGTTTCTCTTTCTCCCTTCTTCTCTCTTTAAAATCAATTAAAACACACACACACACACACACACACACACACACACCCACACACACCCACACCCATATCCTCAAATGAGGATTTAAAAACTTTTTTTTTCTTTAGTAAATAGGAGAGTATCGGTTGGAGGCTACTTATGTTTAATTGATGACCAGTTGTAATTCAATTCAATTTAGAATTGATTACCTTAACCACAGTGCTGAGTTCAACAAACAGGAATATAGATCCCATGATGTACATATAGTTTCATATTACCATTTTGACTTTTTAGATTTTTAGAGCTCAAAAATAAAATCAAAGATGTTGACCTTATACCTTATATATTTCTGGATTTGGGTATGGGTCAGAATAAGTAAAACTAGATCTAGCAAATCTCTTTGGATGAAGTTTTGGAAATCCTTAAGTTACTTTAAATGTATCTGGACTAATTAAAAATAATTATTTTCTAGAAAGCCTAACCAAATATAAACAACCTTTTTTTTTTTTTTTTTCTCAAATGACCTTAAGAGCAGTATTCTTGGATTTAGATATAAAATTTGGCTACATTGTAACATATAGTCATATTTCTTTGTGGCTAAAATGTATTCTCTCTCTTTAAAAGAGCTCCATTTTAGAACCACTGTAAATATTCTCAGAAAGAGAATTATATCCTCTGATTAGAATGAAAGTTCCATGAAGAATAGGATTTTTTTCTGTATTCACTGCCCTATCCTCAGCACGTACGTTTCATATAGTAAGTGCTCAGAAATATTTGATGCTGAGTAAATATGTGATAACAAATGACTACTACCTGGGAAAAAGGTATCCTTAGGAAAATATGTTAACCTTGTTTATTGTTTTTCCATCAGTACTTTAAATATACGTACGGCACTGCTCATTGGAACAACAACTGGCCTCTCTGGAATACTGGCAAACTTCCTTTTCAGACACTGCTTCAAGGTTAAACATGATGCTTTGAAGACATATGCATCGTTGACTACACTTCCGGTTTTGTCTACCTTAATTACTTATAAGTTTCTTGTTACAGATCCTTTATATTCAGGTAAATTTAAATTCATTAAAGTATACTGTGTTCATGTCTAAGTAAAATTACTCATTAACATATACTGTTGCTCCTACTAATAATAATTCCTTACATTTGTATATTGCTTTACCACTTACAAAGTACCTTCACATATATTGTCCTGTTTCATCCCACAACAGCCCTCCTAATAAGACAGGGCGAGTCGTTTTTACAAATAAGCAGCAAAAACAGAGACATGTTCAAGTCTAAGAAGCAACATAATATACTGACATAAAAGCAGGATTTGGCAGATTACACACGATTTGAGACCCTAACTACTATTTGAATTTTGTGACATTTATCTGAGACTCAACTGAGTCTTATCTATGAATTAGGACTAAATACTTACCTCACAGGATTGTGAGAATTAAGATGGTGTATGTTAAATGCCTAACATAGTATCTGGTATATTGTGGGCTTCTAATGTTATTTCCTGCCTCCTCTCATTATGTTAAATTTCACATCTACTAATTGATGGAACCTCTCAATGCCTGTGCATTAAGTCCCTGCTTAAATCTCTCTTCCCCTGGGAAACCTCCTCTGATTCCCTCAAGGTATCTAGATACATTCTCTCTACATTTTACCTTCAAAGCATTGTGCACCCTTAAAAGTATTTATAAATATTTGTCTAATACCTTTCTTTCCTGATTGACTAGCCTGAAGGTTAGATATTGGGTCTCTTTTATGCAACACTGTGCCCCTAGCACTTAGCATATGTATGACACATAGACAATAAAAATGGATTAACCTGGAATCCAGAAGTCTGGTGAGCTAGTTTAATTCTTTATTATAAAGTTGTTTCTGCATATATGTAAGAGATAACTTTCCTAATGTAAAGTGCAATAAAAGCACTTTTAAGACATGGTGCATTTAGTCAGTCATATGCTGTAGACTGTATTTCTAGTATTATTCCTACTGCTTCACTGTGGTTGACGTCAGTGTAGGTAACTACTCTTTGAGGGCACACGACTTTCCTAATGTTTATCCTGAGTTTTAAAGAGAGATCAAATTTACTTGTGTTTTCCAGGTAATATAAGCATGGAAGAATGTGTTCTGAGAAGTTCACTGGTTGGCATAGTATGTGGTGTTTTATATCCAACTGGTTTGGCTTTTTCTAAAAATGGACGTCTGGCAGTAAAGTAAGTCTGACTATTCCTTCTCTTCCTTACTTGTTTAAAATATTTATATATATTAGTAAAGTCTCCTTATTCTTTAGCTGCCATTGATACATTTTAATCAAAATATAGTAGTTTGATATTTCAGATAGCTAACATTTAACCTTTTTTGCTAGCTACATGAAAGACCTAGAATAAAAATTATCAATGTAGGAAAAGTCAAATTCTTCATAGAATATGCATCCAGAAGTACTTACATATTTTTTCCTTTTTAGGTACCATACTGTTCCACTGCCACCAAAAGGAAGGGTTTTACATCATTGGATGATGCTTTCTCAAACAGATATAAAAGGAATGTTGATTCCTCTAGCCTTTCAGATAGTCTTTGGAGTATTTCTTGGTATAAAACATTATGAAATATTTCAGAGTACGTTAGAGAAAACTGTACATGAAGATTAATCAAATAGTGAATGGATTTTTTTATGGTGAGGACTCGGGTATTGCTAAAAGAGTTCAAAGTAACTCTGGACAATTTGTTTCTATTCTTTTGCCTAGTGTATAGCAGGTTCTCAATAAATATTCAGGAACTCAATAAATAAGTTTTTTCTTTCTTCCTCATTGTATGTGGAAATGGGTTTAGGCCTCAAGTTCTGATCTTCTGTCACTCATCAAACATTTATTGAGCAACAACTGCCTCTCAGGCACTGTGTTACATATAATAAGAAATGGTCCTTATCCAGAAGGAACTCAAGATTAGAAGATAAATTAAACATATGAACACACAGCATTAGAGAGTTTGAGAGGTATACACACAATTCTGTGGCCACATTGAGGATGTGGATCTTAACTATTTGGGCAAAAGGGAAAACTATAGGGAAGTAACATTTGATCTAAATTTTTAAGAAGTTGAAAGTTCATAAGAAAGCAAAATATATAAATAGTATACAGCCCATTCCTTCACTCTAAACTCTAATTCAGCTAGCTTCTTATAGCTAACAAATTCTTTTCACTGTGCTGTTTAAAAGAACATATATTGAGTGACTACTGGCTATGCATTTTTATAGGCACCAGGGGTACAAAGATTCATCAAGTTTAAAAGCTAAAGGAAGAAATCAAAGCATACTTCTTTAAGTCTGCTAGGGCATTCCTGAGCTACACATTTATCTTAGTTTAGGAATAAATACTGTCTGATGAAAAGGTACAGAATGGAAACCCACAGCCCATTCTCCTTGTCTTAACCATATTTATATTGAGACTAAAGATTTGATCATCTGAGGCCCCAAGCAACCCAAAATAGAAATGGAAGTCTTAATAAGGTGTTTATGGCATCATATCTAACAGAGTAAAATATGTGTACTCTTTTGCTAATGAAAAAAAAAATAGCCATATAGCTTTGTATTTTCAGAATAATTTATGATAACTTGAAACTCTAAGGAAAGAGCAAGTAATTGGGGGTGGGGCGAAGGAGGTGCAGGGGAATCAAGTCAAATAGATAACTAGGTCAATGGTATTCATATTTTAACTCAAATTAGTATATGACTACATGAATACTTTCTTGTGAGATACTCAAATGATCCAGAAATATATATACAAGGTGGGGCAAAAGTGGGTTTACAGTTGTATGTGAACACAGAGACTACTTGTACTATTATTTATTAATCGTATTATTTTCCATATGAGCAACTGTAAACCTACTTTTGTTGTCCCTGCTATGAGAACTCCCTCCCCCCCCATTTCCTCCAACTGTGTTAACCAATGTATCCTATATAATAAAAGACTAATATGCAAATCGACCAAAAGGTAGAATGACCAGTCACGATGACATGCACTGACCACCAGGGGGCAGACACTCAACTCAGGATCTGCCCTCTGGTGGTCAGTGCACTCCCACAGGAGGAGTGCTGCTCAGCCAGAAGCCGGGCTCATGCTGACGAGCAGAGTGGCGGTGGCAGGAGCAACCCCCAAAGGCTCCTACAGGCCAGAGAGAGTGCAGGTCAGACTGAGGGGAACTTCCCCCCCTCCCCCCCAGTGCACCAGGCCTCTAATATATATATATATATATATATATATATATATATATATATAGAGAGAGAGAGAGAGAGAGAGAGAGAGAGAGAGAGAGAGATTTGCTAAATAGAACAAGACTTGAAAAGTCCTCCTGCTCTCCCACTTCATTCTATGTCTGTTCTATTCGCAGGGGTAACCACTATCAAGTTAGCATGCCTCTTGCAGTTTTCTTTTGTTACATATTTTTTTTAATAAATTGTATTATCCATACATATTATGCTGACAATTTTCACTTAATCATATGTCTTGGAGATCTTTTTAACTCATTACATATACCAACACATTCTTTTTAGTGGCAGTACATTCTTGATGATTCAATATTCACATAGATGATCCTTCCAGCACCCCGGTCTCCCTACCACTTATTCCCATGGTCATACTTTAGACCTGACTGAAATAACAGACAGAAGCTACTATTCAGTATTTGAAGTGTGAATATTCTAAATTGAAATGTGTAAAATACACATTAAGTTTAAAGATTTACTATGTAAAAAAAGAATATATAATTTGAAATTTCCTAGTAGACACATTGAAAAAACAAATTAATTTTATTTAACCCAATATTACTGAGTAACCTTTAAACATGTAATCAATAGATTATTTGTTTTTTCAATGTGCGTACTAGGAAATTTCAAATTATATACATAACTCACAGTACATTTTCATTTCTACTACGTTGCTTTAGACCTTGTCATTATCAAATTCAAACTCTTCACATTCTCAGTTTTAAAATCCAATTTTATCACTATCTCCTGTCCTTCAAGTTCATTTCATTCTCAGGCCACGACTCCAGCATTACTTCAGCCTTTCCAGAACCTATAATCCAACAGTCCCACTAACTTTTCACATCCCCTCACATCCTTATTGCCCTTCTCCAATTTCAGCCACATCAACCTTTTTAAAGTTTCCCAATCTCGAGGCAAAAGATGAAAACAAAAATGAATCTAGCTAAAGTTGATAGTTAAATAAAGACACTGGCCTCTTTGTTTCCTTTTGTGAATTTTCTGTTTATGTCTTTTGACCATGTGAATTGTGGAAGCTCTATAAATTGTTTTATTTCCTCATATGCTTAAGTAGTAATCTGAGACATACAGCAAGGTTGACTTATGTTCATCCTCCCTGCCATATGAAAGTAGAAGAGGGACTTGTATTTCTCGCCATGATTTCAATTTGCCTTTTCTACAATAGAAAAGTCTAGGAATTCTTGCCCAAGTGATTGTAATACCGTAGATCTGAAAGAGGAAATTAAGGCAAACTTCATCTGGGTGAACCACAATGAAGAAAAGCAGCAAGAGGTGTCAGATACAGCCTGGTTCAAATTCTAGCTTCACTAATTACCAACAGGCTATTTCACCTCTCTGCATCTCAGTTCCCTCATCTGTAAAACGAGGAAAAAAGACTGTATTAAGTCAGAATTAAATTAGTTCATATACATAAATAAAACAAGAAGTCTCTATATGTTGTAGCCATTATTGTCATTGTTGTTATTACTGCATACATAGCCTGTAGTTATAAGCTTAGCATTTTCCTAGGAAACATAAAGAAGCACAACAAAGAAAATTCACAAGATATATTTCATTTGAATAAATATATATTCATTTATTCAGGTGACACTGATTCGACAACTAGTGTATGAAACACATTGTATACCACACACTGGGCAAGCTACCTAACCTTTCTGACTATGTTTCCTTTGAAAACATTCTAATAACTGCTTTGAAGTGAGGTTATAAGGATGAAAGGACATGGAACCATACCTAGTATATAGGAGGTGCTCAATAAATGTGTTTACATTGTCTGTTTTCCCTAGTGGGTGTATAACAATGACTGAGATGTTGTCCCTGCTATGAGAACTTTCTCTTTTGTCTTTTCCCCCCATTTCCTCCAACTGTGTTAAACATGTGATTTTCCTCTGCTTTTGCATTGTATTCCATCATACTGCATAGCTTGGCAATGTATTATATTGATTTTTCTCCCAACTTTTATACAATTGTATTGTCTTTTGTAAACTATCCAATATTTGAATTTCAAGTTTAAGCAGTAATATTATGAAAAAAATGGCTTTCCACAGATGTGGCTGATTTGAATAGAATTTGTTACTTGCCTTCCTAAGATGCCCATCTGGTGTGGTTCAGTGGTTGAGTGCTGACTTATGAACCAGGAGGTCATGGTTCCATTCCATGTCAGGGCACATGCCTGGGTTGCAGGCTTGGTCCCCAGTAGGGGGCGTGCAGGAGGCAGCTAATCAATGATTCTCTCTCACATTGATGTTTCTATACTTCCTCTCTGTAACCAATAAAAACATCAAAAAACAAACAAACACATTTCTTCAAAGATATATAACCCATATTTTTCTACTTTTATTCTAACCCTACAAAGATAGTCACACTAACATTAATAAACATAAATAATTGAATCTTAGTAGTCCCTACCAGGTTCACTAAAGTAACAAAGCCCCCCTAAAGTCACCCCAAGATTAGGCACAGCAAAAGGGAAGATTAGTGAACTTGAAGAAACAGCAACATAAACTTCAAAATGAAACTGATAAAAAAAAAAAGATCTCACTCATTTATGGAATATAACGAACATAAACTGATGAATAAAAACATCCAGAGACAGAGAAGCATTAATCAGATGCTCAAACCTCAGAGGGAAGGTATGGAAGGGTGGAGTGTAAGGAGGAGAGACCAACCAAAGGAATTGTATGCATGCATATAAGCCTAACCAGTGGACACAGACACAAAGGGAGTGAGAGCATGAGCAGGGGAATAGGGTGGGGGAGCCTCAATGGGAGGATAAAGAACACATGTAATATCTTAAACAATAAAGAAAAAAACCTGCCAAAACCGGTTTGGCTCAGTGGATAGAGCATCTGCCTGCGGTCTGAAAGGTCCTGGGTTCGATACTGGTCAAGGGCATGTACCTTGGTTGTGGACACATCCCCAGTAAGGGATGTGCAAGAGGCAGATGATTGATGTTTCTCTCTCATTGATGTTTCTAACTCTCTATCCCACTCTCTTCCTCTCTCTAAAAAACAAACAAAAAACCTTAAAAATATATATATTTTTAAAAACTGATAAAAATTAAAATAGTATTAGTGAATAACCTTACAAACCTGTAATTGAAGGCATCGAGGGGGTGAGCAGAAAAAAATTTGAAATATTAATGGCTGAAAATTTTCCAAACTTTATGAAAATTATAAAATTACATATTCAAGTTCTGGTCCAAGGTGGTGACATAGGATGCTCCTAAACTTACCTCCCAAAGACACACTGAATCTACAGCTACACACAGAGCAATGGCCTCTGAAAGAAACCTAGAAACTACCTGGGTGACACCTACACATCAGACAAGTGAGAAAATATACCAAGTGGGCAGGAAAGGATTGAAACACACTCTCACCCTAAGCCCCATCCCAATACAGCAACATACGCTCAGGGTGGAATTTAAAAATCTCAGCTTCTCTCTGGGACACCTAGTGCCTCAAATGTAAGATGTCCACCTGAGGGAAGGGCCCCCAAAATACCCAGCTCTGAAAGCCAACAGTTTTGTTGTCCATGAGACTCACAAGACAATAGCAAACAAAAAAGCAGTTGTTAACGGGTAGAAAATCTCCCAGGTCAGAGGGAGCAGGCGAAAAATGCCCATCTCCCAGTTTCCCCTGAAAAATGTCCATCTCCCAGTTATCCCAAAATCGTCCCTTTCCCAGTTTTGCACAGTTTAAAGGATACTGCCTACGGTCAGAATTCTAATTTAACACGTCTAGGAGCCAACTGCAAGCCTTCCCGGAGACTAAGGAAGCTGGCAGACACCTCTCTTTCCTGAGGCCACTCCACGTCACCAGTATCTCCCTGAAGGAGCTAATACACCTGTGCAACAGCTTTTCTGCTGCCACCTATGGGACATGTTCCCGATCTGGCTCTGATAACCAATGAGTGCCCACTCACTAGTGCCACAGGACCATAGCAAACAAAGAACCAATTCTTTTTTTATTGAAAAAAAAATATCTTTTTTCCACAGAGGGAGAGAGAGAGAAACATCAATGATGACATAGAATCATTGACTGGCTGCCTCCTGCACTCCTCCCACTGGGGTTCAAGCCCACAATCGAGGCACAGGCATGTGCCCTGACCGGGAATCAAACTGAATGGAACCATGAACTCCTGGTTCATAGGTCGATGCTCAACCATTGAGACACCACAGCCCGGCAGGAACCAGTTCTTATCCCAGCTAGTATATCCCCAGGGCTCAGCAAAGAGGGATTAGGAAAAACAAATAAACAAAAAATAACCCATTTCCCAATCTTCAAAAGGGGTCTATTCATGTATTTTAAAAGATACTGCCTGACCAGGTTTCTAACATAGCAAGCATCTAGGGGCTAACTGCAATCTGCCCCCAGAGAGCAGGGAAGCCTGCGTACACCCCTTATTCCAGCCAGCTCCAAGTCCCGGTATCTCCCTGGAAGAACTTTTCAGTTAGATGTAGTCCCACTTGTTTATTTTTGCTTTTATTGCCTTGACTGTTTGTGTCAGATCTAAAAAATAATCAAGACCAATGTCGAGGAAGCAATGCATTCTTAAACAACCATAGGTTAAAAAAAAAAAATCTAAGGGAACTTAGAAAATATCTGGAAATAAACAAAAATAAAAATACATCATCAAAACTTATGAAAGCAATCTAAGAAGAGAAGTTTGTAGCGATAAACACATTAAAAAAGAAGGATCTCTTGGCCTGGCTGGTTTTGCTCAATGGATAGAGCATCGATCTGTGGACTGAAGGATCCTGGATTCTATTCCTGTCAAGGGCACATGACCAGGTTGTGGGCTTGGTCCCTAGTGGGGAGCATGCAGGAGGCAGCCATTCGATGATTCTCTCTCATCATTGATGCTTCTTTCTCTCTCCCTTCCTCTCTGAAATCAATTATATAATATATATGGATTGCAACTAAAAATCTAAACCTATACCTCAAGGAACAAACTAAACCCTAAGTTAGCAGACATAATAAAGATTAGAGCAGAAACAATTGAAATAGAGAATAGAAAATCATATAAAATATAAATGGAACTCTTAGTTGTTTTTTTCTAACAGATTTACAAATTTGACAAACCCTTAGCTAGACTAAATAAGAAAGAAGACTCAAATAAAATGAGAACTGAAAGAAGGGAGTTTACAACTGATGCCACAGAAATAAAAAGGATTATAAGAGAATCTATGCCAGCAAATTAGATAACCTGGGAGAAATGAGCAAATTTTTAGAAACATGTACCCACTAAGACTGAATCATGAAGAAATAAATTTGAACAGACCTATAATTAGCAAGGAGCTTAAGCAGTAATTAAGACACTCCCATCAAAGAAAAGCCCAGGACCAGAAGAAGAATTAACACCAGTTCTCTCCAAACTCTTCTTAAAAATTGAAGAGGAGGAAAAATTGAAGAGGAGGGAACATTCCCAAACTCAATTCTATGAGGCCAACATTACTCTGACACCAAAACCAAAAAAGACATAAGAAAAAAATATTAATGTTCTTGATTAATATTAATATAAAAATCCTAAACAAAATACCAGCAAACTGAATTCAACAGCGCATTAAGAGGATCACACACCACGACCAAGTGGGATTTATACTTGGAATACAAGAATAATAATAATAAAAAAGCAATGTTATATACCACATTAACATAATCAAGCACAGTATGAGTATCGCAATCAATGCAGAAAAACTGAATGCTGTTTTATGATAATAGATACTCAACAAACAGAAATAGAGCTCCCTCTTTTCCTTAGCCACATTCAGGGGCTCCTGCTTTTATAAGCAGTGCCAGGCAGGGCATCAGGGAATCCTCAGAAAAACAAGCCCCTTCTCTGCTGGAGCTGCTGATTATCTTGAAGTGGGACAATCAACCAGATTGCTACATGGCACAGGCAACTATAGTTCCAAGGGCAAAGAAAATCAAGTGTAAATAAACCTCAGTTCCTTTTTTATTTACTTATTTTTATTTCAGAGAAGAAGGGAGCAGGAGAGAGAAACATCAACGATGAGAGAATCGCTGATCGGCTGCCTCCTGCATGCCCCACACTGGGAATCCAACCTGCAACCTGGGCATATGCCCCTAGTCCAGTGTTTCTCAACCTGTGGGTCAAAGCCCCTTTGGGGGTCGCCTAAGACATCCTGCATACCAGATATTTACATTATGATTCAAGTAGCAACGAAAATAATGTTATGGTCGGGGGGGGGGGGGGGGGGGGAGGGGTGTGTGTCACCACAACATGAGGAACTGTATTCAAGGGTCGCGTCTTTAGGAAGATTGAGAACCACTGCAGCCGGAATCCAACCGGGGTCCCTTCAATCGCAGGCCAACGCTCTGTGCACTGAGCCAAACCAGCTAGGGCTCGGCTCCTTTTTAATACCTTTTTAACCTAGTGTCCACCGTAAGCCAAGGGCTGTGCTGTTTCCTTATACCCCACGTCCACATCAGGAGATATGTAACGTGCCCAAGACTTTCTTCCGGAAACTTCACGGTCTACAGACTCTGCCCTCGGAGGCGGGGTGAGCGGGACAAATACTCCCCACGTCGCTCCATGGCTCGGAGTCTCACCGCTCACACGCCCCGCAGGGAGCCCCTGGGCAGGAAGTCGCGGGGAGCCCCTGGGCAGGAAGTCGCGGGGAGCCCCTGGGCAGGAAGTCGCTAAGCGCGCGGCCGGCGTCTGGGAGCCAATCAGCTGCCGAAGCCCCGCCCCCTCCGAGTAACGTGCCCCCAAAGATGGCTGCGCCCGCGCGAGCAGGTTGAAGGTTGCCGTGAGCCTTAGGGCCGAGGGAGGCCGGAGCCAGGAGCCGGCACCGAGGGCGGCCGGGGGAGCACAAGGTACTCATCCCGGGGAGGAGGCGCAGGAAGTGCCTGGGGGTCAGAAGCGCGGCGGGAATGCGATCCCGAGGGGGATAAGACGGGGAGGAGAGGCCCGTCGGCGCCTGCCGTCTCCTCCCTTTACACCTTAGAAGAAAAGACCTTGTTTAAAGCAAGCCAGTAGGAGAAAAAAAACCCCACAAAACACACACCTGCACTTGAATATAACCCCGGGTTTACTGCCAATGCATAGGGTATCCTGGGCCTAACTTAATTTTCCGAGGTCCTGCTTTTCTCATTGCCTAGCAGAGCTGTCCCGAGTGACGTGCGATGGCCGAATATTCGGAGAAAAGGGGCCTTTCGCCATTGCCCTGCTCTGACACCCACCCCTACTAGTGCCTGGGCCAACCAGCTACTGGCCTGTGGGCCAGCTGAAGTCCGTAGCGTCTGTATGACCAGCCAGCTAAAAATGATTATGCTTTTTAAAAGTTTTCAACAAGGACTACAGGTGACCTGCAAAGCCTAAAATACTATTTAGCCCTTTAGAGGAAAAGTTAGCCGACCTCTTCTGTAGTGAAATTGTTGGGTATGTGCCTTCTATTTAGTAAATACCAAATTCCCTTCCAAAGTAGTTTTCCCCAAACTGGATATAATTTATGCTTCCACCTGCAACACGATTTACCTTACATTCTTGCCAGTAATTGAAATGGTCGGGGGTGAGGGGTGTGTGTGTGTTAGCTAACTTAAGTCCGCATATTTGTATCACTCTGGTTTTAATTTCTATTTCCCTGATTATGAAGTTTAGCACATTTTTATGTTCATTGGCTCTTTAGCTTTCCTTTAAGCAAAGCTCTTGTTCAAACCTGTTTTCAATTTTTCTGTTAGGTTGTTTGCTCTTTTTTGTCGATTTGTACTTTACACATCCTGGTTATTAACTCTTTTGTCTATTATATTGCAAACATTACTTTCACACTGGCTTATCTTTATTGTGTCTATTGATGAACACAAGTTCTTAATATTAGTTTAGTATTAATTTTATAGTTTTTGGTGCTATTTGCAAATTAAGAATATTTTTAAGGGCTATAAAAAGTCTATTCCTAGAAGTTCTATCCATTGCTTTTCATGTTCTCTGATTCTATTTCACTTAGAATTCATTTTGGGAAGGGGAAAGGTATGGCGTGCTGCAGATTTTGAATTCAATCTACATATCTAATTCTCTTGAAATTATTAATGGTCTTCAGAGGCTTTATAAGCTCTTTTGTTTTTTTCTCTAGATATTCACTATTGAAAAATATTTTTAATTTTTTTAAGGTTCAAGATGGAAAATCATGAATCAGATGATACTTTCAAGAGAGAACACATTTTTGACATCATACACAGAAAAATTAACCAACTTCCAGAAGCAGAAAGGTAGGATCCCATCTTAATTTAAAACATACCTTTTACTAGGTGAATATTATCTCAAATTTACTTGGTTTCTGTGTAAACATAGACTACCAGAAGGAAACTGTACATTTTCTTGCCTTGAGAAAACTAAGGCCCAGCACCATTAACAATTTAGCTTGAAGTGAAGGCTAGATAGAATTCATATCTTTGGACATATCTAATTATATGATGGTTCTCATTTTTCCTATTTGGCTTAGAGTATAGTCAAATGTACATTTGTGGACTCATTAAAATATCAAAACTTTAAAATGGCTTTTAAAGTGTTTAATTCATATTATCATTATGCTGACCATAATCATAGAGAAGGCTGTTGAACACACATAGCTAGATAAGGAATCTCAAGATAATAGGATCATGTTTAAAAGATCTTTAAGGTGTTATTAAACAGAAAAGGGCTATGTAGGAAATGTACTGGTCTGTGAAGACAACAGAGTGAACTACAGTAGTTTATTTTTGGAAAACAGATTTAAGGTAGAAAAGACCAAAAGGAAAACAAAGTAATCCTGGTGCATGATGATGGTAACAGTTGAGATAAAAATTGGGTGGGCTGAAACCGGTTTGGCTCACTGGATAGAGCTTTGGCCTGCGGACTCAAGTGTCCCAGGTTTGATTCCGGTCAAGGGCCTGAACCTTGGTTGTGGGCACATCCCCAGTGGGGGATGTGCAGAAGGCAGCTGATGTTTCTCATTGATGTTTCTAACTCTCTATCCCTCTTCCTTCCTCTCTGCGAAAATTCAATAAAATATATATATATTTAAAATTGAATGGGTTTGAAGTATAATTTTACATACCATATATTTATTGCCACTTGTTAAATTTGGTCTTGGATTTTATGTCTAGTTCATATGTCTAATTATTTGTGTATCTTATAAAATGTCATGAGTGGCTAGTTTTATAGGCACTTTCTTGGAAAATTAACTGGTAAAGGATCTACCAGATAATTTTGTACTTACTGATTTATTAACTAAAAAAATGTAACTTAGCCGAAACCGGTTTGGCTCAATGGTAGAGCGTCGGAATGCGGACTGAAAGGTCCCAGGTTCGATTCCGGTCAAGGGCATGTACATTGGTTGCGGACACATCCCTGGTAGGGGGTGTGCAAGAGGCAGCTGGTCGATGTTTCTCTCTCATCGACGTTTCTATCTCTCTATCCCTCTCTCCTCCTCTCTGTAAAAAATCAATAAAATATATTTTAAAAAATACCAATTTATTTAAAAAAATGTAACTTAAAGGTATAGTAAATTAAAATCTGGTTGGGAGACAACAAATTTTGCTATTCAGAGTCCAGTTGTACTTGTTTTATTTACATATTTATTTTTATTATATTTTAGAGTAATATATAATTTATAATATTAAAATATTTGGGCAAATTATTTACTTCTGAGTATTCACTCCTTAAAATAGAGATAAATATTGAATAGGATTATTATGAAGATAAAATAACTTAATATTTTAGAGGAAGTGTTGAAATTTCTCCCTCAAAAACATTCGTGTTTTTTGTTTGGTGGGTTCTTCTCTAGGCTCTCATCACTCTTTAAAAATTACCTTATGTACTCTTAAGTTACTAAACTGCCTCTCTCCTATTACTATTTATTAAGACATGTTTTATCTTAAGTTTATATGTCTTTCATCCTCTAATAATAAAACTAAAAACAGTGAAGGTTAATGGTAAATGTTTTTGTCTTGAGCAGCAAGTCTGCCTATAGTGACATGATTGCGTGAAAGGTTAAGAAAAATAACACCTTACAGAAGCTCTATTACGAATCAACTAGGAAAGCTGTGCTGAGTATTAAATAAACATAGATGTCAGAGGAATCATTGTGTGGCTAGGTTGGCTAAAAATAATGGAATTAAAAGAGACTTTGCATCAAGGAATGGCTGCACAATGCAGAACGCAGATGGTGTTTTACTTACAGATTTCAAAACCATACACTTGTAATCTGTATGGTTTTATGAATCATGTAACTCCAATAAATTCCATTTAAAAAGTAATGAGACTTTTGAGAGATCAACACCAGTTGTGTTGTAGATGGTAAGGTAAGGTAGTAAAGTTGAATGGTAGGTTGAAGAGTTTGGAGTACTTTCAATACCCAGCAATAATTTTAGGCATTATTTTTTCCAAAACAAAAGGATGCTCAGAACATGTGTCTTAAATTCATCCATGCCATAGCTTAAAAACCACTTACCTGGCATAGGCTATCCCTTAAATGTTAGTCCCCTTCCAATCCTTGAATCCTGAAGCTAATGCTTTAGGGAAGAATGAATTGAAAAGTTATCTTTACCTCTTTGAATGCCTTCTGTGTGTCAGGTGCTATTGAAACCAAGAGGAATTTATATCCATTGTGCTCAACTTCTTTACAGTGGGGAACATGAATGGAGAACTCTTTATAATATGTTGTGCTAGAGAAGAAGTATTGGGTATTTTGGGAGTCTAGAGGAGAGGCATCCATATCAGACTCTTCAAGCTCTTCCTGGCTATCTATATTTGAGGGAAATTTCTATACGAATATCCTTTGCAAATCTAAATGTATCACTGTACCCTTAAGTGATACCAAATTCAAAAGCCTTTCAGAATAAAAATCTGTACGTAAAACATTTTTTAAAATATTTTGATTTTTTAACAGAGAGGGAGAGGGAAAGAGAGAAACATCAATCAGCTGCCTCCTGCACACACCCCCACTGGGGATGTGCCAATAACAAGGTACATGCCCTTGACCAGAATCGAGCCGGGGGCCCTTGAGTTCTATCCTCTGAACCAAACCGGTTAGGGCTGTATGTAAGACATTTTAAAGGTTTTTGTTTATAGAGCTATAAGGGATAAATGTTGTATCCTGTTAAGACCAAATTAGTTCTCTAACATGCCAGAAATATCAGGAGCTCCATAACACACAGTAGGGCTAACTAAATTACTACTTTTTTCTTCACCCACTTAGGAACCTACTTGAACATGGGTCAACATATATTGGACTAAATGCTGCTCTCTGTGGCCTAATAGCAAACAGTCTTTTTCGACGTGTCTTAAATGTGACACAGGCTCGTATAGCTGCTGGTTTACCAATGGCAGTGATCCCATTTTTGACAGCAGACGTATCTTACAAAACCGTTGTAAGTTTACCACTGAATACAGGTAAATTCCATTTCACTATCTCCATAGTTTGATTTGGTATATAAATATTTGCATCTTATAGTAATTCTTAAGGTGGCAATTAATTCATATTAGCATGGACTACCAAAAAGTGCACATACATGGCAGTTCTAAATACTTTCCTTTATCTAGCTTATCTTTCCAACAATGCTTAGAATGTTTTAAAACTTAATTTAAAAAAAATGCTGTCCACCTTAGTATTTTTTAAAAAAAAATTAGAGAGAATTCCTTAAAGGGAAAAAATATTTTTATGTAAATAGTAAACCTCTCGAAACACTTCTTAAGTACATACAAGAATTGTTAAATGTATGGAGATTTGATTTCCTTTTGATAGATTACCATACTGTATGTACCGAGTGCTTTGAGTATAGCTAATCATGAAAATTTTAATAATTTAAAATAAAAGTATTACTACAAGTGGTGGTGGAGAGGGAGGCAGCTCATTTAAATTCTCTTCTGCTAAGTGCTGCTCTACATTGGTTTAAATTGTATGACTGTTTGGCTTGAATCCTTACAATCACTGGAAAGAACTTTATGATCTAGGGAAACTTATTGCCTAATGAATTGAACAGACTGACTGAGGAAAACATGTTACAACTTACCTTTCTATTTTTAATATACTTTATACTAATTTGGAAATGAATAATTTTATAAAGTCTCACTATGTAATGTAAAAATATAAGATGAAGTATAAATTATAAAACAAAATCCCCATAGATTAAAAGAAGTTTAATACAAAGTACAGCAAGCTGAATGCAGTGCAAACCAAAATTATATTCGGTCAAGTTCAGAACAAATTAGAGAATTTTTCCTAGGATGTTTTAGCTATTTTAAGTTATCTGTACATGTAATAATACCTTTTAACATGCCTTGTAGAATTACATTTGCTCTATCACTGCCTGAAAATTGAATCTTTGTGATACATATAAGGGGACCTTGCATTCTTTAAATTGTGTTTGCTTAACTATCGTGATCTTCATCACCACAACCAATTTGTTCTCTAGGTGATTTGCATTGTGAAACCTGTACCATAATACGAGGTGGATTGGTTGGACTGCTTGTGGGTGGTCTGTACCCTGTTTTCTTGGCTATTCCTGTGAATGGTGGCCTAGCAGCCAGGTAGGATTCTTTGTTTTCTCTTAATCATTGAAAAACTTTAGTAACATATAAATGATTACCTAGAAAATATGTAACTTAAAACAGCAAATACATTTTCTAAGACATTGTTACTTGTGATTTGAAAGAGATAAGACTTTTTCTTTTTCTTATAAATATTCTCAAGAATTTGAAAACAGTTCTTGAATCTTACCACACTGTACCTCTTGGGTGTGTAGTTCAGGTTGGTAACCTTAATTTACGGTTTACGTTAATTTAGAACTTACAAAGCTACTGATACTACTATTTCTAGCTCTAAAACCATCCTATATAACAAAAGGCTAATATGCGAATCGGCGGGATGGGAGAATGACTGGTCACTATGATGCACACTGACCACCAGGGGGCAGATGCTCAACCAGGAGCTGCCCCCTGTGAGCAGTGCTCCCACAAAGGGAGTGCTGCTCAGCTAGAAGCCCTGAGCAGGGGTTCACAGCTGGCAAGTTCAGCAGCAGTGGCGGAAGCCTCTCTCACCTCCACAGCAGCGCTAAGTATGTCCAACTGACAGCTTAGGTCCTCTCCCCTAGGCCCTCCCCAAGGGCTCCTGGGATGTGAGGGGGTGCAAGTCAGGCTGAGGGACCTTTCTCTCCTTCTGTCTCCCCCTCTCCCCCCCAATTCACAAATTTCATATACTGGGGCCACTGGTGTTACATATACAATGTTCTTCAGAATTTGAGCACTTCCACTAAGAGCATTTTCATCAGAATATGTCTCGCTATAAGCTTTCTACTTCAAAATAATCGTTTTTCTCTGATGAAGTCTTATATCAAGTACTCTATGCTCTATGAGCCTCCATTGGTGAACTGGAGAAAGGGGCAAAAAAAAAAAAAATTCTCCAAAGAGAGTTTTGAGGACTAATAGTAGTAATGCCTTAATCTTTAAACTATTTAAGACTTCTGAGATTAATATATACATTTTATATTGGTTTGCCATTTGACACAATGATCTTTTCTAGTGAACTGTTCTTAATGTTTTCCTATAGGTATGCCTCAGCCCTGCTACCAGAGAGAGGAAACATCTTAACCTACTGGATCAGAATTTCTCAACCTATCTTTAGAAAGATGTTATTTCCTATTTTGCTCCAGACTGGGTTTTCAGCATACCTTAGTTCAAGGCAATATAAACTACTTATAAAGGCTCTTCAATTACCTGAACCTGGCCTAAACCCTGAATGATTGTTAAGCAAATGTGTACCCAAAAATAAAAATAACCAATGTCTACTGTATGAACATCTATCTATACACTGAATGGCCAGATATGATGATCTCTGCATAATAATCTGACGTGTGTGTGTATGTGTATTAAGAGGCCTGGTGCATGAATTCGTGCATGGGTGGGGTCTGGTCAGCCTGGCTGGCCTGCCTGCTGATCAAACTCCTGGTCAAAGGGACAATTTGCATAATTAGCCTTCCATTAGCATATACAGAGTGGCCAGATTATTATGTGTTCAGAGATCATAATAATCTGGCCACTCAGTGTACAAATAAAAGCCTAAACGACCAGAACAACCAGTCACTATGACGCTCACTGACCACCAGGGGGCAGACACCTAACGCAGGAGCTTCCCACAGGTGGTCAGTGCACCCTAACAGCCAATTTTCCCCTGCCAGCCAACCTCCTACAGTCTCCCCCCCCTCCCAATCTGACAGGCCCCGACGGTCTGAATGGGCTGGCCCCTGAGCCGGGACGGGGAATTGAGGGTAAGTGGCAGTGGACGTGGCCTCTCCCAGGAAAGCGGAGGGCTGGCTCCCTTCTTGGGGCCAGCAGGCCCCTATCACCACCTGCCTGCCAAGATGGAAGGAGGAGGGGAGAGGCAAGAAACTGCACGGTGGTAGGGTGCCGACAATGGTGGCGGCAGTGTCCGTTCCTAAAGTGCCTGGCCTGGCCCTGATAGCTGGCCAAGCCTAGGGACTCCACCCGTGCACCAATTTCGTGCACCAATTTCGTGCACTGGGCCTCTAAAAGACATAATTTATCACGAGGTACAACTCTGATGAGACCTACTTAATAACACTAAAGGCTACCCCCTTAAACAAGAGCATAACTTCTCTAGTTTGCCTTGTAGTGTCTTTACCAGACTTGCTCTATGCCTTTAAATTAGGCAGAGTTTGATCTTTAACAGAAAAAACAAACATAACCATAAAACAGTTTACAGTGAAGACTTCATAAAGAATCCAATCAGGAATGAAAATGGGGGGTGAAGTGGGAATATCGGTACACCACCAAACGTTATTTATACTTCATTTTCCTAACTCATTGTTTCCACTGGTATTAATCCAGACTTTTGGAACATTTTCATTAACCTTCCTCACAGAAGAATCAATTCCAGTATTCTTTACAGATGGTTATTTAGGCTCAACTTGAGCTCTTCTAATGATATAATTACACGCTTCAAAAGTCACCTATTTATATTCTTGGAGAAGACAGGCTGATCCTACCTTTGAAGTTTCCATCTAGTATGGAATAGTTCTTTGGAATCACAGAGTTGAGCCTTTAAGCTCCGTGATGCTAAACAAGTTAGCCTCTCTGGCCCAATGCTTATCATTAACCTCACTCAAAATTTGTATTACATAACACGTAATTTGCCTAACACAGGCACTCACATGGTAGCCATATTCCTATTGTTACTGGTTTTGTTTTCTGACCTGGAATCAAACCCTGATCTAGTTCATGGGTCCATGGGAACCACACCAGCGGGGCCCCTTCCTAAAACTTTTTATCTTAATTCTTTAAATGATTTTCTTTTGTGACAGCATTTAAATCACTATTATTCAACAGAACTTTGTGATGTTTTATATCTAACAATGTTAGCTACTAGCCATTGAGAACCTGAAATATGACTAATGCATGAATAACTTGTAAATTTTAAGTTTTTAGCCACATGTGGCTAAGGGTACAGTATTGGATAGCACCTATCCAGACCAATACTTTTCTGATGAAACAAGCCAAATGTACCAAACAAAATATTAAGTGATATCACAGATAGTATTCACAAGTATTTTAACTATTTCTTCCAAATACTGTATTTGTGACAACTGTTGTGATGTTATCATACTTATCATAAAAGAAAGAGTACCTTCATGAAATAGGTTTTCAGAGTCTCTAAAGGCGGCAATGCAGCTGAAGATTTAAGTGAAATTTTAAAATTACATTTTCAAATTTTCAGAAAGCAGATGATTTATCTTTAACAGGTACTTAAAAGGAAAAGTTACCTGTTCTACAAGCTAAAATATCAAGATAAAGCTCTGACCCCAAATTATGTATTTCATCTGCATTCTGTCACTTTTATTTAAAGCAGATTCTGTCACAGTGAAAACAATAGATTAAAAGTTATTGCTGACTTCAAAATCAAGAAGGCCAAATTACTAAATTAAACTTCTTAAAAAGCAGAGAAGGGTATAATCTATTTGGATAACTTAAAACCCACTGATGCAACTAAATTAGTGCAAATTGTTCCCTTACATATCCTTAAACATTCCCACAGTATTTGTCCAGTATACCATCTATAATAATCTATAATAATAACAGCATAATATGCTAATTAGACCATTCTTTCAGAGGAAGCCAGGAAGCCTGGGTCCAGGGTGCCTGTGCTGGCAGCCGGGGAAAGGGAAGCCTACTCTTGCACAAATTTTATGCATCAGGCCTCTAGTCTATAAATAGAAAAATTCAGAATGGCTTCAGGGTCTCTAATATATCCTTTACATCATGTATTTCTTAAAATCATCTTTTCAATTACATTTAGTGGCCAGATTATGATCTCTGAATGCATAATAATCTGGTGTGTGTGTGTGTATGTGTGTGTGTGTATATATTTTGATGCACCAGACATATGTATATGTATATCCTACCTAAGAGTAATATGCAAATTAACCATCACTCCACTACAAGCCACACCCACCAGCCAATCAGAGTAGGTATGCAAATAAACTCAACCAAGATGGCTACCGGCCAGAGAGCAGAAGGGAGGCTTGGGTTTCCCAGGCAACAACAAAAGCCAAGCTTTCCTCCTGCCCTTGCCTGACTAGGCTTCCACTCAAGACTACAAAGTTTCAATTATAGAAGGTAAACAAATCCAAACAGAAATGGCTGCGGGCCACGGATCAAGCAGGAGGCTTGGCTCTGCTCCAGGCTACAAAGTTTCAATTATATAACGTAAATAAATTCCAGATACCAGAGCCTCCGCTTGGGTCACCAGGGGACATGACGAGCCTGTAAACCACCACAGGCCCCTAGCTCAGGTCGCCCCACACCCCAAGAGAACCACCACCCTGATCCAGTACACCCTTCAGGGCAAACCAGCTGGCCCCACCTGTGCACCAGGCCTCTATCCTATCTAATAAAAGAGTAATATGCAGATTGACCATCACTCCCAACACACAATAACTGCCCCCATGTGGACACAAGATGGCCAGCAGGGGAAGGCAGTTGGGAGGCACCAGGCCTGCGAGGGCAGTAGAGGGACCAAGCCTGCAAGGAAGAGCAGTTGGAGGCAATCAACCCTGCAGGGGAGAGCAGTGAGGAGTGACCAGGCTGGCAGAGGAGGGAAGTTGGGGGCAAACAGGCTGGCAGAAGAGCAGTTAGACATCAATCAGGCTGGCATGGGAGTGGTTAGGGAGTGATCAGACTGGCAGGCAGAAGCGGTTAGGGGCAATCAGGAAGACAGGCAGGCGAACAGTTGTGAGCCAGCAGTCCTGGATTGTGAGAGGGATGTCTGACTGCCTGTTTAGGCCCAATCCCACCGTGATTGGGTCTAAATGGGTAATTGGACATCCCTCGAGGGGTCCCAGATTGTAGAGTGTGGAGGCTGGACCCCCCTCCCGCCCCATGCACAAATCTCGTGTACCAGGCCTCTAATATATGTATGTGTATGTAGGTAGATATGTACACACGCCTGGTGCATGAATTCGTGCATGGGTGGGGTCCAGCCAGCCTGGCCAGGGGGAGGGGATATGGGCGGTTGACCAGCCTGCCTGCTGGCTAAACTCCTGGTCAGAGATAATTTGCATATTAGCCTTTTATTATATAGGATATACACTGAGTGGCCAGATTATGCATTCAGGGATAATAATAATCTAGCCACTCAGTGTAATAAAATGGGCAGTATAGGCCAACGAGCATGTTATTTCAAATCTTGCTATAAATCTACCTTACCAAAATTTTTGATCTGGGAACATGAAAAATGAATTTGCATTATAATTTAAGGAAAGTAATTTGTAGCCAAGATCTAAACAATACTGCCTCAGTCAGAATAATCATTTTTAATAGTTCAGTGACAGCAAACTAGTTTTTTACAATTTGTAATTATTTGGCTCTAAAAAGAAAGTATCCATATATTGTAAGTACTTAAATTAATATAAATTTGTAATATAAATTTATTGTACTATAAGTACACTGAAATTCAGAGAGGGAGGTCTCGGAAATTGACCTCAATGAGTATGTAACAGGAAAGAGACAGAATTTGGAGGCACATTCTAAAGGAAGTTGGCCCACCAAAAAAATTCAAGTCTGAATATTAGCACAAGCATACAAATGTTCAAAACATCATTTGTGACTGCACCTATGTATACCAACACTTTTAGACTGTAAAATTAGAATAAAGATTGAGCAAAACATTCTCATCAAAACAAGTAATTTTGGCTCAACAAAATTTTTAAAATTATTAAAGCCTGTTGTGTACTGGCTTCTTTTAAAAAACTCTGGGAAACAGCTGAGTAAGAAATCCTGACTGCACCAATTGGGGAAAAAGTAAAAAACTAATAATAAAAACACTGCTAGTAACCAAAGTAATGAGAAAGGAAAGTTAATGAGCAACTTTCTATATCTTTAAAAAAAAATTGTTTTTCTCTAATTTTATTTATTTATTTTTAAATATATTTTATTGATTTTTTTACAGAGAGGAAGGGAGAGGGATAGAGTTAGAAACATCAATGAGAAACATCGACCTGCTGCCTCCTGCACACCCCCCCACTGAGGTACATGACCTTGACCGGAATTAAACTCGGAACCCTTCAGTCTGCAGGCACCCTCTGTCCACTAAGCAAAACCAGTTTTGGCTCTTAATTTTATATTATGTTCCTAATGCAAAACTACTTTCTGAATCAAATTTAAAATAAATCCAAGTTTAATTCTTCACTTTAATACAGAGTAAATGACCATTTGTAATCTAGATCAGAACTCAAACTGATAAGACAACAGGGAGTAACTAGTGAACAGAGTACTGAGATATTAAAAGTTCAGATATGTGAAATATATTGTGCTGGCCAAACAAAACATTCTATAAGTTTCTAATGAAAAACCTTCCCCCTTTTGATTCCTGGTTTAAGTGGTTACCTATTCAAGTAGTGAAGAAAAAACACAGTGAAATACGAAAATAAACATTTGGGAGGGTCTCAAAACTTTGTATTGATAATGTGTCTGGGGGAAAAAAACTAAAAACTTGAAAATATATTACTACCTCATTATCAGATTGTTTAGATTAAAAACTTTAGTAAGACCTTAAACTTAACCTTCAAAATGCTCAACTTGGTAATCACATCTTTTAAAAAAATAATTACTCATTAAAAGTGAATTATTCACCATGTTCCATCAAAGCAGAATAGTTGGTGCCTAATCATTGGCTGTAGAATTACAGTTGGCTATACTGTTGGTACTGTAAAAACACCTATCAGTCACTTTAGTAGCTACTGGGAATAGTCTGCTGTCAGGCATAACAGACACTGAATACACTTAGAATACAAGAAACTGAGTGGAATAGGTGTTGCATAATACTATATAATAAACTAAATAGAAGTTATAGTAAATTATTCTGGAAAAAAAGAAATAAGAGCTAATGTCCTATACCAGTAGTCGGCAAATCACGGCTCCTGAGCCACATGCAGCTCTTTGGTCCCTTGAGTGTTCTGGTCCCTTGAGTGTTCTAATGCCACTTCTTCAAAATAGACTCGCCTGGCCAAGGACCGACTTCTGCACATGGGCCATGAAGTTTCAATTACACTATGTATGTGCACACTCGCACATGGTATTTTGTGGAAGAGGCCAAAGAGCCGCATGTGGCTCGTGAGCCGCAGTTTGCTGGCCACTGTCTACACCATTTCCCACATCTATCACTTGTATACTTCTCAAATGTAAGATAACATAGCATAGTTAAGTCTAATCCAGGTAAAAGAATGTATTAACACAATCTAACAAAAATGAAATAAAACAATCCAGAGTTCTGAGTGTTTTTTCACACTGCAATAAACTGGAGAAATGTTTTGATTAAACAAAACAGCCCTATATTCCACGAAAAAAAGCCACTCCCATCATCCAGAATACTAAAGCCCTTACATAACACTAGAGAAATTTTAACTTATATGAAATAGTAGAAACTAGTATACCATTCATTAGAAAACTCAAAATATTAAAAAAAAAAATTTGTCAAGTACTCAGAGAAAGCGCAAGAAGCCAAAACCTCAGAATCCACACATCCTGATATTACCCTGAATTGCAATTAACTAACCACACATTTTATCATAAGACAACTTTTTCAAAGATATACAGACAACGCTTCTATTTAAAAAGATTACTCTTTATAGGTAAGGACTTTACATTAACTTTCATATTCTATTGGCAAGATCTGTCTGAACTTCAGATTATCTTTCATGTTCCAGGAAATACAAACTCATGATATGCCTGTGATCTCTGATGGCTTGTTTATCAATTCTATTCCACTAAACATAATTCCATAGAATGTGTTCTTGATTATGTAAAGAATCTAGTACTCCTTGATGAAATATTATAATTCTCTTCTCCAATGGTTACAATTTTAAAAAGGTATGCGAAGAACTGAGTATCACTCCTTTGAAAGACCAAAAAAAAGTATAATTTTGTTCCAAAATTAACTTAGTCTCATGTATTTCTATTAAGTCTTTCAAGGATTCCAGAGAATCTTTTCAAATCTCCATTTCTGAAAAGTGAAACCACTATAGAAGTAATTTGGGAACTTGAAAATGGCATTCATTTTTTTCAGCAGATGCCAAATTTTTGACAGACATGGCTCCCACAACTACTTTGTTACCATCAGTCCAGTCAGTTAACAGGTTGTAGGAAAAGATTCGCTTTTGCAGACACTGCTAAGCTGTTCAAAGAGAAGAGAGAGAGATTAATTTAGTGATTATAAAATGTACAAATATTTAAAATATTTTGAAGACTTTTTGTCGGCTTATATCAGAGGTGTGACTACATTTTAACAATCATAGACATTTTACTCAAGTCAGGTCAAGAAGTGCAGAAATTGTGGGCAATATGATAGAAATAGGTCAATATGATGTGTTAGTTCAGTTAATGTATGAATTCCTATCACCATCAGAAGACAAATATTAAAAAACAACATCTGTAGTCTAGTTCTATATAATTTTGCCATAGAGGCAAAATTCGAAGGAAAAAAAAGATTGCCTAAATACTATTTTCATCCTTTAAATAGAACCAAACCAGAAAATTTCAAAACAATCCATATATTCCAGAAATCTTCTTTATACAAAAATTATTCACCAGAACACAATTTTCTAAAAATAGTAAGACAACAGTTTCATATTTATCATAACTTTTTTAATTAACAAGTAGTGAATAGGACACTTTTAAGATACTGTTTACTACATACTGAAATAAACAGATCTATTATAAATTCAGAAACTCAAGACATTTACAGTAAAACGTGTTTATACATAAATATGACCAAATTTATTTAAAGCCCTGTTAGATAGGTCCTAAATACATGCAATACCATGTAAAACAAGACTATGAAGTTGATGTAAAAAAATGACAAAAATCACCGAGTCACCAAAATTAGAGGGGAAAAAAAAAAAAAATGAAATGGAAACTAAGAAAAGACAGTAAAACATAAGTAAACCTAACAAAGCAGCTTTAAAATTAGGTGATACTAATCTCCACTTTCAAAAGTTCTTAATCAAGTATTTTCAAATACTGCCATTTATAAAATGACATTCTAAAAATCTACACTTGGAATTTCAAAACATCCCTATTCAGAAAGCTTTTGACTACTATTTTCCCCAGTCCCAACTTCAAATAATCCAGGAAAAGCACTGATGTTGGGAAGAAAATATCCTAAGGAATGGTATAATTTTTAGAAAAACGCACTTACTGCTTCCAGAACCTTTAAGACCCACAATCAGCATTAACAACAAGCATTTTTCCTATTCTTATCCAGTATTTTTCAATGTCATATTAGAGATGAAAAAATTCTTTGAGCCCATAACTGAAAGATCAACAAACCTGGTTTTATTATGACACCATATTTTTGTCGTTGGTACTGCACAAAATTATATACAAAGAAATATATACAAAATGTTCAAGTATTAATTAAATTTCAATTCAAGACTTGTTTCAAAAATCTACATTTAACATATTTCATAATGATAGCACAAATTAGTCATTTTAAATAATTTTCCAACTACTTTTGGTTTATATATATATATATATATATATGTATATGTATAATTCAGTAGGCACTAAAAATCCATGCAGCTGCATCGTGAGGGGCTTGCTTCTGCACTTAGGTATAAGCAGTTTCATAACTCCAGGCTGAGAGTTTGGCTACTACCCATTCATGCTCAAGTGCAGTAGATGGTTTTACAAAATTGCTGTGATGCACTGGAAACCAGAGTTAAGTCTCAACTAATATTATCTAGAAACAAAACATTTACAGTTGTGCAAGAACAAGGATTCCATTTTCATAACCAAATAACAACAAAATAAAACATTTTGTGCGTAAGATAACTTACATCTTTGGACTGCTGGAAAAACTTTTTAATCATGAACATTTTAAAAGAAAAGACAGCAGAAGCCCTGATATTACCTCTTTTTCCTCATTTCTTATACTACCTTTTAAAATAAAGCAGGAAATGTGGCCAGCAGCTGGTCCCGTCTCTTCTGCCCCAACAGCTGTATCCACTTTAGCACAAAGAAAAACAAGGATGCTAAATAGGTATATACTTTATCAAATAGTGATGTTTCACAAAGAATTTTCTCCTTTTTTTTTTTAAACAAAGAATTTCTTAATGCCTGTTACACTGACGGCCACCATAACTCAATTTATACAATTGGACAATAGAGAACTTCAAGGGAAGAATCTATTTCATCTTTGGAAAGTGTCAATCATTTCATTAAGTAGTCAGCACTACTCAATTTTAAAAATATCTTTGAAATATGGAAAATAAGATTCTTTGTGAAGCCTCACTTTACATGTTTTCATTCACATTTCACAACCTTCAAAATCGAATCATACATAAATTTAACCTAAAGTTTTAATACAACAAAAATAAAGGTGTCCAACAATTAATTCATACTCAGTGATAGGGTCATCACTGTGCTGGTCCTCAAAGAAGCATTTGATTTAACCATTCTTAGTCCTCCTTCAATTAACTAACACAGGAGTCGGATATGCATGTTAATTTCCAACTTCTCTAATAGTGAGATATTAAAAATCTGTTAATCTGAATATTGTAGTTCTAGATCTTCTACTTAAAACTAAAAGGCATTACTGAATATTTAAGAGTTATTTTGTTGTCACCTCCAGCAAAATAACTATCACCTTGGTGCATGCCCCGAACACTTATTTGTCAACCTCTGAAAAGTTGCTCTAATTCTGGAATTCCAATTTGCACCTTGTACAACTCGGAACTTCCATCCAACTTCACCTGTTTCACTGTCTCCAAACTGTATCTCTATTAGCAGCTTTCAGTGTACAGTTGGAATCGATGTCATCCAAGGCCTTGTCCACACTGGGGACAGAAGAGCTAGGTATGTACACGCAAGTCTGAACAAGGGGACACAGTAACAGCTATTTCAACCATAAGAAGCATCTTAAATACATTATTGACCAGCACAAGTCTGTTTCCAGGGTGGACAGGGCCCAAATTACATTCCCCTCCCGCCTTCCAAAAAAAAAAAAAAAAAAAAAAAAATCAAACGCACACACACAAAATTGAGATGTTGCCCATTAAAGTAGACTAAGCAGCAGAGCATGAGCGTTACGTGAAGAGATGGAACCTTACCAGGTGGTGAGGCGGGAACCACTGTCCTGTAACCCCTACAACGGAGCCTGGCAGGAAGGAAATCACCTAAAAAAGAAACTGTCAGAGAGATTTAATAGTCACATGTTATCATTGGGAGTTGGCTACAGTGTCACATTCATGCTTTTAGCTAAACACTTAAAAGATTCAATATTACTTTTTTTTTTTCTTTTCCACCTGACATGTGTCCAGTGACGATGTCCCACACTAAGGTTTTTTTTTTTTTTTTTTTTTTTTTTTACATGGTGTAAGGGAGTTGAAAGGGGAAAACGCGGATAAAGGGCAGATTACTTGACCCTACATTTTCAGAGAAGACGACGCCTTCCGGGCGCATGCCGAGCAGAACTCCACCGACACCTTATCCTTGTCCACATGGAGACACACTCCTCCCGCCGCGTCGTCCTCCTCCCGCGGGTCCTGCTGCTGCTGCTGCTGCTGCTGCTGCTTCCCCACCGGCAGCGCGTAGTCGTGGTCCCCGGCGGGCGAGTCCCTGAAGAGCGAGGTGGTCAGCCGCAGTCCCACGCCGCTCAGCCGGCTCAGCAGGCGAGCCAGGCCCGTCTCGTTGGCCAGCACGGCCCGCAGGTAGCGACTCTCCTCCTGCAGCGCCTGCACGCGCTGGCCCAGCTCCCGGTTCTCGGCCCGCAGCTCCTGGTTCTCGGCGGCCAGGCCCCGCACCCGGCTCTCCAGCCCCATCACGTACTCCTTCTTCTTGAGCCGGTTCAGCCGCGCGGCGGCCGCCGCCGCCTTCCGGGGGCTCTTGGTCGCCGCCGCCGCCGCCGCCGCCGGGTTGCTGTCGCTGCCGCTGCTACCGCCGCTGCCGCTGCCGCTGCCGCCGCCGCCGCCGCCGCCTCCGGGGGCCTTTCTCCGCCTCTTTTCGCCGCCGCCACTGTCACTGCCGCCGCCGCCGATGCCGTTCAGCAGCCTCTGCAGCAGGTCGGAGAAGCGCTGCATCTCGGCGGCCGCGGACTCGTCGTCGTCGTCCCCTCGCCACAGGCCGCCGCTCTCCGAGCCTCCGCCGGACGACAGGGGCCCCGGCGAGCTGAGCCCCGGCTCCAGGTGCCAGTCCGGTTGCCGGGGGTCCAGCAGGTCGGCCAGTTCCAGCCCGGACAGGAAGTCCATGTCCTCCGTCTCCTCCCCGGGGACGCCGGCCATCGCCGCCTCCTCCTCCATCTCCTCCGGCGAGGGCGCGCGCCCCGCCCCGCGGCCGCCGCCGCCGCCGCCGCGGCCCCCCCTGCCGTCCGCCAGCTCGGCCTCTTGGCCGCCGCGCGGCTGCTCGCGGCGGGGAGACCTGGAGGCCGCCGGCTCTTTTTCCTCCTCCGCCGCCGCCCGGGTCCGGGCCGGGGGCAGCGGGCGGGCGGCGGCCGGCGTCGGGCTGTCGCTGCGGGCCGGGGAGTCGGTGCCCGAGGCGGCCAGCAGTTGGGTCAGGCTGTGCCTCATGGGGCCCGGCGGCCGGCCCACGCAGGCCCCGGCCGCTCAGACCGGGCCTCGCGGGCCCCCAGGACCCCCGGCCCCAGCGCGGGGAAGCGGCGAGCCGACCACGACGAAAAGCAGGGGAAGGCCCGAGGCGCCTCCCGCCCGACTCGGCCGGCCGAGCCCCCACGCCCAGGCGGGGGGAGGGAAGAAAGGCCCGGGCGGCGAGGCCCCGCGATGACTCGCCCTCGCCACCCAGACAACGGCCCCGCCGGAAGGCAGCGATCGCGCCCCAGCCCCGCCCACGGCGTTTCGCGCTCCGGGCTCTAGTATCGCGAGAGCTCAGGGAGGCGTGGCGTGGGAGTCATTCCTGATTGCCAGTGATGTCATGTTAATGGCGGCAAAGAAAATCAACACAAAAAAACAAAACCCCGAGTTTATTTGGGGGAAAAAAATGCCTTTTTGGTATTCTGACTTCCACTTCCAGTGAAACCACTCTCTCAGAATTGATCTTCTAGGTAACAACTTTTTAAATATATATATATATATATATATATATATATATATATATATATATATTTTTTTTTTTTTTTAAATTGATTTTAGAGAGGAAGGGGGAGACAGAGAGAAACATCAATGAGGAGAGAGAATCATTAATTTACTGCCTCTTGCACGCCCTGCGCTGGGGATTGAGCCTGCAACCTGAGCCTGTGCCCTGACTGGGAATCTAACCATGACGTCTTGCTTCGAAGCTATGCGCTCAGTCACAGCCACACCGGAGGGTACCAACTTTTGAATAAATTTTAAGTTCTTCTGGACTGCTTTTAAGTTCAAGACTGGTGGCCAGGTCCTTCTTGACATTTTGCCTTTCCCCTTCCGTTATAATTCAAGATCTTTTCACTCCAACACTTATAGAGTACTAAGAGGGAAAAAGGTAAATAAGGAAGGCATTCATATGTAACTAAAATTTTCCAACTTTTCCTTATAAAAACTTTGAACATACAGAATATAGTACAGTATTCACTCTAATTCAACCCAATATCGAGGCTAAACAATGTATTGACATATGTGCTTTACCTGCATATAAGTGTTTGTAAGTAATAATTATTTTAGCCGACTCAAAAATCTCACCACTCCAACATATTTCAGTATGCATCTCTAAAAAAAATAAGGACATTACCTTTTATAATCATAGTACCACTATCAGGTCTTAGGAAAATTAACAATCATTTGTTAATTCTATCTGCTACCCAGGCCCTATTCAAATTTCCTCAGAATAATCTTTTATAGCAAATATTTTCTTTTGAGTCCGAATTCAAACAAGTCACTTACTGCATTTGGTTGCTACGTCTTTGTGGGGTCCCCAACCCCCATTTCTCTTTCATTTTTTAGTTTTTTCTTAATACTGTTCTTTTGAAAAGTCAAGGTCAGTTGTTTTGAAAATGCACCACATTGTGGATTGTTTCCTCATAGTGTTATTTATCTGTGTTCCTTTAATCCCACAAGGTATTTGAGATTGGAAGCAGTTCCCAAATAAACTGGAAATAAAACAATTTTTTTTAAAAAAAAACAAGGCCACTTATTTGAAAACATTGGTGAAATAGAGGATGATAAGGAGTGCTTAAAGAGGGAAAGGTTAGTGTCCAAATAGCAGAGACATAGAGGGAGAGTGGAGAGGGAGAGAAGAGGAGAAAAGGAAAGGGAGAGAAAGAGAGAGAGAAAGAGAGAGAGAGAGAGAGAGAGAGAGAGAGAGAGAGAGAGAGAGAGAGAGAGAGAGATTTTCCTGGTCACCCCCTGCAGCCTGCTGTTCAGTTGTCCCTCACTAATCCCCTTGCCAGCCTGGTTGCTGCATGCAGCCTGCTGTTCGGTTGTTACTGTGAGGGCATCCTGACCAATTTGCATATTACTCTTTTATTAGTATAGATTTAATATCTCAAAGGACAAGTCTTTTGTTAATCTCACTTTCTCAGGATTTTTATCAATACGTGGATATTTATTTTTCCAGAAATTCACAAATTTTCCAAGTTCAAAAACTGGACTTTTATGGAAATTGCATTAAATTCATTTATTTCTTCCAGTTACTTAATGCACTTTTTTGCTACTGGACTAGATTTTTTTCTTTATATTTTATAAATGGTGATTATTGCTACATAGGAAAGCTACTGATCTTTTTGCTAAATTTTTAAGCCCCCTGAACTTTAATAGTTTTTCTTTTAATATGTTTTTAGTTATTTCAGAGAGGATGGGAGAGGGAGTGAGAAATAGAAACATCAATGATGACAGCAAATCATTGATGGGCTGCCTCCTCCATGCCCCCAACTGGGGATCTAGCCTGCAACTTAGTCATGTGCCCTGACCAGGAATCAAACTGTGAACTCCTGGTTCATAGATTAATGCTCAACTACTGGGCTATGCTGACTGGGCAATAGTTTTTATTTTCATCTGATTCATTCAAATTTTTCTGGTAGACAATTATGTCACCTTATTATACTAGTACATAAGGACAGTTTGCCTCCTCCACAATATAATAATGAAATAGCGATTACTTACTGTTGATAGCCAACTTCCTAGAATATTTCTTACTTTAACATTCCTATGTTTCTACTGTCTAGCTATTGAATTGAGATGGGTATTCTTATTAGATTAAGCTCAGTTACAGGACACAGATATCAATCCAGCTATTTTAAGCAGAAAAAGGTGTAATACAGAGAATGCATGCCTGCAAAGGCATTGAAAGGGCAGGAGCAGTGGGCATTAGGCTGGGTAATTAAGAATGCCACTCAGGCCGAAACCATTTTTGGCTCAGTGGATAGAGCGTCAACCTGCAGACTAAACGGTCCCAGGTTCGATTCTGGTCAAGGGGATGTGCCTTGGTTGTGGGCATATCCCCAGTGAGGGGTGTGCAGGAGGCAGCTGATCAATGATTCTCTCTCATGGATGTTTCTGACTCTCTATCCCTCTCTCTTCCTCTCTGTAAAAAAAAAAAAATCAATAAAATATATTTAAAAAGAAAGAAAGAAAAATCCACTCAGTGCAATGTGGCCGAACAGGCCTGATAAGGATCTGCTACCTCTGCCCTGGTTGGGAAAGGAGTAAGTAGAAAGCTGGAATGCTGGCTTCCAGAGCAATGCTGCTGCCAAAACTCCCAGTTCCATATATTATGTTGCTGCCTAACAAGTTACCCAAAACCTTAAAATAAAATAAAAAACCCACAAATTTTTGCTGATCATGTGACTTAAAACAACACTATACATTCATTATCTCCCAGGATTTCTGTTGGTCAGAATTTGTAATTGTCTTAGCTATGCAGTGTGGCTCCAGAACTCTCATGGAATCCAGTCACATTTTGGCTGGGGCTTCAGTCATCTGAAGGCTTGACTCAGGCTAGGAGTTCCACTTTCAAGGTGGCTGGCAGGTTGGTGGAGAGGAGGGCACCTCAGTTCCCCATCCATGTGGGCCTCTTCCCAAGCTGTATGAGCATCTACACTACATGGGGGCTGGCTTTATCCAGAGACCAAGGAAGCCGCAGCAATGTCTTTTATGACCTAGCCTCAGAAATCATGTATGATCACTTCTTTTTTTTTAATATATATTTTATTGATTTTATACAGAGAGGAAGGGAGAGAGATAGAGAGTTAGAAACATCGATGAGAGAGAGTCATTGATCAGCTGCCTCTTGCACACCCCCCACTGGGGATATGCCCGCAACCAAGGTACATGCCCCTGACCGGAATCGAACCCGGGACCCTTCAGTCCCCAAGCCGACGCTCTATCCATTGAGCCAAACCGGTCCCAGCGTATGATCACTTCTGTAGACTCTCTTGGTCACAGGAGTCAGATCTTGTTCACTGTGGGAGGGACTACACCAGAATGTGAATACTAGGAGACAAGAATCATTAGGTGCTATCTTGGGAGCTGACTACCATATCCCATAAAACTAGCGAATGCACATTGGAATGCTATTACAGGAAAATGTCCCCAAAAATATGCCTGGCAACAACAGCCAAAGCAGGGAAAAGGGCTCCTGCCTTATTTGCATCTTCCAAATATAACTGCAGAGGAGTCTGCAAATACAGTTTGCTTTGTGTCTCTTTGTTTTAGCTTTTCCATTTCTGCAATACAGGAAAGCACATTACATAAAAGAGGGATTAAAATAGATGATAGCCATGACCGGTTTGGCTCAGTAGATAGAGCGTCAGTCTTTGGACTCAAGGGTCCCAAGTTTGATTGCAGTCAAGGGCATGTACCTTGGTTGTGGGCACATCCCCAGGAGGGGGTGTGCAGGAGGCAGCTGATCGATATTTCTCTCTCATCGATGTTTCTAACTCTCTCTCCCTCTCCCTCTCTGTAATAAATCAATAAAATGTATTTTTTTAAAAATAGATAATATATATCAACCCATAAAATTCTCCACAAAGACTTTATGGTACTTCGGCACCCAGACATACGTTTATAGAGTGTTCTATAGCGGAGAATTGGAGTAGTGATGGTGGGGAATGAAGCTGAACCAGGGTTGCTGCTTTGCTGAGTGGATGCAGCAGAAAGACAATAGTGCTTCAGAGGGCAGAGTGCTAATTTTTTGAAAAGAAAAAGGGTCAGAGATTTAAACTGATGTTTTTGATTCAAATTTAACATTAAATGATTCTCATTCTCTCATTTGTCTGTTGCTAAAAATAGCTTTAATAATGCCAATATTACAACTAACCATAAAACTAATCAGTGAAATTTACTAAGATTTCTTTGTGGTTAATTAATTCTCCTTGGAATATAACCCATGAAAGAAATTCATCAGCCCGGCTAGCGTGGCTCAGTTGGTTGAGCATTGTCCCATGCACAGAGAGGTCACAGGTTCTATCCCCAGTCAAGGCACAAGCTCGGGTATGGGGCTGGATCCAGGTACAGATCCTGCAGAGGCGGCCAATTAATATTTTTCTCTCACCGATATTTCTATCTCTCTCCCTCTCCTTTCCTTTCTCTCTAAAATCATATTCATTAAAAGTATTGTTTAGGTCTAGAGTCATTTGAATAACTCCTTTCTCTATATGGTTACACCAATTCGAAGTTCATACCATGTTCTAATCATCTCTCTCATCACCGAAAGTTTTAGCTCCCTGATTTCCTCTTCGCCCAGTAAGACCTTAGTTAAGGTTACCCAGTTAAGGTCCAAACTTAGTTAAGGTTTGGATTCAGGCATTCTGGTGCCAATGCATGCCTTCACACCCTGCACTAACACCTAGCCTAGTTCAGTGATCATAGAACTGGGTTTCTTACTGGATTTGAATGGGGATGGGGTGGGGGGAGGGTTGAGCCAGATTACAAAGGCTCACATATTTATAGAGGTGAGGTAATAGGATTAATCTGGCCACAGAATCTCTTGTTAGAGTCCTCTGTGAGTGCTTATCTTGCATCCTGGATGATGTGGCTATTGGGAGAGGCTCTGTGAAGGCTTCTGAGCCACGGTCCTCTCATGTTTTTCTTATCTCTTCTTTTGTATGATTTTTACACAGTCTACAGATTTCAGCGTAACTGACATTTCCAGAAAAAGCTTTCCCTAACCTCCTCTGCATTATATTGGGAAACCTTGTTATGCACTCCTTTGGCATCCCATCTTTCAGCATTTTTCTCACTCACTAGGATGCAAATTCAGTGAGAAAAAGGTCTGTCTTGCTCACATTGTGTCCCAGAGTTTAGCTTAGCGCCTGGCCAATAATAGGCTCTCAATAAATACTTGTTAAATTGGTAAAACATATTAAAACAATAAATTATTAATTAAAAGTGAAGAATCAGAATGGCTTTGTCTGCCCTACCTTTACCATCTTTTGTCTGTCTGTTAGGGCAAAATCTAAACCAACACCAACAGTCTAAGAACTTGAAATGAGAAATTGGGTTTCTAAAATCTAAAATGTAGGTCCTACACAAACATGTGAAAATCCACAAGAAACATTAATATATTTAAATCTTTAAATTTAGGAGAAAGCTATTAATCACTCAGAGGCACTTCTTAGGGTAGAGAAAGATGTTGCCATTAGCCATACGTTGTTAAACATTTGTGACAGGGGCAGCTTCTAGCTAAAGGGTCTGACCCGGTTATGTCAGGCCATATTTAGCTCTACTAGTATATAAGATATGTTTTGTCTACTCAATTCTTGGAGAAAGAAAAATCTGTAGGCTTTTTGAGGCCATCTACTCAGAAACAGAGCCTTCTAGGAAGTTAAGTAGTTATGTCTTATCCCTGACCAAGAATCAAAATTTAGGTACATTATTACCTAAATGATCCTGACCGAGAATCAAACCCACATAGAATGGTGCCCCAAGCAAGTGTGCCCTCCGGCCAGGACCACTTATTTGAATCTTATTGCTCATACAGGCCGATTATTATAAAGTTTGCTTAATGATCTCAATCTTTGTCTTCCAAGCTAGGGCAAATACAACAAAAAGGATACTGCTGTAAAACTGGTGAAGCAAGCATTCATTGGCCTGTTAAAAAATCAGACTCCTTTTTTTTTCTTCTGCAAGTTCTGTATGCTCTTCATGTGCTATTAGCTGTTATACCTTACAGTCTCAACTATGGGAGACTGCACACCTACAGTTTGCAAACCTATTATCTACAAGGGCTAATGATTCTAATTTTTTTTCACAACCAGCACATTTGATTTCTCATTATAGATTTACTTAAATCTATAGGAGCTGCTAATTTAAAGTCTTTGGCTATAGGAATATGGGAGAGCTAGAGATACCAATAGCAAACTTAGGAAGATTTTAAAGGAGTAAGACAAAATCTGGCAAATCGTGTATTCTAAGAGGCAGGAATGAAAATCAGTGTTAGTCTTACAAAGTTAACAGTCTCATAGTATAGTAGCTTTTCTTTGGAATTGCCTTTTGTGCTTAAAAATATAACAAATTGAAAAAACATCTTGACTCTTGCCAAGGGCACACACATTTGAATTCTAAACTGGAGGCGAGAGGAAGCTTCCGCTTTCCCTACGGAAAGAGATGGCGGAGTTTGGCATTGAGTTCCTTCTCCTTGCTTAGAAGATCCAGGCTGTGCTTTTTGAAGGCTTCCGACTGCAGCCTGAGCTCCTCGTAGGCCTTCTGGATCCCGTCTATCCTGCGCTGGAGTTCCCGGACTCTCAAGTTACTGTCCACGGCCACGGCCTCTTGCTCGAACCGCTCTAGCGCTTGCCGCCTGGCCACCTCGGCTGCCTCCAGCTTCTCCTCCAGCTGGCGGATCTCTGCCTGCTTGGTCTGAAGCACCTTGCCCCTATCCATGGAGAGCTGGAGCAGCTCCTCCTTCTCCCGCGTGACCGTCTGCAGCCTGGCCTGCAGCTCCTGGCTCAGGCTGCTGTGCGCCTGCTCGGCCTTGGCCGTCTGCTCCGTGGCCTGCTGGTGCTGCTGCTGGAGGCTCTGCAGCTGGCCACGCAGCTGCTCGGCCTCCTTGGCGTGGGCGCTGGCCTGCTGGCTCTGCAGCTGCAGCAGCTCCTCCTCGCGGGCCTGTGCCCGGCGGGCATCCTGGGCACACCTCTGTTTCAGAGCCTCCAGCTCCTTGGCCAGGACCTCGCTCCCGGCCGTGAGCTGCAGGACCTTGGCCTCCTGGTCCTTCAGGGCCTGGCTGAAGAGGCTGCTGTTCTCCAGCCTCAGCCTCTCGTTCTCCTCCCGCAGCTTGGCGTTCTCGCTCTTGTATTGGTCCTTGAAGCGGATCATCTCCTCGTGGTTGGCCGCCAGGGTCATGAAGCGGTCCTCCAGCTTCCGAGCATGCTCGCTCTTGGCCTTCAGCTTCTCGGCCTCCAGCTCCCCCTTCTCCTCCAGCTCCGTGTTGAGCAGCTCCAGGATCTGGCAGCGCTCCAGGGCCTCGTCGGCCCTCCGCTTCAGGATGCAGATGAGCTGGGACTGCTCGTGGATGCGGGAGCGGAGCATGGCCTTCTCGCTCTTCTCCTCCTCGGACAGGCCCCGGAGGTTTGCCAAGGCTTCCCTCAGGCCATCCATTTCCTTAAACCCCATCTCCTCTTCCTGGATGTCCAGGGTTTTGTTCTGCGCCTCTAAGGGTTCTTCAGAAGGCGGGGTGTCCATCCATCTCGAGAGCCTTCTCATTCTCAGGCACAGGCGCTCCTTCCACCACGGGCTGCCTCCACACTCTCTCCCTGCTTCAGCTTTCCGAAGCCACTGTGTTGCCAGGGGCTCTGGGCACTGTCCAGCCGCAGGTTCCCCCAGTATGGAGACCGGCGATTGGTGGGCAGGTCCTCAGCATGCGGTGACGTCACAGGGGGACAATCTGGCTATGCCTGCCTTTCTAACCAATCACAGCTCGCAGCTCACAGCCCAGGGTCTGGCCTCTGCTTCCCAGGGGAGAGGTGCCAGCCCTCCTGGTTTGCAGCCAGCACCAGGGCCAGAAACCTGACTCCACCTCCTCTGGTTGAAGTAAACAAATGGAGCTGGCAGCAACTGCTCCTCCCTCCTCTCCGCACCTCAGCTGTCATGAGGACAGGTTACTACTGTCTTTGGAAACACACTTGGCTCCTTTGAAACACAGCAGTCTATAAATACAAAGCAGCAGTGGTACGCTGAGAGCCAGCCAGGACCCTTAGTGCCTTGAGTTTGCATCTGTAGTGCTTGGCACAGTTCAGCAAAAGAGCAAACCCTAGTGAAATAAATATTCTTTTTTTTTTTTTTTTAAATTGGATATTCAGCACTCCCTGTTTTTACTCGCTAGCAAAATATGGTAACAGCAAGAAGCTTGATGAGTGACAAAGAGATGGCAAACATCCAAACAGAAGACAAGGAACCAAGTGAAGCTTACTGTCATAGAACGTCCATTTCAGATCAACTAAGTAGTTAACTATAAAGAATAAAATAAAGCCTGACTGGTATGGCTCAGTGGTTGAGCATCAATCTATGAACCAGAAGGTCACTATTCAACTCCCTTGTCAGGTTACATGCCCAGGTTGCAGGCTTGATCCCCATTGTGAGGCATGGAGAAGGAAATGGATCAATGATTCTCTCTCATCATTGATGTTTCTATGTCTCTCTCCCTTTGGCTCTGAAATCATTTTTTTTTAAAGAATAAAATAAAAATCAAAGTATTAGAAGTGGAAACTAGGAAAAAATAAAGGAAACCATAAAAATTCTGGGCCAGGAAGGACTTTCTCAGCTTAAACATTGTGTAAAAGACGAGTAAAGAAAAGCTTACTTTGACTTTGTTGAACAGTTGTAGATAATTTTAAAAATTGGGCCCAAGCTGATTTGGCTCAGTGGATAGAGCATCAGCCTCTGGACTGAAAAGTCTCGAATTCAATTTCAGCCAAGGGCACTTGCCTAGATTGCAGGCTCAATCCCCAGTAAGGGCCATTCAGGAGACAGCTGATCAATGATTTATGCTATGTCTCTCATCATTTATGTTTTTATTTCTCCCTCTTCCTTCTTCTCTGAAACCCATAAAAATATATTTTAAAAAATTGTGACCTTGAGGTGTATAATTTAAAAAATTGACCTCTGAGGTCTACCCAGCCGCTCCTTCCTCTGAACTTGCCTGCCATTTTACTCACTTGCCCTAACCATCTGCGGAAGGTCCCCTAACCAGCCAGCTCCATGGCCCTGGCTGTAGGTGTTCTCTTTGCCTGGAATGCCTTTTCCCACCGTGTCCCGTGTTGCTCTAGTATTTTGCTCAGTATTTTTTAATTCAGAATCACCTCTCCTGTGAAGCCTTTCCTGGCCCCAACATGTGAAATTGACCATGCCCATTTCAGGGCACCCACGGCAGCCTATTTGTACTGCTAATGGAACCTGTCAAAACCTTATTGCAGCCCTCACCGTTTGGCTCAGTGGATGAAGCATCAGCTTGCAGACTAAGGGTCCCTGGTTCGATTCCTGTCAAGTGCATGTATCTTGGTTGCAGGCAATTAATTCCCTGGTGGGGAGTGTGCAGGAGGCAGATGATTGATGTTTCTCTCTCATCAATGTTTCTAAATCTATCACTCTCCCTTTCTCTCTGTAAAAAAATCAATAAAATATATCTTAAAAAACACACAAAGAAAACCTTATTGCATTCACTATTTACCTGCTTGCCTCCCCTTATTAAATGTCGAAGTCATTAAGAGCAGGCACTGTGTCTGTTTTATCCTTGATGACTAAAACAGTGACTGGCACGCTGAGAAAACTCATATAAATGTGTGTTGAATGGATGTTAACTGCCTGGCCAGTGTGGTTCAGTGGTTGAGCATCAACCTGCGAACCAAGAGATCATCAGTTAGATTCCTGGTCGGGGCACATGTTCAGAGTTTTGGGCTCCATCCCCTGTAGGAGGCATGCAGGAGGCAGCTGGTTAAAATTATCCCTCTCCCCCCTTTCCTCTATGAAATCAATAAAAATATATTTTAAAAATTAGATAAGAATGTGTTTTCTTCAAATATTTTCAATTACTTTAAAAAAGTAAGACATTGGGAGCATAACCAACAGACACAAGACACTGGGGGCGTGTGGTGAGGGCATGTGCCAGGGGGTAGGAGAGGTGGGGGGACGGTCAATAGGGTAAGAAAAAAAAGAGACATATGTACTATATTTTAAACAACAAAATAAAATTTTTAAAAAAGTAAGTCCTCGGCCTAACCAGTTTGGCTCAGTGGGTAGAGTGTCGGCCTGCGGACTGAAGGGTCCCAGATTTGATTCAGGTCAAGGGCATGTACCTTGATTGCAGGCACATCACCAGTGGGGAGTGTGCAGGAGGCAGCTGGTCGATGTTTCTCTCTCATCAATGTTTCTGACTCTCCATCCCTCTATCTTCCTCTCTGTAAAAAAAAATCAATAAAATACATTTAATGAATAAATAAATAAAAACTAAATCCTCTAATAAAATATCCAAAACTTCCCACTTAGAGGAAATAATGTCCAGTGTTGCAATAAATATTGGAGAAATATTAGCCTAGCAGAATTTCTTTAGCCTTGCTAGGGGATTTAGATTTTTAGGATCCCTAACATAAAGTATTTCATTTAAAATAAGATTAATTTTACAATACATTTAAGTCATAATAATTTATTTTAAGGATTTTTACAAAATACTTTATGAAAATTATACATATATAGGAAATACAGTATAATTTAACAATTTACATTCTACTTAAAACTTTTTTTGTAAAGCATGTCTGTGACCACTCTCATGCTGCTTTCATATAGTAGAGCTATAAGAAAAACAGAATCTTATATATGCAAGGTTTTTGTTTTATATATATTCTATTACAAAATACAGGTTTGATACCTAAGCTTAGGAGAAAATTAAGCCCAAAATTGAATTCCACTTATGGCCAGTGGGTGGCACCAAAGCACATTCGAGACTGTTTTAACACTGGGAAAAGGGAAAGCAGTTTTCTCAAGACAAAAAATACATGCAGTAAACTCAGTCTCGCCCTAATATGGAATTCCATAATTTATGGAGATTACAGAGTAAATAGTTTCTTATGGTCAAATTCTTTATCATCACTGATATTCTGCCCTCCACCCCCCAGGCATATCTCTGACACTGTTTTCCACAACCTATGTAATAATATTTGCAGTTGCTGTAAGGAATTTCAATGGTCAAGAGGCAGGCTTTGCTAACGGTAGCACAAGACTGGTGTGAAGCACATGATGGAAAACTAAAAAACTTTTCCTGTTAACATCCCACATTTAATTTTTTTTTTTGGGGGGGCAGCTTTTTCTTTGAAGCAACAGGTGGATTTTCCTAGCTTTCTCCAATATCTTCTTTAAGGTTGGAGTCACAAATACGTTATAAGTTTTGTTATTATTTAAATATCGTGGGCCTATCGTGGGCCAAAGAGGCACATGCAGGTTGGCTTTAAAATGAGTGCCGACAGATAGGAGGTGGGGATCTCTGTCCACATGGTCGGATTTTTCAAGATCAGATTCCATCTGGTTCGTAGTTTTCAGTGGAGGAGCCGATGGACTTTGGGCTCATTTGGAAATCTTGGCGATCAACAGCATTCTGAGAGGCAGGATTGCTTCAATCCAAGTGTTGGGGGAATTTACCATCTTTTCCCAGAGAGCAACTTCCTCTGAAGTGGAGTCCATCCAGTCCACTTCAGTATCATAACTTTTACCTGAAATAAAAAAAAGCTTTGCATTAAAAGAGGAATAGCGCATTGGGGAGTGGGAGGGAACTTGTTATTCTTTTTTAAAATTATATTTTTATTGATTTCACAGGGGAAGGGTGAGGTAGACAGAGATAGAAACATCAGTGATGGGAGGAAATCATTGATTGGATTCCTCCTGCCCACCCCTCACTGGAAATCAGCCTGCAACCCAGCCATGTGCCTGACTGGGAGGAATTGAACCAAGACCTCTTCGCTCATGGGCTGATGCTCAACCACTGAACCACATCAGCTGGGCAGTCATTCTTTAATTATAAGCACCAATGGAAGTCAGCTAGGAGGGCACCAGGAGGACAGATCTGGGACTCACTATAAGAAAGAACTGTTGAACTACCTGAGATAAGTACTCTATTCCCAGAGTAATGGGTAATTTAAAAGCTAAATGACAGCTGTCACAGGCATGTGGGAGTGGTAGGAAGGATTCCCACCTTGGGTTACAAGTGACAGGAGATAATCTCTGAGGAAGCGTGACTACAGCTTTAGTGTTGAGTAGACTCAATTTGAATCTCAGCTCCACCACTTACTCTGTTACTTAATTTGTTGGAACGCCTGCTGTTCTGGAGATAACATTAGTAACTACTCATCAAACTGTTGTTAGGATGAAGTGAAATAACGCAAATAGAGTATTCAGCACAGTGACTGGTGCTCCATCAAGTAGTTACTATTATTACTCAAAGCACACTTTTAGCTAGGAAGGGCCATATGTTTTTTCAGGGAAGAGTAGAGATGAAAGTTCTTCTTTCTCTTCTCTCCCCCTCCCCCCATAAGGTAAGCTCTGTGGGTGACACACTGCGCCCTGTGAATCTTCCCATCCCAGAGCCTGCAGCACACAGCTGGCACTCCTTCACTCACTCATTGCATTACACTTAACAGAAATATCTGTTTGCATTAGGAAGGAGCAAAGCAATAGACGTCTAGCGTCTCCAGAAGCATTTGGCTCACAGAAGATTAAAAATGTAACACATATTACCGGTTCCAAAGCCGATCCGAAGACCTCCCAGGAACTGGTTGGTTAGTTTGTAATGGTCCCAGACGGTAAGCTCTACGCAGGCTTCTGTCAGATCTTCAGGCCTGAAGCCATCGTACACCATGGTGTGGTTGAAGACAGGGTTGGTGGTCTTCCCCACAGCTCTTGTCCTCTGGCGACTTTTCCGACTTGTATCTGGCAGGATGATACTACCAATGGAGACATGACTGTAAGAGCCTTTTAATGTGATAGTGGACATTTGTTCTTTCCATGCACTTCAACGCAGCTAGCTACTGGTGGCAGGAAGGAGAGGGGAGAGTGTAGAGAAACAGCACTGATGGTGGGAGCCATCATGCGGGAAAGACAGTATATTCTAGGGGACCAGACTTGCCTTGAACCCTGACTCTGCCACTCACTGGCTATGTATTGCAGGGAAAGTTAGTTAACCTTTCAGACACTTGCATCCTCATCTGTAAGATGGGAGTGGTAGCGCCTACTTCGTAAGGTTAGTATTAAAATTATATATTAAGCAAATGACTTAGCTCAGTTCCTGCACTTAGGCGTGCTTACTATGTAGCAATTGTTTGAAGATTCCTTTAAAATTTGGAAGCACAGTCTACTCCTGATTATCTGTGATAGCCTAAGGAATTAGTCTTGTATAGAACTGAAAAAGAAGAGAAACCTGCCCCATTTGCTAGACTTGATTTTGGAAATAAATTATATACTTGCAATCATTTACACTTAATTTGTGGTAATAGCTGAATTAACTTTTAATCTATCACACCCCCTGGGTAAAGGCAACAGGGTCTGAGACTAGTTTCAAAATAGGAGACTGACTAGAGTTGAAACATTCTACCAGCTGACATCTATGAAGAATGTGTTGCCTTTTTGTTTTGTTGACAAGTGGTTTTTGTTTGTTTGTTTTGTTTTTTTTGCTGTATAGAAGCTTTTTGATTTGATGTAGTCTCATTCAATTACTTTTGCCTTTGGGGTCAAGTTCACAAAATCCCCTCTGAGACCAAGGTCCATGAGTTTAGTACCAATGTTTCCTTTGATGTATTTTACTATTTTAGTCTCATATTCAGGTCTTTAATCCATTTTGAGTTAATTTTTGTGTATAGTGTCATCCCCTATGTTCATTGCAGCACTGGCCACAATAATCAAGACATGGAAACGATTATGTCCTTTGTAGGATGATTGGGTAAAGAAGATGTGGTACATTTATACAATGAAATACAACTCAGCCATAAAAAAAAAAGAAAAAAATGAACTATTGCCATTTGCGACAACATGGATGGACCTTGAGTGTATCATACTAAGTAAAATAAGTCAGGTGGGCCTGGCTGGCATGGCTCAGTGGTTGAGCATGGACCTATGAACCAAGAAGTCTTGGTTTGATTCCCAGTTAGAGAACATGCCCAGGCTGTGGCCTCAATCACCAGTGTGGGACATACAGGAGGCAGCCAATCAATGATTCTTTCTTATTGATATTTCTGTCTCTCTCTCCCCCTTCATCTCTGAAGTCAAAAAAAAAAAAAAAAAAAAGTCAGGTGGGAAAGAACAGGAACAATATAATTTCACTCAGATGTGGGATATAAAACAGAAAGCAACATACAAACAAGCAAACAAAATCATAGTCACAGGCAATAGTATGGCTGTTATCAGGGGGGAATGCGGGTGGGTGGGGGAGGATGAAGAGGGAAAAGGGGGTCAAATATAGGGCGACAGGAGAATAGACTTTGGGTAGGGAGCATACAATGCCTTATACAGATGATGTATTATAGAACAGCACACCTGAAACTTATATAATGTTATGAATTAATATTAACCCAATAAATTTAATTTAAAAAAGAACATCTAGACTCTGGATTCTAGAGGGAAAATCACAAATAATGTCATCTAAAAGTAAATAGCTATAACTGGATTTCTGGTAGAATCTATATAGATAAAATTAGTCAGAGGGAGTTAGGGGTTGGCACATTAATATCTACTTAGCTACTATTTAGATACCAGTACATGCCCAGGTTGTGGCCATTTATATGTGTAACAGAGAAAAAGGTTTGCCACTTAAGAACCAAAATTATCTTAGATTCTTACGAGCTATTAGTACAGCTCTGCTTAGCAAATGCTTTTCCAGATATTTGCAGCCTGATGCCAAAGGCCTTTTTGAAAATGGGTCACAGAATAGGAGCCAAGGAGTGTGACATCCCACTGTTAGAAGATGCATGAAGTCTTTAGTACTGAATGTTGTTCTCACCAGTAGATGTGCCTCCTAGAAGACAGTATATATCTGAGTATGTGGTCTCTGTTTCATGTTTACATATGTCCTCTTACCTTTCTGATTTTAAAACTATATGTAGCCTTGCGGGGCGGGGGGTTCCATGTCACAGATTCCCCTAGTTCATGGAGTCACTGTCTCAAGTTATTTCATTTAAACTATGGATGGTGAGTTTCAGCATTACAGATATAGAGAACTAACTCAACCAGCAAAGGCCAGGCTACTGTAGAACTGCGAAGGCAGACTTATCAATGTTGTTACCATTTTACAAAAGAATTCAGATGGCTGTCCCTTAGCATGGGTAGATCAAGGCATTCCTTCACCCAGATGTGTACTTCTCCAGTTGTAGGAAGCTTTTTACCTATGTTAGAAAAAAGAGAGAAAATAAAATGTTAGTGCTATTCCTCTCTTGGCAATACTGCATCTAAAGATGCCAATCTAAAAATGGACTAGCACACACCTTCGCTGTTGTAAATAATGCTGCTATGGACACATGGGTGCATATATTCTTTCTGATTGGTGTTGCTGGATTCTTAGGAAATCAGAAAGAATATATGCATTCCCATGTTCATAGCAGCGTTATTTACAATAGCTAAGATCTGGAAATAGCCCAAGCGCCCATCAGTAGATGAGTGGCTAAAAAAAGTTGAGGTACATTTATACAATGGAATACTATTCAGCTAAAAAAGAAGGTGTCTGACCCTCTGCGACAGCATGGATGATTATGCTAAGTGAAATGATCCAGAGAAAAGACCAATATCACATGACCTCACTTATATGTGGAATCTAATGAACAAAATAAACTGACAGACAAAATAGGTCCAGACACACGGATGCATGGAACAGAATGATAGATCTCAGAGGGGAAGGAGGTGGAGGGGATGGGAAGAGATTAACCAAAGAACATATATGCATAACCCAGGGATACAAACAATAGTGTAGGGAAGGCCTGGAGTGGCATAGGCTCGAATAAGGGGGTCAAGGAAGGAAAAAATGGGGGATCTCTGTAATACTGTCAATAATACACAAGTAAAAAATTAAAAATTAAAAATAATGCTAGCTAGTATTTGATGATATGATCCTAATACTTTAAATCTATACATTCCTTTTTAAAAAAATATATATTTTATTGATTTTTTTTTACAGAGAGGAAGAGAGAGGGATAGAGAGTTAGAAACATCGATGAGGGAGAATCATCAATCGGTGCCTCTTGCACAACCTCCACCAGGGATGTGCCCGCAACCAAGGTACATGCCCTTGACCAGAATCGAACCTGGGACCTTTCAGTCCACAGGCTGACCTATCCACTGAGCCAAACCGGTCTCGGCTATACATTCCTTTAAAAAAAATGTTTTTATTGATTTCAGAGAGAAGAGAAGAGGAAGAGAAAGATAGAAACATCAATGATGAGAGAGAATCACTGACTGGCTGCCTCCTGCACACCCACTACTGGGGATCGAGCCTGCAACATGGCATGTGCCCTTGACTGGAATCGAACCTGGGGCCCTTCAGTTCGCAGGCGGACGCCCTATCTACTGAGCCAAACCAGCCAGGGCTATCCATTCTTGATTATATATTTTATAGTCTGGCTGTACTGAGCTCAGACAGCTCTATGAAAATAATTTATATTTATTCCAAGTACAGAGTATTACATCATTCTTGTCGGGTTTTGCTGGCTCCACAGGATTAGTTATAGATATCAAGCATGTGAGTCATCTATTTATACTTCTATTCAAAATATCTCAGTGAAATGCACATACCTTTCAAACACTCATACCAATGTCAATTGGTACAGGCTGACATATTAAACATATTACTGTAAAGCAATCAGAACAGGTACTAGCTAAGAGAGAGTCATTTTTTGTTTTGTTAAAAGTAGAGTGTAAAAAGTTAAACATTTGCCCTAGCTGGCTTGGCTCAGTGGATAGAGTGCCCGCCTGCGAACTGAAGGGTCTCAGGTATAGAGTTTCAGATATATATATAAGATGAAAACATTCTGGAGATTTGCTTCACAAAAATGTGAATCTACTTAACACTGCTAATGTCACACTAAAAAAAAAAAAAAGGGTTAATATGGTACATTTTATGTGTTTTTATCACAATAAAAAAACGAGAATTTACAACTGTGAGTTGACTTATTTGGTCTATATGATTACTAAGTTAATAAATCTATTTAAGGCTTCCCCTTTGAAAATAGCACAGATCCCAAAGAAACCCTGGGAGCGTGGGGGAGGAGGAAAGGGCATAACTCTGGACAGAAAATCATTACATACCAGGAATAGGCTCCGGGACGTACTGAAGAGCCAATTTCATTTTACCTCTGTTTTCTGCTTCAAGGGCAACTGGTGCTGTCTGAAAAAAGAGGGAGTGTCAGCAGATGTAAGACACAAACTATTCACTCTGGTTGCTGGTACTCTGTTACAGGACCTTATCTTCCCCGTTTCTGGAACAACATATCACTCCTGAGTGCCCTGGATTAAAATTCCCCTCCCCATCAGAGCTACACTATTCGCTTTACATCTGGGATCATTCTACTGCGCATCTAGGAAAACTCTGTAGGGTACCCAGAACACGTTTCAAGGCCATTCGTCTCAGAGAGAGTGGAGAGATCAGAATGGCTTTCCTGGAGATGTCTGAAGTGTTGTGGGGTGCCTTGGTGTTTATGAAAACACGTAGATTTTGTTAATAATTCGTCCAGTACATAAAACAACTCGTTTGTGTTTTCTTTCTCCGAAGGAATAAGAAGAGTGTGGGAAGGTGGGGGCAGGAAGAAAGCGAAATATTACATTTTCAAAGTTGCATTAACCTATTTTCGACCAAATGAGTAGATGTCTGTAAGAATAACAAAGGCTGGACAATAATTTTAAAATATATATATCTATTATTTTCAAGTATATGAGAAATGGTTTTACTTTCAAAATCTGGTCCTTTGGGGCCTTATTTCCAAAACATGGCTATTCATCAGAAACATAAGACAAGTTAGTTAAAAATGAATGCTTTTGACATCTTCTGAGAAATTCAGATCCAACAAGTCTTGGGTAGGGCTAGAAATAAGTGCTTCATGTGATCTTAATGTAACATTTAGGAAGCATTTCTTAAAATAAACTTTTCTTATGTGGATACTAACTAATGATTTGTATGAATTGTTTATATGTATCAATTCCAGCTATGATGGACTAGTTGGGATTACAGCAATCCTCATACTGAGAACAATAAAAAAATCAATTATAAAATCTACTTGAAGGTACTAAAGAATTACTAAGATAGGATTCAAATGGATAAGATATTAGAGCATGACATTTTTCTCTACTTTCCACTTTGAGGCATTAGCTGATTTTTAAGTTCGTAGTGCCAAACTGAGAGAATAAAAAGCCTAGCAGAAAGAGACTAAGAAGGGCTTTTAGAAGTCTCAAAGGGCTAGGGAGACAAAAATTGAAATCCATGGCCTGATAAGGAGGAATGGCCTCTGATAGTACTCTAGACCAGTGGTTCCCAAAGTGTGGGCCCCAGCCAGTATCATCATCAGCACCTGGAAACTTGTTGAAAATGCACATTCCTGGGCACAGGTCTTACTGAATCAGAAACCTTGGGAATAGGGCCTAGAAATCTGTGGTTTAATAAGTTCTTCAGGTGAATCGGATACTAACATTTGAGATCTACTTTCCTAGGCTTACAGTTGGAACTCCCAAAGGGCCACAGCCTAAGAATATAGTAAAAAAAAAACAAAAACAAACAAACAAACAAACAAACAAACAAAAAAAAAAACAACAGATCAGACTACATGAAAACCAAAACCCCACCTTCTAGTCAATTCATTCTCAGATTAGATTAAGGTGGTCTGTCCCTATTCTGTGTCAGAAGCAAAAGCAAACCTTCCCAAGTTTTATCCCTAGAATTCTTTTCATGCAATGTCCAGCATGCAATAACCAATGAAAAGGCATACAAGGACAAAGGACCAAGTGACTATAATAAAATAAAAATTTTGATAAGAGAGACTCACAAATGTTGAAAATATTGGAGTTTTCAGACACACACATCACATAACTCTAATTAATGTATTTATAAAGATAATGATAAGATGAAAAATTTTAGCAGAGAAGAGGCACTTATAAAAAGAATAAAATGAAAATAGAAGTCTGAAAGAACATAATTGAGAACTTATAGATGGGTATCACAGATTAGACATAGAAGATAAGAAAATTATTGAACTATAAGATAGGTTAGCAAGAAATAGCCAACCTGGCTGAAACTGGCTTGGCTCAGTGGATAGAGTGTGGGCCTGGGACTGAAAGATCCCAACTTTGATTCTGGTCAGGGGCATGTACCTTGGTTGCAGGCACATCCCCAGTGGGGACTGTGTAGGAGGCAGCTGATTGATGTTTCTCTCTCATCGATGTTTCTAACTCTCTATCCTTCTCCCTTCCTCTCTGTAAAAGATATATAATAATAAAAAAAATCTCTCTATATATATTTTTTAAAAATAGCCAACCTGAAGCATACATGGAGCAAAGGTGAAGAAATATAGAAAAGAAAATGAGAGACATATGAGGCAGAGTGGAGAGAGAAAATGATCCCAAATGATGGATAAGTATCCTGAATGAAAATTGAACTTTATAGGACCTTTCTCCTATATAACAAGCCTCAAAACAACCAACCAACCAACCAATCAAAAAATGCTGAACTTACTTTTCGCTTCAGAGGGTACCACTTCAATTGTTTATTCTGTTTGCTGTCCCAGTCCCAAGTTTCCAAATCAAGTTCCACTTCCCCAAGAAAACTATTGCGTTTGAATGTATCCCGATGCCATACAGACAGGTTCAGCTTCTGTGTCTTTAAGATTTGCTTTTCGATTTTATACTGCAGTTCAAAGAAAGAAATTAAAGGGGTGAATGATATTACTTTATGCCAAAGTTATGACACAGAGATGAAGAGAAAAGTCATCTGTGCAGGTCAGATTTTCTCATCTGGTCGGTTTCAAGTCTTAAGAATTTTGCAAAGTCATCTAATTCTAAGTGTCTTATTTCAAAGAGCTAAAATCCATCTTTCACAAAAGTTGATTTTCTTTGCCCCTTTGGAAAAAGCAAACCATGGCTCAAATATCATAGCTGGTAATCGCTCCTTAGAAACAAAAGCCAATTATTCATTTTTTTTTCTGGATGTTTTTATTTCTAACTAGGTATAACATAAATCAAACTCATTCTAAAAATGAAGTTTAATCGATGGTCTGTTTTTTCCTAAGGACAAGGTATATTTTAAAAATACTTTGTTTTTTAGAGCACTTTTAGATTCTCAGCAAAACTGAGTGAAAAGTAGAGAGTTCCCATAATCCACCTATCTCTATATACACACTCCTCTCCCACTTGATATACTACAAAGATAAGGAGTTTCTCAAGAAAAGATAGACTTGATTTTTTCCTGCTTTCTATGGCCCAGTGAAAAATATTTAGCACCCTAAAACTTTTTCCATCTAAAATGACAGTAAATCCTTGATTATATATAATCATGGAAGGGATAATAGTACTTCTAATCTAAAAGTAATCTCTATTTGGCTTTATGATGTACTACTTGAATGCCCACTTGTTATTCTCAGAGTTTACTATTTAAATTATCTGGCTTTTCCTGAGTGTAGGGCTGAAGTAGCTGACCTAGAAATAGCTAGGGGACTGAAGTATATCATAGTCAAACTGTAATTAAAAACTTGCTACAGAAAACTCACCCATGGATGATTGAGAATTAACTTAACTCTACTTTTCTCAGAGAATAACCAAATAGTTGGATAGAATTTTCAGAAGGAGGGTTTTTATTTGTAGTTTTACATTTTCTATTACTCATGACTAAGGTAGTATGATATAGTTTGTAAGGTGGGGGAGCGAGATATGGTATTTGAACCAGGTATACTTTCCATTCATATGGCTATCCATCTATCCTTCCAATAAACATTTGAGTACCTTTTTTCAGACATCATACTAGGAACAACATTTATTAAGTGTTTAATGTACTCATCTCATCCTGTATATAAACTCTTTTAACATTCACAACTACTGTGGTAGGTAAGTAGGTAGGTACTATTTTACTTCTCCTTTGCAGGCATGAAGTACAGGCAGGCTAAGTCATTTACCCAAGGGCACAGTTTATAAACAACATAGAGTTAGTCCCTGCCCTCGAGGAACTTACAATTTACTGGGAAAGCAGACAAACCAGTAAAGTGCTGAGAGTTAATATAGCCTACTGTAAAACAAGAAAACAAGGTAGCAGACAGGAGGGGCCTGAGAGGAAAAGACAGCAGCTCATAGGAAGAGGCATTTAAGGCTGTGGGAGGTAGTTAGGGACAGAATGTGGGGAAGAATATTCCAGCCTAAGCAAACACAGAGTCCCAGCAGTGTGAGAAAATGTAGTTCTTCCAAAGAACAGAAAGGAATTAGGGTATCCTGAACAAAGACTATGACCATGAAAAGATGAGGCGGGAGGTCAGCTTGTGAAGGGACTGGTGTGCAGGGCAAGGATGGAGTTGACCATAAGGGTAAAGGGAATCCTAAAAGTTCTTAAGCAGAGAAATACCACCATCAGAACTATCGTTTTTAGAACATTTTGGTTGCTATGCTCAACTTCATCAGTTGTGCATCCTTGTGCAAGTTACTTTATTTCTCTAAGCTTCATTTGCTGCATCTTATGAGATACAGATAACAATACCAGCCTAGCAGGGTACATAGGGAGTGAATGAGATAATGCGTACGACATTCATGGCATATCATCTCAAAACAGTTTCTCAGAAAATGTTGATCCTTTCCTTCTCCTCTCTGGGCAATTGACTTCATCTGTAGAGATACTACTTAAGAAGATATGGTATGGGAGGTGGGGGGCAATGTTAAAATATATACACAGATAATAATTTAATAAAAATATTTTAAAAAAAGAAAAAGAAGAAAAGAAAAGAAAAGAAAAGAAGAAGGAGAAGGAGGAGGAGGAGGAGGAGGAGGAGGAGGAGGAGGAGGAGGAGGAGGAGGAGAAGAAGAAGAAGAAGAAGAAGAAGAAGAAGAAGAAGAAGAAGAAGAAGAAGAAGAAGAAGAAGGAGAAGAAGAAGAAGAGAATATGGTTAGACAAACATATAGGTCACCATTTAGGATTTTCCCAATCTAGAGTTCATAGATACCCGCAGTATCTCGTTATACACAGGATTCAAAGTTTTCTTCACAACAAATGTTTTCTTCTTGCCCATTTTGCCCTTGTCTGGTAACAGGTAAGTCTTTACATATCTAAAAGGAGAAATGAACAGGCAAGAAGGTCAGAGAAAATTAGAAGTGATATTTCCACCTCTGCTTTTAAAAATGCATTGGAAATTGACAGAAATAAGTCTTTTAGAATGAGAAAAGCAATACTCAACAAATGTCCCACCAACACCTTTATGGAAAAGCTTAAAGCTATTTCAGTGGGATTGGTCATGAATTCCTTTCTTCTGGCCTTAAGTCAGAGGGGTGAGAGGAGTATTCTAACAGTGCTTAATTCCACTGGCTTTCTTTCTATTAAGAAAGGCCATGGTGCTTGCAGAATTATTATTTTGCAAATCTTCGCCCAAGGATACTTTTCCACTGTTTTTTAGGGAGAGTAGAAGAGAGAGGGAAAGACAGAGAAAAACATCAATGTGAAAGAAACACATCAATTGGTTGGTTGCCTCCTGTACGAGCCCTGCCAGGGTAGGAGGAGCCTGCAGCCAAGGTCGCTCTTGACCCAAACCAAACCCGGGACCCTTTGGTCCACAGGCTGATGCTCTCTATCCCTTGAGCCAAACTGTCTAGAACATTGTAGAATTATTTTTAAAAGTTTTTGTGGTCCTGGCTGGTTTGGCTCTGTGGATAGAGTGTTGGCCTTGGGACTGGGGGGTCCCAGGTTCAATTCCGGTCAAGGGCATGTGCCTTGGTTTCGGGCATATCCCCAGTGGGGGGTGTGCAGGAGGCGGCTGCTTGAGTTTCTAACTCTCTATCCCTCTCCCTTCCTCAAAAATCAATAAAATATATTTTTTAAAAATTTTGTGACTATTTTTTAAAATAAAATTAATCTTAGCATGCCATGCTCAATGTAAAAAAAAAAAAAAAAAAAGGATGCTGCGCTCATTTGTTTTTGTAACACAAGGAAAAAGGATTGGGTTTATGCTAGCAAAATAATTAAGAATCAGACTTCTGCATAGGGATGACTGGGGAATACCATTCCACTTTTGCAAATAAACTGAAATGCAATTAAATCTATGATCTCAAAGATGAATTGGTAATCCCTTCTACAGTGCTTCTGCAGAATATAATTTAAATATGGAAACTACTTCATTTGAGAATCTTAACTGATTCTGCACCACTGAACATTAGGAAGTATGCCCCACATGTCCCTAATTTTGGAGGCAGTTTTGAGAGTGCCGTGGAAAGAGATCAAGGTTCAAGCCCTTATTCCTCATTTTGCCCCTTGAGTGTCTGAATTTATGTAGACAGGCTGCTTATCTTCTCTTGCCCTTGTTTCTTTATCGGTCAAAAGAAGGACCTGGACAAGATGACCTCAAAAGTTCCTTCCAACCTGAAACATTTTGGGCTTCTCTGACATTTCTGCAATTTCACAAGTTTGGCCTCTGAACATATAACGTAAATAAGGCGGCATTCCCCCTGCCATCCCTTCTCCTTTCAATCATTGCTTTCCACAAAGTCATACACATCTCCTCGCTTCCATTCTGTTCTTTCCTTCCTGATTTCTACAAGATTCAGTAGGAGAAGATAGGGATGCCAAATGTACTTACGGGTCTGAACGTTGTTTTCTCATGTCTGCGGCGGCTAAGTCTTTACACTGGGCCACAAAGATATGCAGCTCCGTCAACGAGTCCACATACTCCACCGCGAACTGGATGCTTCCTTTCACCTCCAGATTGCCAAAGTCTCCACTGTACACGCTCATCACACTGCCGCTCACCTGAGAGCATTGGAAACACGCAGGGTTTGTCTCTACCGCGTGCTTGAACTCAACATGGGGATCATGGCTATCATTCTTGCTTGCCATTATTGCGCGAGTTTGCATATAAAAGCAGCTAATTTGATATGGCTTAAAGACCCACCTACACAGATAACCTGACGTGATATACAGGACACAACTAGTGTGTGTGTTTTTTTTAATTGCCTCTCTAAGATATAGGAGAGAAGTGAAATGCAAAGTTCCGTAGATGCTGCAGGCTCCTTTCACAGCAGGGCGATTTTAGAGGAAAGGCTTTCCAGAGCTCCATTTTTAGGCATGCTCTGTATTTAAAATGTTAAAGAAAGGGGATGTGAGAAACCCCAGGCACACAAATCACAGTGACACGTTGCTCTATCAAATTTCCAAGGCACTCAGAAGGAATTTTGCTATGTTACCCATCCGCTGAATCCAGGAAAATGCTTACTGAGCCATATGCTTTTAGAGGTCAGGAAGGGTAGAAAATGGATGATTGATGAAGGGAGTTTAAAGCCTTCCAAGATCATGCATTAGATTGTTGTCAGCAGAAATTCAACTTAAATAGCTTCTAAAAAAAGCAATCTGAGAAATGTGAGGCTAGTAAGTATTTAAGCACAGGTTTATTATTTGTTTAGATGGCTGGCAAGATATGCGCATGTGCATGTATATGTATATCAGGGAAATATCTGGATTAGTGTGTGTATATATATTTACACACATATGTATTTCTACACACATGCTACATGCACACAGAACTACCTCACTTTAGAAAAGAAGTTCTTTGTGAAACAACCACACTTAGGGAGCTTTGCTTTAAAAACCCTGTTCAGAATCCTTTTGTAAGGCAAAGAACCACCTCTCCCATTCTTTTAGTGAAACAATCAGTACTTTTACCCGGCAGGCTTGCTTAAAAAAAGGGAGATACAGCTGAAACCGGTTTTGCTCAGTGGATGGAGCGTTGGCCTGTGGACTGAAGGGTCCCAGGTTTGATTCTGGTCACTTACATTGGTTGCAGGCACATCCCCGGTGGGAGGTGTGCAGGAGGCAGCCGACCGATGTTTCTCTCTCATTGATGCTTCTAGCTTTCTATCCCTCTCCCTTCTTCTCTGTAAAAGATCAATAAAATATATTTAAAAAATAAAAAAAAATGCAAACTGGCATAAAAAAAAGGAGATACAATTCTGTAACTGCCAATGGTATGTAAAAGCGTATCTGATACAAGCAGACTTGATCATAGTTATCCATTTTGCACAGAAAAATGCAGGGGTTCATTTTGTTGGTAATCTAGGTTTATTTTTACAGCCCTTACCTTCAAAAAAACCATACTGATTTATAATGGGTAGGAACCTTTATGCTTAACAAAAAAAAAAAAAAAAAAAAAAAAAGAAGAAGAAGAAGAAGAAGAAGAAAATGGAGAATTTAGCTAGCCAGCAGCGAGTGGTGGGTGAGGGAAAAAGCTCATGCCCTTGGAATCTGGGAAACACAACAGGAGGCCATTGTACAGCAGCAGGAGTGAGGCAGAGCGAGCTCGCAGAAGCAGCGAGATATTAACACGGAGCCTTTCTTTACATACAGAAGACAGGGACGTCATGCCAGAGGAGCTGCTAAGATTGGTTAGAGAGCTGGGACTCTTCTTGTGTCTGCTGAGGTGGTAACTGCTTTCTGATGCTGTGTCTGTTTCTCTGTCATCACTCTACAAAACATCATATAATATATACACAGTTTAAATTCAGAACGAGTCCAGGTCAGAATCTCTGCTTAGACAAAGATAATTCCTTGGTATCACATGGATCTATGGCATTGCTCAAGGTCCAGGGACACTAGTGCTAATTGCCAGGGAGTGGGATTCAGGGTGGGGTGGGGTGGGCTGCCTTGGACCTCACCTAAGGGGGAGAGCAGGGCTTAGCTACCAAAATAACAGTGATTTTTCACCTACAAGGGGCCCTGAGGTGCATCAGAAGACAGTACTACTGTGAGCAGCTTGCTGCTCTCTCAATATTACACACTTATGTTTCTTTAAGAACTGATATATATGAGAAGTTAACTTTACCCAGACAATAAAAGCTCTGAGTTCTACTGCCAAGACATAAAATGTCATGCTTAATTCCTCTCATTATTAACATAAACTTAACTTCCCTAAAAATCAAATTAAACTAGGACAAATAAATACTAGTCTTCTCTATTTCAACAAAAAGTGAGTATGTTAAAAATTTGAAATCACCTCTCCTGTATTTCAATAGTGATATTTTGCTTATCTTTTTGCTGTTCTAGGGAAGTATATTAAATTATACATTCTATCCACATTAAATTTTTAACACATTTAATGTGTGTGTGTGGGAATAACACACTTAATGTGTGTGGGGGGAATAACAACATGATACCATATATATATATATATATATATATATATATATATATATATATATATATAAAATCTCCCAAGAAATATTAACTTGGGTCAAGAAAGAAAAGTGGCAATAAGAAACTTTTTTATATTTAGGTCTAAAGTGTATTAGATGGTAGTTTTTAAAAATTCATGATTCAGAATCACTCCTTTGGGGGTTAGAGTTTATGGGGCAGTTCAGTGGCTTCTGGGACTAGGGCAGCACCTTTATGGAGTAGTTAGTTCATGCTGACAAATTCCAGGGCCATGCAATTATGTATCAAATAGTGCAGATTAAGAAAAGAGTTAAATAAAAACAAATCTTATGACTTATATGGATGAGGGGGAAAAAAACACCTCAAAGATCAAACAAAAATCCAAACCTTTTCCATGTCTCTGTTGTCACACAACCCCCCCTCCACATGCTTACAGTCCATTTCTATTATAGCATGTATGACATTTGATCTGGTATATCAGATCATTAGTGAATTATTGGAAGGATGGGACCCTGTCTTGTTGACCTGGACCATGGATCTTCACATAGTTGGCACTCAACACATATCAAAGGGACCGTGGACAAAGAAGCAAGGCCTGATTTCATCTCCACTTCCTGTAACATTCCGTCCAACCCATGTCCTTTGAAAGCTAAAATGATACAGCTTAACTTGGCATGTCCGATGCACACACTCAAATGATTTGGACTCTTTTGTGGAGCTGAGGAACAGGTTAAAACTAAAGAAAGGACAAAAACAAAACAAAAAAACAACCAGGAACTAGTCTTATTTGCCTCTCAAGTTATTATATGATTAACTCACATGACCAATCAATACCAGGAACTCCATGAGGTGTCTACGGTTGGTTTCCAGCCAATGAATTAGGTTAAAAAAAATGAGTGGTTCTTCCCAAAGTTAAGTGTAATGTGGGCTCTGAAAAATATTCAAGGACTGACTGACTGGAGATACAGCTCATCAAAGACCCAAGTCTGATGCCCACAAAGTGGGGAGGCGAGGTGTAATGTGCTGGTTAGTATGTGTTGTCCAGAGCTTTGCTCACACTCTGTCTATGAATAAACTGCATGAGGATGATGCTTTATATTTCTCCATCAAAAATAAGACTCAGCTGGAACCAGTTTGGCTCTGTGGATAGAGTGTCGGCCTGCGGACTGAAAGGTCCCGGGTTCGATTCCAGTCAAGGGCATGTACTTTGGTTGCAGGCACATCCCCAGTAGAGCGTGTGCAAGGGGCAGCTGATGGATGATTCTCTCTCATCGATGCTTCTAACTATCTATCCCTCTCTCTTCCTCTCTGTAAAAAATCAATAAAATATATTTTTTAAAAAATCAGACCCAAACTGCTGATAGTAATAGCTAGCATGTATTGGGTACTTACTATGTGTCAGGCACTGTGCTGTGAGTGTTCCTCACATTATATGACGAACTTCTCACAACTTGATGAGGGAGGTACTAAGACACTAGACTCAGAGAAGTTAAGGAACTTGTCCATAATCACATAGCAAATTAGTAGCATAGCCAGGGCTGGAAATGTCTAATTCCAAACCTCCGACTCTAAATTACCTGGCTTCAAGAACTTGAAGTCTTGATTAAGTCAAAGGACCTGAGTTACAGTCTACTTTTCAGTAGCTGTTGGATTTTGAGAAAGTTACTTAACCTCTCTGAGTCTTCCTCTTCTTTTATAAAATGGAGAAAATAGTACCACATTTAGTTAGTGAGAGTTAGGTAATAGCATCAATATTAAATACCTGGCAGTAGGTTCTCAATGAATAGTAGATAATAGAATAGTCATGTGATTAGTTAATAGCATGAGAGTCAGATCTGGCTCCAGCCCTGGTTCAACCCCTTTCAAGCTGAATGAGGTTACTTCACCTCTTTTAGTCTGTTTTCCCATCTGAATATCTGGGGATAATGATATTGCCCACCTTCTAGGGTTGTTGGATAAGATAAGATAATGTATATTAATAAGATAATGTATATAGGTATCCTTAAAGATCACTATGTCATTTTCACTTTATTATTTTAACAGATGTTTTCAAGCGAGTCATGCAACCTAGACTAAGTTCTCACAAAGCACTGTACTCTAAACTACAGAGGAGTTGTTAGTCCATGCTAACATATTTCTGCCTTATTTCTTATTTTGTATCCACTCTGAAACAAAAGTCACATTCCCAAATCTATGCAATTTGACTTCACTACCAAAAGGAGTTACTGTTTGAATCAAATGAGACATGCCGTGCCTTGTTCCAGGATCCACAACACTACCTCTATTGATGTGAAAGGCAAGGGTCAGTCCTGCTGACCTCCAGTCCCTGCCACGGCTGAATACACACCCACCAATCTTGGCAGAACAAATCCACTTATTTGGTCCCATTTTTCTGAAGGTACAAAAGATAAACTTGCCTCATCTTGGAGAAATGCTGGAACAGACTTGCTCATCCTTTTGAGTTTGTCGGGGTGGGAAAACTGATTGTCAGGCTGTGAAGGCACTGTGGAAACTAAACAGCAGCATTTCTGTTCAAAATTATCTTTACAACTGTCAGACACACACAGGCATAGGGTGAAAACACACTTCTCTTCCATCAGTGAACAGAGATGTTTCTGTAAAAAGGTTAAAGGCACCGTACTTCACATGCACAGGACCATACGGTGAGCAGCATGCAGTTTTCATAAGTTAATCAGATAGAAAAAAGAGCAAGAAGTTGAACCAAGTAGAAAATAAAAAGTAATTGAAAAAGGATTAGTTTTTCTTGAACATGGAGCTGTATTTGAATTATATTAAAACATGCTGTCAATGAGAATTGGTTTTAACTTATTTTTTTCACATCAGTTTTGAACCCCATAATCTATAATTTAGTGGTTCATCTCCTTGAGATATTTATATTTTTAACATGCTGCAGGCTAAAAAAAACTATTTCATCAGACAGCAAGGATCTTTGTACACAACTCAGTCATAAACATGTCCAGGACGTTGAGTGTCTAAGAGAAGGTTTGTTTGTTTTTTAGTGAGTGTGGGGAGTACCATGAAAGACCATTAGATTTTCCAAACTAATTACTCTTTGAAAATAGAAATTATTTTTAAGTAACTTTTTACTTTTCAATAATAGTTGGTGTAAGTTTCAAGTATACAACCCAGTGAATAGACATTTATATAATTTTTGAAGTAATTACCCTAACAAATCTAGTATGCATCTGACAACATACATAGTTATTATAATATTATTCACTATTTTCCCTGTGCAGTACTTTGTATCCCTGTGACTATTCTGTAATAACCAATTTGTACTTCCTAATCTCTTCACCTTTTTCACCCAATCTCCCATTTCCTCTTCCCTCTGGCAACTGTCAAAATATCCTCTGTATCTATGAGTCTGTTTCTAATCTGCTCTTTTATTTATTTTGTTTTTTTAGATCCCACATGTTAGATACCTGACAATTCAAAGAATTTTCAACAGGGATACCCAAGGCCAACTTTGAATGATTCAAGTTAGGATATTCTAAGAATTTAATATAAAAATGTAGCATGCAGTTTCTTTCTGATATAGTAAACATATGTGTGGAAGTCACAATAGGATGACAAATTCTATTCTTAATTTGTGTAACTCTAGTTAGAAAGCTATTTTTTCCTTTGTCTAAGAATCATAATGAAACTATTTTTGTGGTGAATTTAGAGCTTTTATATTTGAATGAGTTCACATTTGTCAAGAAACTTAGAATAGTAGGCCCTACACAAGTATTTGATAAACAACTAAATATTGTTTGAAAGAGATTCTTTAAGTTATCTTTACAATGTGATACAAATATATTGACTTTATCATTGAAAGCTAAACTAGGAAAGTGAATAAAAATCAACTTATAGTGCTATACATAACTCAAAAGGCTCAAATTCAGTTCTAAGCATTAGCTAAATTTATTTTTAGTTAACTGAAACCTAATTGAAGGAAAATGAAAACTAAACTACACATATTAAATATTTGCTTATTTACATACTAGTTCCCACCTGGCCTTAGGCTTACAAATGTATCAAAAAACATTGTGGCATATCACAAGATGATAACCGCTTTAATCACTTCCCATTAAGCACAATGTGCATGTGTGTGTATTTGGTGACTATCACACAAGCAATGTAAGATTAGGTCCCAGGAAGGCATAGGAGAGCCCAAAGATATGCAAAACCCTTTTTTCACAACACTGTTCCCTATTATTTTCAAGGTATATATCCACCACTCAAACATAGTCACTTACATGTATTGGTCTTTAGTTATTTATATTTTGATCATGTATTTCATTGTTTCCAGGAAATCACTTAAAATTCTTTTTAGGTTATTCAATGAAAGTTGACATTCAATATTATATTATTTCTAGGTATACAGATCATATATTTCATTTTGTCTTGTGTGATAAGAATACATTCTTCACTAGGAAAAAAATTGGAAAATATCATAAAAAAGAGAGAATTGGCCTGGCTGGTCTTGCTCAGTGGTTGAGTATTGAGCTATGAACCAGGAGGTCACAGTTCGATTCCTGGTCATGGCACATGCCCAGGTTTCAGGCTCAATTCCCAGTGTGGGGTGTGCAGGAGGCAGCCAGTTAATCATTCTCTCTCATCATTGATGTTTCTATCTCTCTCCCCCTCTCCCTTCCTCTCTGATATCAATAAAAATATTTTTAAAATAATTTTTTTTAAATAGAGAGAGACCTGATCCAGAATTTGCCTATTTGCCTTGATCAATAACTAAGCTCAGCTGAAACTGGTTTGGCTCAGTGGATAGAGCGTCGGCCTGAGGACTGAAAGGTCCCAGGTTCGATTCCCGTCAGGGGCATGTACCTGGGTTGTGGGCACATCCCCAGTGTGCAAGAGGCAGCTGATCGATGTTTCTCTCTCATCAATGTTTCTAACTCTCTATCCCTCTCTCTCTTCCTCTCTGTAAAATCAATAAAATATATTTTAAAAAAATAATTAAGCTCATCAGGAGGCCACAAATAAAGATGTAGATACATTGGTTATATAGCTATACCTATATATACATCTACATTTACATAGATGTGTATACATATATCTATGCTTTGTTTTCACTCCTCAAGCTGAATGTTGAACAAAACAGCAAAATGAAATCAGATGCTGTTTTCAGTATCTGCCAGTTCAAAAGCATCAGGAAAAGTCACGTTACCTGCCACCCCTGAAGGACAGAAGTCTGGTTTCCTCGGCAGCAGCCAGGCAGAGACTAACACCAAGGACCCGAGCCTGGACTGCCTTTCCCCCTGGGTGGTTCTTAAGAATTTGTCAGGTCGTGTGCTGAAGCTCAGCACCTTCACTCCGGCAGGAGGACCTCGTGAGCCACGTTTCAGATTTCAGACCAGATGTCACTGCCTTCTAGCATCGGCACTTTGTTCCTCTAATGGCTCTTTTATTTAAGCTGCTCTTCTCAGGGAGACTTATGAGCACATCCAAGGAATGTTGGGAAACTGTTATTAAAAATCCCCTGGGCACCTGGGGGCAGGCATGGGTATCATCTTCAGATGCAGTCCCTTCGATCACGACACTGACAAACTGGGGAGCTAAGAAGACACAAATGCATATCTATATGCTTTGCTAGGTCCACAAGCACCTTTCAATTGTAGTCACAGTTAAAATGTTCAGCAATCTTAAGATTGAATGGAAAAGAGTGAAGAGTCATATTCCTAGAGAGGTGGTGAATATTAATTAGTTGATGACATTAACCACTACTAACTGAACATTTATTTCTTAAGATTCAGATGTTCAGGTGGAGAGAACCAAATAGCAGCATGTTTTTCAATCAGGAGGATATCTTAGCTACAGAGGCCTCCCCTGAGAAGAAAGGGATCCCAGACCCACACCAGACCCCAGCCTAGGGTTCCAGAGCTGGGAAGAGAAGTCCCCATAACTCTGGGCTGTAAAAATCAGCAGGGATTGTGCCTGACTGACTTGGAGGCATCTGGAGACCTAGCAGTTCCTCTTAAAGGGCAGGCACACGGACTTACATGGTCCTGCTTCCTCAGAGTTCCAGCACTGGGGGCATTGGGCAGGAACTCGGGGGCAGCTTTCTCACAGACAGAGGTGCTAGCAAGGGTCAATGTTCCTATTCTGACACCTCCCTCATTGCAGAACTGACCTGTAGCCATATCTAAGTTTCCAGCAGCGTGGCCCGCGCTGTTTGTGGCCCTCAATGTTCAATCCACCTTGCTGATTTCCTGAGACCCCACTCAATTAGCAAGCTGTTTTCAGCTTTTTTTCCATATGAATGCTCTGTTCCTACTTAGGCTTCAGTCTTTTCTAAAATCTCTCAAATAAGCAGTAGTAGGCGTTAGCATGCCCCAATCCTATCAATAAGAAGCTAAAGACCCTGAACTAGCACCAGCTTGCCTTGCTTCACAGATGGGCTTTGTCTGGGCATGTCTAAGTTGAATACAAATAGCAGGCATCTGCAGATCTCTCTGTAGCTCCTACTGGGTGGCCCCAGGCAGCGGCTGACTTTTCAACTTCCAGAAGACTTCAGAGCCAGTGCATCCTGTGGACAGCTTCAGGCCATACCAGATTACAGCTCTACATATCCACAAGCAACTTGGCTTCGAGGTCAAGTACTCCCAGTGACACCAATAGCAATCAAGTCTCATCTACAACAAGCGTGCACACAGTCCACACAGGGGTGCAGCTAGAGTGCCCAGCTCAGATGACTGGGGAGCCTGAGCCACTGGGCCATACAGACACTTACTACATAAAGCCACTCTGCTAATTCCAAGAGACATAGCAGTTCTACCTAATACAAGGAAACAAGTACAGAGAAAGCAGTCAAAATGTGGAGACAACAAAACATGTCATAAATGAAAGAAATGGAAGCAAGGAAATTAGTGGATACAGAATTCAAAACAATGGTTATGAGCTTGCTCAAGGATCTTAATGAGAGCTTCAAGGGACTTAGTGACACTTTCAATGATCTTAAGGAGAATTTCAAATATATGAAAAAAGACCAGTCAGAATAAGCATTATTCTGAAATAAAAATTAACTGAAATAAAAAATAATTTACTGAAATAAAAAATTAACTGAAATAAAAAATAATTTACAGGGATTTAACAGTAGATGATTCCGAGAATTAAATCAATATTTTGAACTATGAGGAAGCAAAAAACACCCAATCAGAAGAGCAAAAAGAATCCAAAACTATGAAGATAGTGCAAGGAGCCTCTGGAACAACTTTAAGCATACCAACATTTGCATTATGGGGATGCCACAAGGAGAAGGGAGAGAGTAAAATATTGAAAACCTATTTAAAGAAATAATGACAGAAAATTTCCCTTGTCTGATAAAATAAATAGATTTACAATTCTAGGAAGCACAGAGAGTCCCAGAAAAATACAAAGAAATCCATAGTAAGATACACCATAATTAAAATGCCATGGTTAAAACAAAGCGAGACTCTTAAAAGCAGTTAGTTACATACATGGGAGCCTCCATATGACTATCAGTTGATTTCTCAACAGAAACCTTGCAAGCCAGAAGGGAGTAGCAAGAAATATTCAAAGTGATGAAGAGCAAGAACCCACAACCAAGATTATTCTACCCAGCAAAGCTATCATTTAGAATTGAAGGTTAGATAAAGAGCTTCACAGATAAGAAAAAGTTAAAGAAGCTCATCACCACCAAACCAGTATTACATGAAATTTTGAATTATTACATTAAAAAATAATTCTTTTTTATTGTTACTATTGTCTAAAGTTTTACATATGTCTCCTTTTTCCCCAATTGACTCCTCCCCCCATTCCCACCCTAGGCAAGCCCCCACCACCCCTATATGTCTATGTCCATTGGTTATGCTAATATACATGCATAGAAGTCCTTTGGTTGCACTCTAACCACCCTTCTTCCCCTACCATTTGTCTCTGAATGAAGAGTATTCTTTAAGAAGAGGAATAATAAGAAGAAAAAAGATAAAAATATAGGAATAATAAAATGGCAGGAAATACATATCTATAGATAATTTGAACCTAAAAATCAAAATAAATGAACAAGAAATCTAATGAACAAAATAAACTGATGAATGAAATAGAACCAGAGGCATGGAAACATGGAACATACTGACTGATGAATCTCAGAGGGAGCTGGGAGGGGTGGTGGGAAGAGTTTAACCAAAGATCTTAAATATATATATGCATCACCTATGGACACAGACAATAGGTTGGTTAAGGCCTGGGACAGGGCGGGACCTGGATGGAAGGGAGAGATGGGGGCGGGAGGAGGAGGGCATCTGTAATACTCTTAACAATAAAATTTTTTTTAAAAAAGATTCAGATGCTCACTTGATTTACATATTGAATATATATTATTTGCATCCAGTTTTAAACCTCAGCTTAAATCCTGTACATCATAAAATTGGCTTTCACAAGGTAGTTAGAGAGGCATATACAACCATTTGACATACCAACTGTCAAGTACAGTTTTTTCTTAGATCCGAATAAATTATAAATTGCTTTATATCTACAGTCTTGTGTAAAGGCCACAGAGATCCAATATGCAAGATCATACTTCAGATAAGAACACATATATAATGCTTTAATCAATAAAGGGAAAAAATACAAAAAATATATATAACTAGCAAAAAAAAAATCATACTGGAAAATAAAAGCCAAGTGATATTGGAAGGTGCCAACTTAATTTTAAGCAAAGACACAAAGAGCAGAGAGAATACCAAAAGGATAATATCCAGCATTAACATATAATATATATATATATATATATATATATATATATATATATATAATTTAAAAAAATATATAACCTTTTCTTAGTAGAACCACCAATTAACCTTTCATCACAGACAGTAGTAAAATGTTTTTAATACCACCCTTGCCAGAATGAAATAGTTTTTTTTTAAGCTGCAAGAGTTTAGTACCAATAATAAAGCTGTGTTATTAATGGGGTTAGTCATTTCAGTATATTTCACACCAGGTACAGTGGCAACATTTAGTCATTTGTGAGAAGGAACCAGCTACTCACTTCCTGGTGTGCGTTCATTTGTATCTGGTTCCTGATCTGCTTTTTGATCTGCTCAGAAGAGCAACAGCAAGAATAAATACCATTTTAACAGAAGGATGAGAAGAGACATGAAAGTAAAGCTCAAATGTCAGTTTCATGCTGAGACAGCAGAATACACCAGACAGGCTTTCAGCCCGCTTTCATCCTTTCCCCAGTGTGGCTCTTCGTTTGTCTCCTGTTCAACTCAAAGTCCTGCATCCAGAATTGGAGCTGTTTAGAGTCTTTCCTCAGTTCATGAAAAGCCACAGCTTTTAAAACGGAAAGGACACTGGACCTGGAGTAAGGAAGCCGAGACTCTAGTCCCTTACGCTCCCAGGGACTGACTAGCTACAGGATCTTAGACAAGTCACCTAATTTCTCAGAGCTTTGCTTCACTGCAAAACAAAGATTAAAACCCCTGCCCACCTACTTCTTTCTTTTTAAAATAGATTTTAAAATTAATTTTTAAAGAGAGATAGAAAGGGAGAGAGAGAGAGGAACACCAATTGGCTGACTCCTGCATACCCCTCTCCCACGGATCGAGCCCACATGTACCCTGACTGGGAATTGAACCTGCAACCTTTCGGTGCACAAAAGGATGCCCAACCAACTGAGTCACACTGGCCAGGCCCTCCCCCACCTATTCTCAATGAAGTTGTTGTAAACATAAAATGAGAAAGACAAGTCTGTTACATAAACGTAAGGAATGACCTCTGAGGACCTCTTGCTGCTTTTCTGTGGGAAAGCTCGGTGAATATACATTTTTATTATTATAGTGAAGGCTATTTAGAAAAGAAAATTCCAGCATACAAATATAAATTACACATTCACATCAATGCTGAGCTATAAATATCACACTCATTTCCATTCCCCCCCCCCCCAATAAGGCAGTATTACCCTATTCATTTCATAGCTGAACCAAATAATACCTGATCCACTGACAAGCTCTGAAATCTTCTGACTCCTTTATGTCCAGAATCAGTCACTATTCCCCTCCGCCTGTTCCTACTTATTTACAGGAGGGGAGGCAGGAGCCCCACTTTTGTTCTGGGACCCTTCCCTTTGAATGTAAAGCTTTCCTGGGTTTGCCCAGAAAGATCTATCCGTGGAGACATAAGAATAATCAAATACAAGAATAATCTAACCCAGGAACCCACTGTCCGCTTCCTGCCTCCAAAGGGAGGTTTGCAGGTCAGAGTAACAAAAATCAGCTCCTACCCTTTGGAAACACAATTTCCTATTTATAGAAGCCCTCGCTTCCCAAGGGTCTCCCAGGGGGCAATCCTCACGATGCTCTCACCTGCAGGAGCCTCAGCACACAAACAGAATTATAAGCACCCAGTCAGAGCCGTTCTATAAGAACTTAGGCACCATTCATCACATAGCGGCAAATGACGTCTCTCTTTTATCCAACAGCTGTGTGTCCCGGTGACTGCCCAAACCACCCACAACCTACAACACACAGACAGACATGCAGATACACAGAGATATTTACCATCTTCAGCACTACGCACTAATTCTTCTGGCAGATTATCTATCTTTGCTTGATCTGTGCGGGAGAAATTAACACACGGTTAACACATGGCTGACCCTGGGCGAGAGAGAACAATGAAAGCTCCCCCGGGAGTTGGAAGCAATTAGTCAAGATGCAGTGAGGGGTGCAACCAAGATGTCTCTTCCCAAATACTTTCTCTTTAGATTAGCCACTGGAGCCAGGGCCATCGCGAGGGAGCTCCCGTTTCAGCCCCGATGCAGCTTGCATCAGCACACACACTGCAGCGCAGAGACTCCCGAGGGTGAGGGGGTTAGTTCGGAGCAAGCGATTGGCAGAAAGCACGGGGCTGCCACAGCCTCTCTGTCCTGGAAAGGGTGGGATGCTAGCCACGACTGACACCTTCCCAAGCACACGGTCGCCAACAAGCATCTCTGTGCCCGCATCACCCTTTGTGTGTGCCCCCTGGGAGCCTTGCTTGGGAAGCCGACTTGAAGGGATGTGACTGGGGACCAGCTGCTAAGTGGAATCTTGGCAGGCTGCACCGAGTATGGGTATTGGCATTTGGAAGGGAGGTTGCAAGAATACCCGTCTGCTGATGATAATTTTTTTTTAACCCTACACATCCCTGAGTACTTTAAAGCTGCACCATGGAAATAGCCCCATGTTTCATAAATGAGAGGTCTGCCAAATGGAACAATTGCTGCTAAGTTTTGTTGTTGTTGTTGCTGTTTTTCTCCTCTCCTCAGGGCCCAATCACCAACCTCCAGAAGAATCATCAGGGCTGTCCTAACAAAGGATTGGATTGCCTTCTCCGCAAGCATTCAGAGGGCTGTGAGGGTTGGCCACCTGTTGAAGAGGCTTTGGAGGGAATTCCTGCATTGGGGGGAGTTTGGAATGGGTGACCTTCAAGGTCCCTTCCAAGCCTGAGATGCCAGAGATCTTTGGCAGGGCTAGGACTGCATGCCAAATGGGGAACCCTGTCTTCAGAGCCCTGGGAATCTCTGCATTTTAGAAATTGTTAAGTGGAGTGTATCTCCCAACCCCCTCTCCCCCACTTTTTCTTTTTCCTTTTTAAATTCGTATAAAAAGTATTCTGAACATGACAATGGTCCATTTTTTATATGAATTTGACAATGGTTAACTTTCACTCAATAAATTTTCTCATGACCATCTGAGGGTGTATTTTAGCTTAATAACAATAAGAACAATACCCCTAGTTAGTTCTACATCCTTTTGTCTGCCTCACAAGTCCCTATATTCATTATGTGCTCTGTTAGTACTCGAGATATCCTTCACCCAGGAAAGCAGCAGCCAGTGGGGCACAGTATGCCTCAAGTGTTGTGTGTCAGGAAGTCTTTGGGCTTAGAGTTGCAGTATCAAAAAGAAATGCATGAGAAGAAAGGATGAAAGGAAAGTCCTTGAAGCCAGGGACTAATTCATCTCCGTATCATGCAAAATTCATCAGCCATCCAACACTGTCATAAATGCTCTTGACAACATTCTGTTGATTCTGGGTCCCGGCTCTGCTGTGTGGTGCTAAGCTAATTCCTTTGCCTCTCTGAGCTTCACTGTCCTCGTCTATAAAATAGGGATAACAATTTATCTTTCACAAGGTTTACTTAAGCCAAATAAATAAAATGATGCGTACAAAACGCTTAGCCAAGTCTTGGCACACATTACTCAATAAATGTTAGTAATTACTACTAGAATCACTAGCTGCCACTATCTTTTAAAACTCACTGTACTTGAGTAAACACTCAAACTGGGATTCTTTGATGGAAGGAAACCTGGTGTTCCAGTAACCACACCTCATGCATTACTTCACAGACCGAGCTCCAGCCCCTTCGGCTCACGTGGGAAGGTCATTGTCATCTGTTAAGCCCCTCAGAGGGGTTTCAGTGCACAACAGCATGCAGTGAGGCCACAGAGGAGCACATATGCATTACTAAGCTGCGATGGGGGCACAGACAGTGGGGCAAACTGTATCCTCACTTGATGAATCTGATGAAATGTCTTCTAGACTTTTGGAAGGCATTTTCCTAGCAGCACTCCTTTCCAAAGTTTTCAAAACAGGACTGGGCTCTTCCTCTGAACCTGTTGTAAGACAAAACCGATGAACACTGCACAATGCAAAACACACACACCACCAAACTCTTAATTACCAATGGATATGGAAACGGTAGGTTAAAAGGAGGCATTATGCCATAAGCCTCTACACTTTTGTTTACTCTATGAAGCACTGCACAGGAGAAAATAAAACTTCTTCATGAATAGGAGGTCCTTAAGTAAAACAACAATGTTCTTGGTCAAAAAATATTTGCAAACATAAATCATTCAGAAACAAGACTGCCACATTAGTAGAAATGTGATTGCCTAGTCTTCCACACCTCTATTTTAGGCACATGATTTGTTCTGTGCCAGGCTTTAAATCTTTCCACTTCATTTCTAACTTTTGAAGATTGCCACAAAATGGTTTTAGAAGCATTAAAAAAATTAGCTGAAAACCATAGAAGGCAGGATCCAGATGTTTAACATCTGCATATAATCGAATACACAGATGGCTGAATTCTGCAGATCAACAGATGTAGGCTTTTTGGGTTTCATGAGCTCATAAAATTTCCATCAAAATATTGGAAAATGACATGAGACAGTCAACTTTTTATTTTACGAAGGCATTTTCAAAAGAGGTGGTTGTGGATCTATCACCTCTAATGCCTTTTCTTTATAAAAGGAGGACCAAAGGAAAGAAAAAGGGCATAAACTCAGAATATATATATAACTAAGTACATATAACCTTACAAGAAATCTCTCGAGACAGTCCTTAATTGTTCTATTTTGATAGTGAAAACTCTTATCATGGATGACCCCTGTCTGCATACTGTCATTTATCACTGCTATATTCTCAGTGCCTAGACAGGCGGTTGGCAAGAAGCACTTCAAAAAAAATGTTTGCTAAGCCAATGACTAGTTCCATTAGTGAATCAATCAATTTGGAACCATTTCTCCAGACAATATTTTACGGAAATGCATCCCAGTACCGCCCAATGTTAATGGGCATTCTACAGCAAATGGATTCTAAGATGAATTAGACTTGGGATGCTCTGTGTTCAAATTTAAAAGGGTTCTCTTTACAGACCTTCTTGGAGACTTTAATGCTAATAATGTGCAGTCTCCCAGCATTTCTAAAAGTATCTGACCACAAAACTTCCCCTCAGCTCCCTTCCCCCCCGCCCAAAGGAGCACACAGAGGTATTGGTTAATTGAGAACTGAACCACAAGTCAGAAGTGTCAGGCTGTTCACCAGAATTGTGGTGCCTTTGTAGCCAGGTTCCCCTCTACTCTCACCTTACTCCACCTACTTGTTTTAAAATATAAAACTACAACTATGCCTTTTGGTACCTCTTACATCACTTACAATTTTAAATAACTTCTCTGGACTCTGTCCAGGCCGTTAATATTATTTTATTTTCAGATTGGCTTTTTGCTGTTTAGCAGGTGATGCTGGTATACTCTAAACACAGCTCTACACACTAGGCAACAGTCTCCAACGTCAGTGCAAATGTAATAAGCTCTCCCCCTTCTCTGGTCAGTTCACCGTAGAAACTCATTGGGGGTGGTTTAGTAAAAGTCAACTTCAGGTTTAACATGCTGACTTACACACTCCTTCATATGCCTAGCTTCAGAGACTGGTATTTCACTTCCCTTTTCTTACCAGAAACACTTTTAGAGGGGCTTCAACTTGATGAATTAGGGCTAAAGATGGATTCTTTGGTTAGTTTTCAAGAGGCCCTACAGCTGCTTGCCAAGGAGCCCAAACCTCACAAGTCAGCCACTCAGCAAAGCTTATTTATTCTGAGACTGAAGGGAGCTAGAAAATGACAAGTCCTATTAAACTACCAGGAAGGTGATCAACGCTACATGTGCAACTTTGGTTAACATGTCCTGCTAGGGAGCATCGGTTATCACTTCATCACTCTAATCAGGTAACTTCTCATTTCTATTTGCTCCTGGGTTTCTTGGCCAAAATGCCTGTGTTGATCAGAAAAGCCAAACTGAGATAACCCTATGTTTTATCGCCTGGCTGAAACCAATACCCACAATTCCCCTTAGATGAATGTGGCAATCGATTAAGATCTCCATCCACGTAGCCAAGGCTGGAGCCAAAGAAATTCATTAGGCCAGGCAATGCCCTTGTGTGGGACCAAGTGAAGTCATTTGACCAAAGTCATACTCTAGAACGGGAAGATGCTGAAGATAATTGAAAATGAGAGGGAGAGCAGGACAACAAAAAACCTCAGCACAAAGAATCTGAGGGGAAAAAAGTGCCAACTTTCACTTTGTTCCTGGTATTTAGCCACTACTGTGGTAAACTATTGCTCCGAAAAGGGAAATTAGTGCTCCTCTGTAGCAATTTCTTGCCACAAATCTTAGTAGAGACCTCTGTTTGGATTGCCAATTATGAAAGAAATTCTAATTACTTCCAGAGGAAAACTATGTTAGAGATAGCTTCTAACCATGCCCCCCTCCCCAATTCTTTAAAAATATTTTTGAAACTTAAAAGTTTTATTGTTGATTCATGAGAATAAAGTAAAATTTTAAAACACTGCCTGTGGGTAAGACTCTATGTAACTTATTTGACTAAAGATTATAAAAGGAAATGTAGTTTTTATGAAGATAGACTAGGGAGAACTGAAGTGTTAAGAAGAATTTAGCACTATGTGGCAGTAGCAAATTAATTCCAAGTTAGAAAGCGCTATCATCCTTTACATCATCATTCCATAAATCAACTAAGTAACCAACAGGTTAAAAACGTCAAAGTGCTCACTGGAGGTATTTCTCCAGCTTTCTGCATTAGGACCGATGTTTCCATCTGAAAAATCAGAGTCAGAGACACCTTCTTTTCCTTCCTCTTTCTCTTGTCTCTTGTAAGGCGATTCCAGAACCAGTTCAACTTTACTTCTCTTTGTAGAATTCTCCTTGTTGGTCAGGAGAGGAACAGGTTGCCCATTTCTGGACACACGGACTGTTTTGGGACCCTCTTCGCAGCCAGGCTCCCGAAAAACCCCTTCTCGAACCCCAGCAACTTCACTTTCACTCTCCCTGGGCCCTGGGGGCTTTGTGGTTTCAATGAGCCCTGTTTCATGGTCCTCAGAAAGGGTTCCAGGGATCTCAGCTCCACTCTCATAACCACAGACATCTACTGACAAACCACTCACAACTTCTCCTCTCAGCCCTTCAGCCCAGGGGTTGACTCGAGACTCAAACACATCACTCTTAAGCTTCATTTCAGGGGCCTCTTGGGTTCTCCCCAGAAACCTGGCCTGCTCTGGCTTGGAGGTCTCCTTCTTGGGAATTCCTTCTTTCCCTGACACCTGGGGCTCATAAGGAGGAGCTTCAGATGATTCTCTAAGGAGTTTCTCAAAACCAATATCAAAAGCGCTCTCAGTTACTGCCGGAGCCTCAGCCTTTTGCACTCTTTCTTTTATTTCCTCAGGATGGAACCCAGAAGCAGCTGGCCTGGGCACCTCAGCACAACCTGCTGTCTTGGATGGAGAGAGCATCCCTGGGTTGCTTTCAGATTCAGAGGAGAGAATTTCAGTGGTTTCCTTCAGCAGTTTCTCTAAGCTGGCACTGAGTTCAAGGAGCCCTGATTTAGGTCGAAGAATTGTTTCCCTCACAACTTCTGTCACTTCCTGAGGTAGCTCTTTGCTGTACTGAGCGACAGTGGAGCCAAATGAGTGAGGGATTTGTTCAGATAGACACACCAGGGCAGCTAAATGAGAGGTGGTGTCATGAGTTTTATCAGGAACTCCTATCCTGAAGGAGTAAGCATCCTTTCTGTCTGGAACTGTCATGTCCACTGTAGCTGATGGTGGGATAGCTCCGGGGAAATTCAGAAGGCTACTCGCTGCTTGTTCTCCTTCAGGAAATTCTGCTTTCACTTCTCCAGGAATGACTTCCCTCCCAACTGGATAAGGCAACATAGCTTCCCTAAGCAGCTTTTGTAATACAACATTTACATCATTCAGGGCAGATTTGGATGGAACAACAACTTTTTCCACAGTCTCCGAAACTTCCCTTTGAGGAGGTAGTGCCTTATTCTGGGGAGCGAGATGAGCGTTGCTAGAAGAAGGCATATCTTGGGGAGATTTGGCCTCAATTCCTAAAGAGTCCTTTCTGTGAAGATGGGAAGGTTGGTCCACTGGGTGAGAACCTCCTGCAGCCATCTGAAACAAGTTTTCTGAGTTTAGCTGGTACTCACCATTTTCTGCTTGTGGGGGGAGAGCTGTCTTTCCGAGAGTTTCTTTCCCCCTTGGAAAAGGAGCGATGATCTCTCTCTGATGGGACGATGAGCTGTGACTCTGTTCTACACCTTTTTCAAAAACTCTCCTCTCTCCAGAGTTGATCCTCGGGGTGATGGGTTCCAACTTGGTTTGCAAGGGAGAGGAGGGCAAAGTCCCAGTTCCTTCCTTCAGGAGTTTATCTAGACTGGCAGCCCAGGTGCTTGGCTTGACCTTTGGAGGAGCTACTGTTTTGTCTACCTGCTCATTAACGATGTCCCAAGGTCCTTTGGCTGCTTTCTCAGCATCTTTCTTCCGAGGCCACATCCCGTTTCCAGAAGCACCTGGTTCAAGCACTTCGTGTCCGTGAACTGTTTCACCAGAAGGTTGGATTGCTGGTGACGAAGGTTCTGAAAGGAGCTTCTGTAAGCTGTCATTCAAAGTGTCTTTGTAGTCTTTAGACATAACACGTGTTTTCACTATGCATTCTTGAATCTCTTGGTCTGAGCAATCCTTGTCTTCATTGAACACTGGAGTGACCAACCAACCCATATTCCTTTGCACATTTTCTTTTGGTGACTCATTTCCTGGCAACGGAGGAGGGGACTTTGTGGGTGGTTCCAATGGAAATGTGCTTTCCCGTGGTAATACCTGGAGTCTGCACTTCGAATTTAATCCCTCTATTTCCTCTGTTGCTGGAAGTTTTGGGGGGCTTAGAAATGTCTCTATTTCATGGGCATTTTCTCCTGAAGATTTGAGGTCATGGAATTCTTTGTGTTTCTGGCTATTAAAAGGCGCGGAATCTTTTTGGCTTGTTTTGGTGGTGTTTTTCTCAACATTATCCTGAATGTTTGAGTTGGCTCCTAAGTCCCAAAACTTTCTTAAATTCTCAAATTGGGAGTGATTATAAACCTGTTCTGTACTGAGTTCATCCATTCTTTCTTTTAGGGACATAACTTTAAAGTTGGGATTTGTTTCAGCAATTAGGGGTCTGTCTTTCTCCAAAGAAACATGTATTTCACTCCCAACATTTGAAGGATGCTGCTGTACCGGCAAAGAGAGGTCTCTTTCTGAATGCAAACTGTCTGCCGCTGGCCATCTTTTTACAGGCTCATTGATCTTATTCTGAAACAGAGATACTTTATCTGATTGGTCAGTAGAAGGGTAATTTTTGGATGGGCCTGATATTTGGGCTCCAGTCTCTTTAGATTTGTTTAAGGAATAAGAATTGGAGAGAGGAGCTACTTGGCCATCCTCATCTAGGACCACTTTTTTGGCAGTGACTTGATTATATTCATTCTGGCCTGTAGATATGTTGTCCATGGACCTCCCAGGCTGATAGACTTTAGCAGAAGGCGGCCCCTGACTGTGTGAAGTCTTCGGTTCCTTATGAGTGACTCTGGCTGCAGCATTCTCACCTTCCCAAAAGGATATCCTGTCACTCACTCTTTTGTATTTCTCTCTTTGCACTTGGTTCTCGGGAACTTCACCAGCTTCTTGTGGTAGTTGGACCTCAGGCTTCTTCTGAGGAGACTTGTTGCTGGCAGCCCCGGGAAGCAGCTCAATATTCTCTGGCTCTGCCAAAGCTTTCAGGAAGTGAGTATCTCCTCCTTTGCTCTCTCTCCCTGACTTCATGTTGTCTTTTGAACTTCGTTCTTTGACGATTTTTGCAGAGTCAAAATTCACCTCTGAGTTTCCTGTCTCTTTTTCATAAACATGAAGCTTGGGCTCTTCTTCCCCTAAGCTACCAACATCCTTAATGTTGCATGGAATGTGGCCTGCTGCATCTGATTTACTGAGAGCACTATAGGGATAGTTACTGGTTTGGTGAGGTATCCCATTTCCTGCGTCTCTGTGTTTTGAAGCTTGAGGATAGTCCATAGTTTTACTCTTTTGATTTGGACTGTGGGTTTCAAGTGGTTGCAATATGCCCGGACCTTCTTTGCCTTGTTGGGGCAAATTAATAGATTTGGATTTGCTATCCACATTACTATCTTGGCAATTTCCAGGAGGCAGCACATGTCCCTCTGCCTGGAACATCAACTCAGATCCCATAGGCGTCAATTCAACATTGGTGGATAACAGAGCCTTAGAGCCATTGTCTTTTAGACTGATATCATCTGTCACCACGGCAATAGAAGCCTGTGGTTTTGAGTCTGCATTTTCTCTGGGCTCTGTTCCTTGGGGATGTTGAAGAGGTGATTTACTGTCATCTAAATGAGAACTTCGGTTAAACCAGTCTAGGACTTTCGATATGGAATCATCGGTTGTCTTCCTTATCTCAGTGGCATGTGGACCAGAGTGTGAGAATGTCTTAGCTTTTAGAGCCTTGAGAAGAGGAGGCTTACCTTGCTGATGGTCTCGAGAGCTGTGATCTGGCACCTGAGAAGGCTCAGACTCAACATGAGACCGTTCATCTGCAATATAGAAATGCTTTTCTAAATAAGAAAAGAGAATGCTTAAAGAATTATTATTCAACCACTCACAGTATCTTTTAAAAAGGCACTTTGTATTTACATGTCCCATACTACTAATTTTTTATATCAGCTTTTTTCGGGGTTTATAATGAAAACCTTACTAATTAAAACATTCTGCCAAAGATGCCTCTGGTATAGTAAAAGAAGAAACATGTAAACTCCTGGAAGTATAGGGTATAGATCAAAGTGAGAAAATTTCTTGGTAGCCTTTTAAAAATTCATGTAAATTTTGTATTCTGCTCCATGCTACATTTTATATATTTATTTTCTCTCACTCTCAAATCTTTGCATAAAACTGACCTTCCAGGAAGATACAGGTTGATTTTATGACTCCGCCTACCCACTAGCATACTCGTAAACCCTGGAGGGTTTATACCCAAGTTTGAGGAACATAGACTGAGAAGATTTCAAGAGTTGGAAAAACAACTTTCAAGGAAGATTTAACAATGAGTTCCCTCCAGAATACTAGAATGGAATGATGAGGATATTTGTACTCCTGGGTCACACTCTTGATCTATTAAACCAGAATCTTTGAAGATGGGGCTCAGGAATCTTTACTAATAGCTATCTCTACGACTGTCTTACATGTTGGAGTTTTAGGACCATGATCTCGAGAATTCCCTTCGTTATCCTCAACTCCCCTCCTATAATTTGTGACTTAGAAGTAGTTTTTATGAGCCAAATAAACTAAAATGAGGAATGATGGATAAAGTGATTTCTACTTGATGTTGGCTAACCAATGGCAAGAGTCTAGAGAAAAATACTGAACTTCTTTCTAAGCCATCAAAAAAGAGAGAGAATCCTTTCTGAGCTTTAATCACAGGGCACAGGTACATGTAGATAAGAGAACTCAGACATTCTTCCTCTTTAGTTAAGATTCAGGTGTTCCTGCCTTTCTCCCTCTTCCTTATTAATGCTAAGTAATACTTGTTCCTGAAAATTATGTGAGTTGAATTTTTATGAAGTCAACTACATTTAAATGCACTAAAGGGTATGTTAGTTAATAAAAATATATTTTAATTTTATTCATCAACTAATTAAATATAAAAAAAGTCTTATACAATAATTGGCCCATAGAAAATATTGGTTTGCTTCTTTACCTACACTTTGTAGGTAAAGTAATAATTGTGAAGTTTATTTGAAAAATCTATAAGAATTCTGTTAGTCTGTTTAACAGAAAAATACTCAATGATGAAAAAATACTCGTAATATTGTTGCCACAAAAAGAATTCCATAATTAAAAATTATATTCATGCCTGAAAATTATTGAAAGGCTCTACAACGGAATGTTAGCAACAGTTAGTAATGGGTAATGACATCACAGATGATATTTGTTTTATTCTGTGTGCATTTTTTTTTCTTTATTTTTTAAACAAAGTGAGTTACAGGGAGTGATGGTAAGAGGAGCCAATTTTGCTTCTATTCCCTTCATTCCCGGATCGCATATATTTTAGCTATTGAGGTACTGCACCATTTATCAGCTGCTGGCTCTGTCCATCCTAGGGCATGTCTCCTTTTAAAAATGTTTTACAATGAAAGTTTATTACTTTTAAAATAAGAACAGTTGTTGTAAAAATTGGATGCCAGGCAATGTTTTGTTTCCTTTAAGGAATTCTTTTGTTTTATGTTTTCTCCAGGATGAGTGTGATGTTTACTTCCTGAAGCTCGGAGCTAAAAGTCAAACCCTTATAATTTGCAGAAATTTTCCTTTTTTTTTTTTTTTTTTTTTTTTTTGTCCTTATTCTGTTTATGCTCCATTTTTTATTTTATATTTCTGTGGTAAGCAGGAGAAAAGCAGGACTTTGTTTATAAGCACTGAGGCCAGAAGGCCTGTCAAACTGATGATGCCTTCCTCCCAACATTCACGGTCAGTTTCTATTTAAAAGTCAGAAAGCACAAATAAGTAGTTAATACAAAATGTCAAAGACATTCTTTGAAAGCAGGTGCAGACTGAAAAACAGAAAAGGTTTACCATATTTCATCTATGGGTTATAATAATGGAAAATATTGCCAAAGAAATGTCCTTCATCTTTTGAATAAACATTTAAGTAAGTGTCATCCAATTATTTGCTAATAATTACTCAAACTTTAATAATTTCCTTTCATTTGAATTCATTTATTTCTTAAAGAAGCACCTTTATTTTAATTTAAAAAATCCTATTCTGTTCAAATGATTTTAAATGTCCAGGGGTAGCGGTGGTGAAAATGCTTCAACTTTTAAAATGTAGTTTTCTGAACAACTGTGAAAACTGGAGAGCTGAGCAAAAGTGACTCAGGGTTAACTTAATACTAACTTGATAAGGAAGAATGCGAGCTGATGGATTAGAAACCTGACTGTTGTTACCGTAACTATTCCTTACAATAAAGAAATAACCACAGCCCTAGCCAGTTGGGCTCAGTGGACAGAGTAGCAGCCTGCAGACTGAAGGGTCCCAGGTTTGATTCTGGTCAAGGGCACATGCCTAGGTTATGAGATTGATCCCCAGTGTGGTGATGCAGGAGGCAGCTGATCAATGCTTCTCTGTCACATTGATGTTTCTATCTCTCTCTCCTTCCCCTTTCCTCTCTGAAATCAATAAGAAAATATTTTTAAAAAAAGAGAAATAATCACAGGGCTAGATGAAGACTTATTGAAGATGGGTGAGAGTACTCAAAATGATTTTCACCATTGTTTCTGTTTTTTAAAGCAAAAGAATTATGAAGTGATCATATGAGTATGGGAAAGCTGTTTGAAGCATCCCTTGAGAGTTGTAGAATCTGAGAGAGAGAGAGAGAGAGAGAGAGAGAGAGAGAGAGAGAGAGAGAGAGATAGAGAGCGCTAGTTAGCTATTTGGCAGGAAAGGCAGCATTCTTATTGCCTCTCAACTCACACCAGCTGGAAGAGAAAGTTGCTTTGGAGCTTTTAAAGGACGAGAACAAATGGCTAGAGTCCCTGTGCAGGCCACAGTAGTGCTCAGCATCCACTTTCCTATCCTTTGAGGAGAAGAAATTGAAGTTTCTCTTGCAATGAAAAGAGAAACCAAAGTTGGGTTAGATGGCAATTGACATTTGAATTAGGTAAGTAATAATAATATATATACTCAATTAAAAAAAGTTATTAGCATATCTTTAAATCTCACCCTGTACAGAAACCTCGATATAACTCAACACATGGTAATCTATTTAAATAATTGATATGATTACAGTTTCAGGTTAAAACATAATGGGCCAGAAACTGTGCTATCCAGGTTCTTTTCATTATTAGGTGGTTGAGGAAAACCTACAAACCCATGAAGAGGTGTAAGCATCCCCCGGTGGCATCTGCCTGAAACTCAGCTGGAATGGCCAGGAGGCCAAATGCAGCTTCTACAAGGCTGGCCGGTAGTGACAACTACAAACTACAAACCTGGTAGTGACAACTCTCTTACCAGCAGGGCTTTTGGACAATTCCGATTCAAGCCTTGATAGTTCTGACGATTTAGCTTCGTGTTCCCTGATGGTGGGTGAATTCTCACTGGACTGTGGTCTTGCCGGTAAAACTTCCGAGGGGGAAGGCTGCCCGTTACTTGGAGAAGGACCGGAAGTCTTTGGCTGATGTGTTTCGTGTTTCAATGCACTTGGGCTTGAGGCTGATCGAGGTAAAGGCAAAGGCTCTCTGTACTGCGAGGGCATAGGGTCCTTCCAGAACTCATCCTCGTCCCCGACATCTTGTGTTCCATTCTTCAACCTGTTGGACTCTAACACAGTGAACTCTCCCACTTCCCGGCCTTGGATGAGCCCAGGACTCCTGGGGAGCTCCTCCTTCACCGCAGAGAACCTCACGTGCTTCAGCGGCTCCTGTGCCCCAGAGGAGGACTCGTCTTCTAAAGAATGCTCCTTCTCGGAGATCCTCTCGTGGATGGTGAGGCCCGGTGACCCAATCTTGCTCTTGGTTTCGAAGCTCTGGTGGAAACGGGCAGTGTCTGAGTCGGTGCTGCTGGAGCTGGAGTTGCGCTTTAGGATCCCTCTCGGAGCCCCCCTGGCCTTCAGGAGGTCTGTCCTTTGTCCAGGAAAGGGCTGGTGATCGTCCTGCTTTAGATCAGGCGACTTGTAGATCATTTTCCTGGCTTTGGGGATGGGGGGTTTGATGTGGGACCCACTCTCAGGGCCTGGAAGAGTCTGCTTTGGTTTCTCTAACGATTGGCTTGAAGAATCCAGGATAGGTGACTCTTCTTTGGACCCTGATAATTCACCTGAAAATTATAACACATTAGGCTCTTTTCATTATTGGTGGAGAGTAATATGTAATTTAAAATACCTGTCATAAATGTTATATTTAGCAAAAATATTAAAATATTACAGACAATAGAGTATGTGGTATAAATGCCGACCTAATTAAAAAAGCCTTTTTAGCATGCATGTACTTTATTGTTCTGTACACTTAAGATTATTGTGCTTTACACACATACTTTGTGGTAGTTTATACTCAATAAAAAAGTGTTTGTTTGTTTGTTTTTTTAAAAAAAACAAAAAAAAATTCTTCATGGAGGCGAAGAAAAAACACAGAAGTCACTTAAATAATTTATACATGAAAACCGAATCTATGAATGCAAATAAAACAAAACAATACCTAGAACAAAAATTTACTTTGTCAAATGTTATAAAAAGGTAATGTATTCCAGTGACTTTTTCCTTTTTCTTTTATTTATTTATTTATTTTTATTTTTTAAAAAAATATATTTTATTGATTTTTTACAGAAAGGAATGGAGAGGGAGAGTTAGAAACATCGATCAGCTGCCTCTTGCACACTCCCTACTGGGGATGTGCCCTAAACCAAGGTACATCCCTTGACTGGAATCGAACCTGGGACCTTTCAGTTCACAGGCCAATGCTCTAGCCACTGAGCCATACCGGTTAGGGCCAGTACCAAGCTGGTGTGGCTCAATTGGCTGCAGTATCATTCCATACACCAAAAGTTTTTGGGTCAGGTTGGGTACTAAAGGCAACAGATCGATGTTTCTCTCTATATATATTTCTTTCTCTCTCTCTCTCTCTTTCTCTCTCTCTCTCTCTCTATCTCTATCTCTATCTCTATCTCTCCCTCCTTCCTTTCTTCTAAAAATTAATGAAAATATATCCTTGGGTAAGGATTAAAAAAGAAAACAAATAATGTTAAAACAGGCTAACTGAAAATTCTACTTCACTTTCAATTGTTAATTTTCTACCCTTTGTCCAATCTTTAATGTTTGTGAAATTTTCTTACAGTTACTTTGTCTAGCGTTTCCTCTTAGGAAGAACAGTAAAATTCCATAAGAGGCAAACTTAAACTAATTAAGTCACAAACCTGACCTAATGCTCCTGAGGGACTGTGCTCATGATTACAGGCTAGAAGATCATGACATTGACAAGTGGCCTTTTTCTTTTGAGGCAAACTTTACATTTTCAACAGAACTGTGCCTACATGTGGTAGACGTCCAACAAATGCTGTCAATGAGTGACTGACAGTCCCTGGTCCAAAAATTTCCCAGTTCACTGAGGGGGAACCCGAGGCATAAAGGTTACACCAAGGTGAGTTCCAAGACTGAAATGCATGAACCTCCAGCCTCTAAAGTCTCTGCTTCCCTCCCTCCGTCAGGAAACCCATGGGTATAGCAGAATATGAAAACCATCAGGACCTTCCACCTTTGTCTAAGAAGTTAATGTAATTAAAGGAACTCTGAGAATTTCCCTTCTCACAGATAACACAGATAAAAATACGTAGTCCATAAAAATAATATTTACCCTCTTTTGAAGTCTGAAAGAAACCAGTCCTTCCATTTCTTGACTGCTCGTTTTTGGTTTGTGGAGATAAGTGATCTTCTGGCAACTTGGAGCTATTAAATGGATTCTTCCTTTGCTGGGGGAAAAACATTGTTTATTAAACTCATTTTCAATGTCAAAACAGCAACTCAGTGTTAGCAAATGCTTCTTAGCTCCAATATTTAATAGTTTTATTCAGTAAAATCTATCTGTCATGTTTGAAAAATGTTTACCCTGGTTAGTCAGGGTAGCATAAAACTATTATTCAAAATATACTCAATTCCAGAGTTCTATAACGTTAGACCAAAACCAGGCATTCAAAGCTGTATTTCACATTTGACAGAGGTGAGAGAAACTTAGGCCTGGATATATCAAAGAGCTGGTCAAGGTCAAGGTAAACGTGAAACTCTAATAAGGGCAGGTTCCCTCCAGTGCTCTTTCTACCAGTGAGACTCTCATTGTGCTAGCAATATGTACTAAATATAAATTATCAAGATATTTTGAAGTATTTATAGTCACTACTATAATTATTAATTCTGATGAAGAATGGGTATCAGTAAACAGAATTTTTAAATTAACATAAGACTGCATATCAATGTTTACTGTCTATAGTTTCATAAATAGGCAATTCCCTCCCCCAAGCTGACCTCTAATAGAGAGTCAGGAAGCTATGAATAGGAATAAAAACTCACATGGCACTAATAAGTTACATTCTATAAGCTTAAAACAAGCAGCCCCCATTAGTTTCAAACTTTCTATTCCCTAGAGCAAGAAATTTTGGTCTTCAACATGATATACCAATAACATGGTATTCGTTAACTTTACCAGCACACGAGTGACTTCTATGTTAAATAGTAAACATTGTCTGTCTCTGATACAAAAAAAATGATACTACAAAATCATCTTTATTTCATATTGCTGTGATAAAATGAGAAAAATGGCATTCCTGTCAAAAGTAAGATTTCTGAAGTCTGAGCTCAGTCTACCTTAGCTGAAGAGGCAGCGGAGTTCCTAGAGTTTTCCTGGGATGTATCAATCATGGTGGAAGCTGGATCTGCCACGCTGGGACTGCAAAGAAACAATGATGCAGAGAATAAAACGTCACCCTCTGTGGAAGCATAAATCATGCCTCTAAAGCCAAAAGCTATTAAGACAGGAGAGGAGAGGAAGTTTGTAAGATCAAACTGGCAGGAAGGGAAAGGGAGTTGAGCTTAGAAATGATTAAGCAGGGAAGCGAAGGAAATGGCAGAACAGACATGAAAGGTCAGCATGAGACAAGACGAAAAAACCCAGTGGAAGTCCCGAAGTTTATATCACGGTGCCAGGCTCACAGGGATTCACCATTTGCATTTGTAGAAGTGAACTTGTCTCAAAGTCAGGCGCTAACATCAGATACAGACAAGAGTGAGCAAGTGATCTCAAAGCAAGAACACTGTTGCTGAAATACAGTTCCAAAAAGTTCGTAGGTCAGGCCACAACAGCAGTGCTCACTCTAACTCAGGTAGCAGACATCAAAGAGAAGATGCAGGTGAGACAAGTGATTCAGAAGAAACAGAAGGAGCCAAAACCGGTTTGGCTCAGTGGATAGAGCGTCAGCCTGCAGACTGAGGGGTTCCAGGTTCGATTCTGGGCAAGGGCATGTACCTAGGTTGCGGGCACATCCCCAGTGGGAGGTGTGCAGGAGGTAGCTGATAGATGTTTCTCTCTCATCGATGTTTCTAACTATCTCTCTCCCTTCCTCTCTGTAAAAAATCAATAAAATATATTTAAAAAAGAAAAGAAAAGAAAAAATAAAAAGAAGCAGAAGGAACAGCAGATCTAAGGAATTCTGTGCAATAAGGCTGAAGGATTTGGGCAACTTACTGAGAACTTTCAGCCAAACTCTGCTAGCCAGCTGAATTCTTGTTTATATACAAGAGGGACAGGGACAAGCACAGATCCAAAAGAGGGTGGGAGGTTAGAAGCCTGGAGAAGGCTTAGAGGGGCAGGAAAGATTCTCTAGACCACGATTCCCTCCTGAAGGAATGGACAGACACAGGATGAGAGTAGGAAGGAGTGAATGGAGAAAATGAGTTGAGCAGTCTCTCTCCGGAACAGCCTCTCCCTTAGCTATTTAGTAAGAAGGGCAAAAGAGGGTCACAGTGACTCCGGAGGGGGAGGAAAACCACCTGCTCAGACTTCCTGTTCCAGTGGCCTTGCCACGGGCATAAGAGGTGAGGTCACTATTGGCCGAAACCACGTGTCCTATTAACCTCCACCAATCTTCTTAGTGACATCATAGATTCAAGAATATGGAAAATACCTCTGAGGGTGCTGGCTTTCCACCATGCAGCAAAGGAACCGGAGGCTGGGGAGGGGAGCAATTGGCCCCAAGGCTACAAAGCCTTGCTCAAGATTATTGCCTTGAAAATCATGGGCTAGATGTTGCTGCAGCTTCATTTCTTTTCCCTCCCTCTGCACTTCCACTGTTATTTTTGTGCAGAGTTAGGCCCAGGAGCAGGCTGAAATTCTGAGGAAGCCATTCTTTTTTTTTTTGTTACCTTCCTCATTGTTCCAGAAAGGAATTACAGCAGATGAAGCAAATGCATATAACATACATCTGATCGCATGAATGGGAGAGGGGGAGGATAAGGAGAGGAAGGAAACGGAAAAAGAATAAGAACTTATAATAGAGCCAGAAGCAAGGCTAATAGAAAAACACATTATAGCAGGCTATTCTTACAACAGGTGGGCACAAGCTTGACTCAACTTCTCTAGCAGCCAATGTGAAAGCAGAAATCTGGTCACTTATAGAACTCACAGTTTCCATTCAGTGGAAAACAATAGCTCAGGACTAGAAAATAATTTCTCTTGGGTATCACTGTAAGAAGCAGGTGAGTGTTGTGAGAGACCTTATGCTCAGTTTCTCATGAGGGTTTTGTATCATCTCCCTTAGTACATAAAGCAGTCACATAATAATCAGACAAACCGAGCCAGGTGCTGATGATGGTCAGGGTCTCCATGGAACACTCAACTTCTCCGGCTGCCTTCCTCCTTTCCACTCATCAAGAACAAAGGATAAGCAAAGCCTCTAATTCTCCTTGCTCTGCTCCCTGGAAACCCAGCCCTGAGTGACCATCATGTTGTCCCCTCCTTCCCAGAGATAAAACCAGACTTACTAAAGTCTATCCAGCTGTGTATTTTATGTCTATTCTGCAACCTCGCTCTGCATATACATATCTTCTCTCTCATAGTAAATTGGGAGATCCCTCAAGAGTATCTTGACTACCCTTATATCCCTGCAATGCCTTATATGGTGCCTGATACACAACTGGTGAACGACTGAATAAACGAAGGCCAACGGAGCCAGCCAGTGGCAGGCAAGGCAGCAGCAGACAGGTGACCGTGCTTTGTTTTGTTCTTGAGATCCAAGTTATTTGCCAAATTACAATGAGGCCCATTATTTAGGTTTTAAACAAAATGTCTTTGTCCTGCTATTCAGAAAGCAAAAGAGAGGAAAAAATGAGGCATTCAGAACACAGGGCCTGACACTAAAATACCAGAAACACACAGAATTCCCTGGGTTACCTTGTAGTTGGGATGGGGGAAGGGAGGGGAATGGGATGAGTATGGAATACTTGATTAGCTTAATTTAAAAAAATTAACAGGTGTGTAATCCTCAACTTCTGTCTCTTAAAATATAGCTATTTCCTAGATTAAGCTCTGGCTTTTCTTCTCTCAAGGAATACAGCAATGGTATGTTTGCCTGTCTTCTATTGGGCAGCCATCATGACAGTAATCCTCTTTCTATCAATTGATCTTTGCAACATCCCTATGAGGTCTATATCCCTCACCTCATTCTACTTGTGAAAAAAATTGAGGCTGTGGAAAGGTTAAGTAACTTGCTCAATGTCACAAAATTAGTTGTGAAAGAGTTGGGGATTTGAACCAAGTGTGTCTGACCCTGACTCCAAAGACAATCATCCTAATGACTAGGCTATACCTCCTATTGCTTGCCTTAGCAAAGCGGTGGCATATGGCCAGAGGATTGGAGTTACGTCTGGGTGATTCTTTCTTCCTAATGACTCTTACGTTTGTCACTTCCTGCCACCTCCGTTATTTCTGTCAAGTATATCATTCTCACATCTGACCTCTGACGCCAGAGTTCCACTCTCCTGAGCCATTCAGCATTCCACCACTAAGCTGCAATTGTCTAAAGCATGATGGTGACCCTGGCTCTCTTCTGCTCATCACCTTTTCCTGGATCCTCAAGGCCTGTGGAACCAAGTCTGAACTCCCCCCAAAAAACATGGAGATGTTCCACCATCTTCCCTAATATAACTTCTCAGCTCTTCGCTCTGTTGACCCTTCCTGCCAAACAAAGTGGTCTATACACCCACTGTCTGCAAACCTCACCTGCCTCTACTGTCTCCACCCAACCTGTCCCTCTGCTCCTCCCTCAAGTGCATGCTCTGTTCTCTTTGCCCAAACCGTTGCTTTTATCTCCAAGCCCACTATCAATCCCACCTCCTCTGTGACACTGCTCCAGTATCAGCCCAGCTGGAGTCGGGTCTCCTCCTCTCAAATCTTACAGTGTTTTGGATAAGGAATTCACTCTCTGCCTGGCACTATTTGTTATCATGTGAACAGATATGCTAATACAGATGCATTTATTTTTCATAAGAGAATATAGTCTCTTTATAGCCAGATACTATGTCTTTGGGGTCTTAGAATCCCGCTCTAAGGGCAGCAGGCTGTGCCTGGCACATAAAAGATATTCAATACATTTCACAAAATGAGCTTTTTAAGCTGTGAAGTATGCCAGATTCTACGCCCTATGCTCTATAATGTCTTCCCTCAGGCACCCTTGAAAAACTCCCTGCAGCACTAGAAGGAACACTTTCACAAAACTGTTTACTCTGTTAAGTGGATTCTTAAACCATTAGGCTAGGAGCTTGGCATTAGGATTCCACACCTAAAAGTGTCTACATTTTAACGCAGGTCTTTGAAGACTTAACTGAAAAAAAAAAAATAGTGTCAGGTGCTGCGGCAGAGACTCGTGGGAAGAGGGAGGGCTTTAAGAAGTCTTCACTCACCCCGCACAGGCACCTGGCCACCCCATTAGCTCCTGTGTCCAGCCAGCAAGTGCTCCAGCTTTCAAACTTTAAAAAGCTTTTGAACCTTAACCAACCTTTTTCTCTAAAACAAGGAAACATAGCAGCACACATCCTACAGCTTCTGGTGAGGTATTTTCCAGCTTAAATATTAACAGGAGACTAGAATCAGAAGCAGTCCTGAAAGTCATTTTCTTCTGTGTGTGTGTGTGTGTGTGTGTGTGTGTGTGTGTGTGTGTGTGTGTGTTTCTGACCTCTCCCTTTAGACCATGAGCTTCTTGGAAGCTAACATTGCATCTCATCCCAGTGCTGAGCACTGTGCCCGGACACGCTACACACGATCAAGCTTTAACACATGAATCAACACACGAAGAAACGGCTTAGAGGGTACAAAATGAGGAAATATTCTATGCCAAGTCTTTTAAGACAGTCTTTTTTTTTTTTTTTAAAGTAAAATTTTACTTCTTTGGTGCTACCACTCTTTGTACTGCTTTATCTACACAGGTATTCTCATCCAAGCACAAGGTACTCTGACAATGAAACTATTCCCATCACAACTGATCTAGGTTAATCCAAGAGCCTGGCAGATGAAGAAAGATTCTTTTAGGAGCTCAATGTAAATGACTTGGTGGGGCAGGCCTCTAAGAAATGAAACAGTCACATAACTGGATTGCAATCCATCCAAGGACAAAAGATCAAATGCATTATCCACAGATGAGCCATCACAAAAGAAGCTCAAAACTCCCATCTACACAGGGTTTGAAAAGTCAAATACTTCGTGTGGAATGCACGTTAGATGGCTTTAAGGGAGAAAGGAGTGTGAGATGGAAAGGAGGTGGGGGGAGGAACCAGATGAAGAAAAGAACTGGGAAGCTTGCATCAGGAGTAACAAAGGAAGGGCTTCTCATCTCAGAACAGGCTATTTCCATAGTTAGGACACATTCCACCTGGTTTTTGGGCAGGATCCTGACCACAGTGGAAGAGCGCCTCACACTGTGATTCTGTCCTGCCCACCCGGCTCAGCGCTGAAGATTATCATGTACCTATTCTACAATCGTTTTTTTCTTGGGTGGACGGGACTTGATGTGCCATCACCGACCGGTGCCAGTCATGAACTGTCTTTACTGGTTCACAATGAGATAAGTACAAAACTGAAAGCATGCTATGATAATTAGACATATAATTTTTAAAAATGAATAATAACAACAACAACAAAAAACACTAGCTCTTTACCACAGTTTGTGCCAACACCATCCACAGTCTAGCCAAGGGCGTTGACCAGAACCAGAACCGTAAGCATTTGGGAGTTCTCCCTTTGCCACACGAAATGAAATCTCATTCTCTGCTCCCTGTTCACCAGACCTGTCTGCTTCCTACGTGGCAGGTGCAAACAAAGATGAGTTCCAAGCGAGCACAGGTGCTTCCAGGGGTTGAGCACATGCTCGGTACCCACAGTGCTTTTATTCCCCACAGGCCAACCCACCCCCTCCAGAGCTGCACCCACAACAGAAAGAAGAAACTCATCCTCAGAGACCATTAGAAAGCCTCCTTCAGAAACTACAGCACCAGTCACTGCTGCTTCGCGCTCCCTGGCTCCTGGCTAAGAAAATATTGACAGGCATTGAGTCATTCTATTTGAAATTCACTTAGTCTAAAAGTGTGGGCCCCAAAATACACTTAACACACCCAGTTCCCAAAGGTTAAAGGATAGGTGAGAAATGCTGCAGGAACCTGAGACTGAGTAAAGCCGTGGTTTCTGAAAAGGAAAGGAGGAAGTAAACAACTGCTCAGGCTACAGTTCTGGGTGATCACCACCCCTGCCATGCAATGAGCAAGGCATGCCAGCTTCATCTAACATTATTTAAAAAAAAATAATAATAAAAAAATTAAAAAAAAATATATATATATATCAAAGAGGAAGAGAGAGAGAGAGGGAAATAGAAATATCAATGATGAGAGAGTCATTGATCGGCAGCCTCTTGCACGCCACACACTGGGGATCGCACCCTCAACCAGGGCATATGCTCTGATCAGGAATCTAACCATGACCTCCTGGTTCATAGGTCAACGCTCAACCATGCACCATGCCAGCTGGGCTCATCTAACACTCTTATTTCACTTTTTTTTTTTTAATCGTTGCTTTTTAAATTTTTATTATTTTTATTTATTTATTTTAAATTGTCCTCTTTTTTTAGCCGGCACCGGTTTGGCTCAGTGGATAGAGCGTCAACAACAAAAAGTCCCGGGTTCGATTCTGGTCAAGGGCATGTACCTTGGTTGCGGGCACATCCCCAGTAAGGGGTGTGCAAGAGGCAGCTGGTCGATGACTCTCTCATCGATGTTTCTAACCCTCTATCCCTCTCTCTTCCTCTCTATGAAAAATCAATAAAATATATTAAAAAAATAATAAAAATAAATTGTCCTCTTTTTTTAAAATATATATTTTATTGATATTTTACAGAGTGGAAGAGAGAGGGATAGAGAGTTAGAAACATCGATAAGAGAGAATCATCGATCAGCTGCCTCTTGCACAACCCTCACTGGGGATGTGCCCGCAACCAAGGTACATGCCCTTGACCGGAATCAAACCCAGGACCTTTCAGTCTGCAGCCAACGCTCTATCCACTGAGCCAAACCGGTTTCGGCTCTTATTTCACTTTCCCAACTACCCCTTCACCTATGCTATAATAACATAATTATCAGGCCACTTGGAAATTGCCAATTTCCTTTCTTCCTGAGAAATGCTGAGTAGTTCCCCCACCTCATTGCATTTAACATCACAATGTCCTGGTGAGGCAGCTCTGTTCTGATTTACAGATAAGATCCAAAAGACTCACAAGACAGGAAGGTCACACAAAGAATGCGGCAAACAATGGAGACACAGGCTTGGAAACGCAATGGCCTCAGATTGAGGAAGAGGCGGGTAATATTCACCAGCCCACGTGGGGCCATGAGGAAAACTAGTCGGACAATCAGGCAGTGGCACCTCTGTCCCCCAGGCCCTCTGAGCTGAAATGAGTTCCTGGGAGAAGGACAGGAAGTCTGACCCACATAAAACTGCAATGAACTAAGTTTGTCTCTGAAACTCCAGAAGTTTCTCCTTCTGTGGCACTTGTACCCCTTCCTGTAGTCAGCGCTGTGGTGCCCTCACCCCCATCAAACCTGGCTGTTAGGAGCTGCTCTCAGCTTCCTGTGGTTTATCTACATGGCTGTGTTCTCACTCCCAGAGTTTCCTTCCTTTAAGGTGTCATCTCTCCCTAAGGAAGGAAGGCATGCCTACCCTCATTGGGGGAGGGGTTGCAGGTGGTTGGTAAATGGGGCATCACCAAAAGGAAAGGAGTATGGTATTCTTCACAGCCTTTCCTGAGCTTCCAGAAGTACCTGTGTGTGTAAGTGAGAGCCCACACTTCCATTCCTTGAGCATCTACTATGTCCTGTGGGTTAGGGATTCTACATTTACTTGCTAATTAAATCCTCAATTATCTTGATAGCAAATTATTATCATTCCCATTTTACAGCTGAGAAAACAAAGACCCAGGAAGTAAGTCACTTCCAGTGCAAGGTCATAGAATCAATAAGTGGCTACTGTTACGGTGTTTCAACCTCTAGCCAATATGAACTCTACAGGCATCATGAAACATTACAAATCATCCCCGAGGAGAAACAGTGCAGCCTCCACCCGTGGAAAACAAAGTGAGTCCTCTCCAGCAGGGAACTGGATAGACAGTGAGTACCGTGATGGGATCAGTGTTCTGTTACCCATGTGACATGACCTGATTCCGGACTCTGAAAAGCCTTCAGGTGCCCATATTGTAGACCCCCTTCCCTCACCTATAAACAATGTTGGGAACATCTCCATTTCCCAGGTGCCTCAGCCTTGGTCCCTGACTCAGTGAGCCCCACCAGTGAATTCATTGACTTTATCCCAGTTGGAGACTCTGAGGAGAACTGCTTCCACTGAGGAGCTAAAGATAAAATGGAAGTGCTATCCCTCCAAGGGACAAACATCAATAATGGCCGTCCCTCATCTATGCTATAATAACATGATTAGCTTTTAGGTATTTAAGAATTTTTAAAAATATATTTTATTGACTTCTCATAGAGAGGAAGAGAGAGGGATAGAGTTAGAAACATTGATCAACTGCCTCTTCACTCCCCCTACTGGGGATGTGCCCACAACCAAGGTGCATGCCCTTGACCGGAATCAGGCCTGAGATCTTTCAGTGCACAGGCTGACACTCTATCCACTGAACCAACCCGGTTTCGGCGGTATTTAAGGATTTTTAATCATCATGGCTCAAAAGGTTTGCGTCAATGTAGCCCCACAGCCAACCAGCAACTTCACAGGAAGAATATACAACTGTACATTTTAATTGGCCAGATGACAACATGTATGAAAAACATAAAAAATCAAGACTGAAAGATCAGGACAATCTACATCCTTAATAGGCATTTGCTGAGCATCTACCAAGAGTGCCTGCCACACACATTATCCCCTAATTCTCACCATAGCGTTTCCTGCTCTACATTACCATTCCTCTGTGCAGTTGAGAAAAGAGACTCAGAGAGGTTAAATTACCTGCCCAGAGTCAAATGGCTAATAACTGCCATGTTCAGGATTTGCATTCATATCTGCCTGGTTCTCATGCTTGCGCTTCTCCAGTGTACCCAGCTACTATAATTTGATCATAATTCATCTTTTTCCTGAAGTGACCCATTTCTCTATATTCCTTTTAGAATAGCTCTTCATTCCACTCTGAGGAAAAATCCTTACATAGTAAAATTAGAAAACAGCTATTGTTGGTGCTGAAAGGAATTACCACTTGATATTTCAATTTTAGTTAATACTCAGATTTGTTAGACATTCTGGAAACTGGGAAACATCAATACTCAGGCTTGTTTACATTGGGGACCAGAATTTACCAGATATGTCCCTTGCCCGTGCCCATGAGGCCAGTCTAGCACTTGCACTAATAGTCCACTATTTTGCCTAAACAGCACACCAAGCCACGCATTCCACACCCAGCAGCTTCCCGTGAGCTCCATCTTACCTTGGGCTTGCTGGTCCTACATCTTCTTCTGCCTCTTCCACAACACCGGCTAGCTCTGGGGGAAGGAAAGCATCTTCGTTGACATTATTCACCCAGCTCTCCTTTGCCCTGTTTTCTCTGTCCTTACTCTGCTCAGCTGAAACAGGAAACAATAAAGACAGGAAGGTTATCTCTCACCTCCGTGACCTACAACTCTCCTACGGGCACTGATCACGGAAGGCTGGAACCTGAACTTCAGGCCTTTCCTGAATGCGGGGCAGTCACTAACATGTCGGGATCAGAATTACATCTGCGGGAGCAGTCAGTAGATTCCTCTGGTGTTAGCTCCCCCTCCCCCCAGCAGAGTCTCCTACGTGCAATGTGTAGATAACTCCAGAGACAAAATTCTGACTGCCTCTGGGTGAATCTGACCTGAATTGGGGCCAAGACTGAATGTGCATGGCCCTGGGACGCTGAGGACAGGGAGTCCTCGTGGGAACAGACTCACCATCATTACCAAGCACTTACTGAATTTATGGTGTGCTTGACTCGAGGCAGGGCTCTGGGGTACAAAGGGGAACGATCGCTTTTAGTCTAGAATTTTAGTCTAGAATGCCCTCCCCCTCTCCCGCCCTCGGTCTCTACACACCCTAATTCCACATATTCCTTAACACCCAGCTCAGAAGCCAGCACCCCACATAACCTCTGTGCAGCCTTTTCAGGAATAACCTTTTACCTCTGACACTGAGGGCTCTTGACCTGCACCTCTCAGCTAATTAGCACCAACAGAGTGATGAAGTTCTTTGCATGTGTTATCCTATGAGGAGGGAGTGACTTTCCAAGTTCGCAGATTTGGAAACTGAGGATCACAGAGTTCAAGAAACTAACCTAAGGCCACATAACCAGTAAGTGCCAGTAATACTTTCATTGGTGTTAAGAAGATGAAGTAATATAAAGGCTCCTAATTTCCAAATGTACTCACATTCCTGGGTCTCTTTATATTAAAAATCTAGTTATTTTCAACTGCAAAATGGAGTCAACAGGACAACCTGTACTCTCAGGATTTACAAAGATCCGGATCGTTTTGAAAACCAAAAGGCCTGTGAGCAATACCTGGCACATACTAAGCAGGGAGCCTTACCTGCAAGGAGTGTGGCTTTCTTTCAGATGGATGGAGAGCCCAGCTCTGCCATTTGTCAGCTATCTGCCCTTGGGCATATAAAACTTTACATACCCCTCTATAGAATGGGGATGATAATACCTACCTTACAAGATTGCTGCTACAATTAGAAAAAAGAGCATCATGTATTAGATGCTCAAACGGTGATAGTTACTTTCCTTATTGAGTACAGGCTAGGCTAGATGTAAGCAGGGGCTGTTCTCAGGGATAAAGATTTACATCCACCAGCCCAGAGTTAGAGGCACCAGGGAAATATTTAATGAACTCAAAAGGTTGCTAAAGAAGCTCTCAAAATACTGTCTTTAGAGTCCCTTAAATAATGCTTTTGGTTGATTAAAGAAGTATCAGAGGTCAAGGTCATTGAACAGGGAGGCTAATCTCTTACTGTCTAGGCTCTCACGGTATTCAGGTTCTGAATCTTCAAAGGAGAAACAGGAGGAGGAGGAGGAGGAGGAGGAGGAGGAGGAGGAGGAGGAGGAGGAGGAGATACTTATAAATCTCAGTTGTCTATGCTACTCCTCCTCACATGGCATCTGAAGAACTCCCTTTTTCCTTTGACAGCACCCTGAGTCACTCAGCCCCACCCTCACCCATCCAAATGCGGGGCAAGAACAGTTTGAGCTCGAGGGCTACGCATTATGAAAAGTGTACGATTACATGATGTTCCTCAGCGGATTTTAGTAACGATTCTGACACTTTCCATCTCCCTCCTCCTCCTTCCCAAACAAACGCTGGCTCTCCATGTACTAGCCACATCAGCTCACCTGCGACCTGGAGCCTCTTCTTCCTCATGGATGCTCTGATGATATCTGTGCCATGGATTTTGTCTCTGTGCCTCTTGGCCTTGGCTTCATAAAACCACTGGCCACTCATATTCTTCAGCTGCTGGTCATCCTTAACTTTTTCAGGCAAATGTCTGCAAAAGGAGAAGAGCTTTACTTTGCTGGGAACCCACAGTAAATAAATGAGTTCACCGAGACCCTGCGTGAAGCAGTTTGCAAACGTGCAGTCAAAATGAGCTCTCGATGTCTTAGAAGATTCCACAAATCTCCCGGATGACTAACAAATGCATGTTCCCCGTTAACTTGAAAAGTCAGGGAGGCCAGGGCCAACATTTTTTAAAGATTCAAAGATTTAATCCATGATCCCCAGAGGATGCCTGAAGTTTCTCAAGGGCCGATCCACAATTTTGGCCAGTCTACTGTGTCCACTGTTCAAATGCAAACAACCCAGGCGGGGGTGGGGGGAGATGATATATTAAGCTTCCCTAAGCCTTGGTATCCTTATCTGTCAAAAGGGGTTAATAATAGTAAACCACCTCAGGGGGTTGCTATGAAGATTAAATTAGTTTATGCATATCAGCCACCCTCTGCATATGCCTGGCACCTAATAAACACTCAATGACTAACTGGTGGGGTATCTGTCGGCTTATCAGTCCTTTCCATTTCAGTGAAATGAGTTTATCAGAGATTTTCCTGAAAGCTTGAGGGGGGCAGCATACGATGTCTCTGGTTAGGGAAATGAATGCTGAAAAGGCGACTGGAGAATCAAGAAAGATCAAATTTATGGGGCCGGGAGTGGAGAGGGGAGGAGAAGGCACAGGCAAATTCCTTTTATGCAAATACTGCTTTGAAGGTTCCACCATCATTCACGCTTACTGAAAAGCTAAAACCTAAAGAACAAACTAAGTACTGCCCTCCTGAAATGTCCCTAATTTACACTGGCTGGAAAAATTAGGTTCTGCTTCTTTCTAGCCACCTCAATAAAATGAAAATCACAAAAATCTAAATTTTCTTATTCATAGGGATGCACTTAGAATCAAGTGGAATAAAAGCCTTAAGGAGACTTTGAACACTAGGAAGATAAGATGCTACATAAATCCAAGAAGGTTTTATGCTTATTATCCAAGGTAATATGCACACTTCCTCAAGCAGCAAATCTAAGTCTTAGCCAGAGAGTGTGTACAGTGGCCACACACCGGGTGGCAGGGCTGTGCATGAGGGCTGCACATAGGCATCCCTGGGCGTGGGAGAAACAGGAGGGGCAGTTGCCCTGGATTTAGTTAGCAAGGCCCTTTCCTCTCTCCCAATTGTGCCTGGAGACTGCCTTCCCACTCAGAGTCCAACTCTCTGCGGGGACTTCCGCCCCTCTCCCAATTCCCTAGGAAGAAGTGAGCCCAGCCCAAAGAGGCCAAGGTAGAACCTTTGGACACACACACTGTCATGACAGCCTGGCCCCAAATCCTACAGGGACAGTGTCTTCATTTTGTGGTTCTGCATCACCAGAGAGGTGATGGTTTTATTAAATGTTTCTAATAGTTTCCCATTGCCTAGGTGTTCAGCAGAGCAAACTACTCCCCTGGGCTGCTGATGGAGTTGTTTTGCCCCTCCTCCCTAAAAGACCAACTTTGAATTCAAGTCCTGAAGAGAGACGACCTTCCAACTTTCCCTAGTAGAGAGTGAGTCCCCAGGGGCAGGGCCTGAACATTGTTGCTTGGTGTCTAAAAAGCAGTGGGTACTTGTCCAGTGCTGTGGAGTGAAGGTATAGCATATGAGCACCCCCCCCCCGCCCCCCAACCATGTGGCTTCAGGCTACCTTTTGGGATTCATTTTCCAGCATTTATTCCCATGCTCCCCCTTGCCAGCACACTGGGTTTCTTACTGTTCCCCAGTCTGCTCTTTCATGACCCCTGTAAACATCAGAAGCAGGAAGGTGTGGCAGGACTATGGGTTTTGGAGTCTCCCCCAAATTGGGTTCAAATCCCAGCTCTGATTCTTTCTGCATGAGACTTCGGACAGGTTACTAAACCCTCTAAGTGTCATCTCCTGGTTTTGTAAAGTTAGAGGCAAATAAGATCTTTTCTGCAGGGCTTCAGGGATGAGTAAATTGGGTGTTTACCGGACAGTGCCTGGATCTTGGTAAGAGTCATTAAGTGTGAATTCTCTGTGGGTGTCTTTCCTTCACTACTCCATGCAGCTCCCACACCACCTTGCAGCAAAGCCTTCCTCGATTCCCAAGGGCATTCTCCTCGCTCCCACCGCACCTCCAGGACAGAACTCACCCCACTGGGTTCCAATGATCTATTTGCACACCTGTCTCATCCGCTAATCTGTCAACTCTGCAAACTCCTTGAAGGGAAAGTTCACATTCTAATCATCTTTGCAATGCCAGCACCTAGCACAGAGTCTGGCACAGAGCTGAGAGCCCAAGACTGTTTGTTGAGTGAATGAACTAATGAATAAATAAATGCTCGGCAGCCACCTCAGTCTGAATCAAGCAAGAGATAGGAGAGATCCTGCCACTTCGGGAGGTGAGTGAACCAGACTCCATCACAGGGGCGGTGCCTTCTGCTGAGGAGGCAGGAGAGCTCACTTCTCAGCCAGGTAGGAAAACGCATCAGTCATCATTTTTTTGAAAAAGACCACAAACCCTCATATAATAGCTCAATTTCTCATGAGACTTATTCATCTATTTTTCTTGTTCAACTGAAATGCATTTTGTAGGGTTGTTTGGATAATTCTTGATCTCTCCAGCCTAAATGACTATCTATAAGCCTCTTTCATGCTAAGCTTTTAGGCCACAAGGGGAATCAGGCTCACTGAAACACGTGGCCCTAGAAAAGCTGGTAGCCACTAGAGTAAGGAATTAAGGTTGGGTTTTTGGCTCATTTCTTTTGTTGTTGGTTTTATTTTTTTAATTTTTTTATTTTTATTGCTTTTTATAGGGAGAAAGAGAAAGAAAGATCAATGTAAAACATCAATTGGCTGCCTCCTGGGCATGTGCCCTGCCTGGGAATTGAACAAACAACCCCTTGGTATACAGGACAATGCCCAGCCAACTGAGCCACACTGGCCAGAGCATGGCTCATTTCTTTTAAAGTGGAAAAAGATCAGCAAATTCTTGATGCATTGGCTGAGTAGCTCAGTTGATAAGAGTATCATCCCAATATACCAACATTGTGGGTTCAGTTCCCAGTCAGGGCACATACAAAAATCAACCAATGAGCTGAAACCGATTTGGCTCAGTGGATAGACCATTGGCCTGCAGACTGGAAGGTCCCAGGTTCGATTCTGGTCAAGGGCATGTACCTTGGTTGCGGGCACATCCTGGTAGGGGGTGTGCAAGAGGCACCTGATCAATGATTCTTTCTCATCGATGTTTCTAACTCTCTATTCCTCTCTGTAAAAATCAATAAAATATATATTTTTTTAAAAAGAATCGACCAATGAATGCTTAAATAAGTGGAACAACAAATCAATGTTTCTCTCCCTCACCCTTCCTACCCTCCCAACTCTGAAAAAAAAAAAAGAGTAAGAAATTCTATCAAATTCAATAAGTGCTATTTATGTATATCTTAACATGATAAACTGCTAGATTTAATCAATTTCTTTTTCTATCTCAGTCATTTGAAATATTTTATAGATGAATTCATATGTGTGACATCAAAGCCCAAGTTTTATAAAGATGTAGATTTTAAAAAAATCAAACACCCACTACACCTCGGTGATGCTGTTAAAATCTTCTTTACCTGCCCACGCTGATGTCTCATTTTTCCTGAAGTCTAACCAACCAAATTAGCATTTGATTCTCTAATTGTTATACCATTTCGTTGAAGTGGAAAAGGGGTAAGTTTCCTGGACTCACTTTTTATGTGTTACGGTCCTCTCCCCACATGCATGTTGTGCTTGGTAAGGCGCTGTAGATAGAAAAGATGCTAATACTCACCCAGGGGCTGGTGGGCTGACATGAAGGAGGAGATAAGCACTCAGAGCAGAGAGAACACCATCCTGCTTTCCTCCAGGCAGAATGTTGGTCCTCCCCGCACTCCTTCAGCTAATACATATGAAGCATGTTTTGTACTGGGTCTCATGCTTGGCACTTTACATGCATCATCTCATTGAATTCTTACATCTCACCATGATGTGCAAAGATGTTAGTCAACTGCCAAAGACAGACATCTTGCCTCCTCGGTATGTTAAAGGCTGTATCTGTTTGTCTGTTCATTCACTCATTCATGAATCCCCTGTCATATACCAGGCCTATGGTTGGAATTATGCATTAAAAAAAAAAAAATCAATCGACAGCCCTAACTGCAATGTCAGCCGCGAAGCCCTCCAGCCTGGCCTCAACACCATCCCATGAGCCTTCCTTCCCCCGTTTCCTCCTCTAATTACAAAGCACACCCCAGCCTCCAGCTCTGCATCATGATTAGGCAAAGGCCTAGCATCAGAGGCAGGACCTGACTGACATTATCTAGTCAACTGGATGATAAGAATCAGCAGGCTGGCCAGAGAGGCTGACTGGTCCAATTTCCAGCATTCAGATATGTGACTTGAAAGTACTCCTAGATATTTATTTTGAATGTGAGAGCTGGGCGGGACTTTAGTTATAAATGGGCCCACTTTATAGATAAAACAATTGAGGCCCCCAAAAGTTAAGAGCTTTGCTCAAAGTCACGGGCCAGCCTGCCTCTTGGCCAATGTTCTGTCCACCACCCCAGCCTGCTTCTGGGAGCCAAACATGATTTGGGCTTCTAACATGGCTATCATGATTCACTCTTTCTACAGAGGAATTCAACCTTTGATCGAGAATCTGAAAACCAACACACGTGAACATGAGATACACTGCAAAGGAGCCTTATCATGGCAAGTGAGAGGTAACGTATGTCCCTTGCGTCACAGACACATCGCAGATCCCCATAATATGCTGAGACACAGCACAGCGTGGGGGAAGCACAGGCTTTGCAGTTTGATAGCAAGGCTTCAATCTCACAGGGCACTCAACCTCTCCCATCTGACTTCCTCATTGCCGAGCGGGGTCAGCTACACTGTTATTCGGGTGAAAGGGGGAAATGCATGGGAAGCTCTGTGTACAACATGGTTCCTTAACAAATGCTGGCTCTTTTCCTCTTCATTT